CTACTCATGTAAAAAACACCAGGCAGGCCCCACAATTAACCCAGAGATGTATTTTAAATAAAAGGACACATTCTGTTAAGTTGTGGGTGAACATATCAGCGATTCTTCAAACAGCTCTTGTTTATTCACAGGCCAGGACAGAACTGAACTCAAGGGTTCAGTCAGCCTGCTTATATAGAGCTCCAGTACAACGTAACTGTAACAATTTTCTAAAACTATCCAATCACTGAACGTCACTTTTGATCCTTTATTTGCATAACTATCTACAGTATCCCCCTGCTGACCCAGGGTAAGAACTTCAGTACATAACATATTCTACTCATGTAAAACACGCTGATTCCCCGACAGTCCGCGGGCCAGATTTAGAAGGCGATTGGGCTGGATCCGCCCCCCCGGCCTTAGTTTGCCTACCCATGGTTTAAACTGTCTATAGATATAAGAATAAATGGCTTGGACTTTCTCTACCCACACTTCCAGGTCTTATCCAAAGCATGTGTCAATAGTTCGTGGGTTTTGCTCTTACTTTTCTTCTCACGATTCCATGCCCTTCCCGTTTGCCTAGTTTGTGTTCTAAGGCCTTCAGGGACCAGACATTACACATGTTAGCCCAATAGAGTGGCAGACTTCTCATCTTTCTACTCAAGCACATACATCCTCACATAACCCTTCGCTTCGGAGGGAGTCCAGGACAACAGAGAAGGAACCTCCTTGTTCACAGTCTTGATATGGTTTAGGCAACACTCTTACAGTGCAGGTTTTTAATGTTTCTGGGGTTTGCCCCTTGTTTTGTGCGTCTTAAAAAAGCTTTCAAAGAAAAGGAGCCAGTTGTTCAGAAAAGGTCTTATAAAGAATACCAGGCTGTTTATGAAGTTTCATTCTGTTTATTCCAGCTTGGATGTCTTCTGATGAAAAGGGTCTATCCATATATTTTTGGTGGTCTGGTGTTAATTTTGGAAGAGTGAGATTATTTAAATAGTGCTGTACTTCCATAGCACCCGTAATAATGATAATAATGATAATTTATTTATACCCCGCCCATCTGGCTGGATTTCCCCAGCCACTCTGAGGAGCCTAGTGTGCACAGTTTGGCACACAATTCTGAGAATTCCTGAAGAATCCTTTCTTTTTCACAAGTGCTCTGAGGAAGCTAACCATCTAGTGTGTTGTTTTGTGTTCCACAGGTTCTGCTAATCATAGCTCATTTGGGGCAATCCAAAGGACGAATGAGGTGCATCTCTTTTGCAGTCAGGGTGTTGAAATGCCTTCAGAGCAATGGAGCAGCAAGCTAAGAAGCCATCTTGCCTGGTGACATCACCCTCTGGCAAGATGGAGTTTTAATCTGGGCAGTGACATATCAAAACAGTGACCCTATCTTAGCTCACTCTGGAACTCCATAGGAACTCCATGGGCAGAGTTTCCCTTCTTTTCAGTGGGGCTTGCATAGAAGAACTTTATGGTGGGTTGCGCCCCATAGGTCAGATCTGCTTCCTGTTCAGCTGTGCTTAAGGATATACAAAATCTGTTGCCTCATTTGGCTAATGGTAGGAATGCTTATCAGACATAATTGATCACTGCAAGTTAATGGAAAGTATACAAGCAGATATCTGACTTTAAGGGATAATCTAAGCTTTTGGAGATGTAAACAGTCCATCTTCAGAAGAGCCACAAATTGTTATCAAATGAAGAAATTATCTGCCTCTTATCTGATGTAACTGATGACTAGAAATTGCTGGAGCATATACAAGCAGATATTATCTAACCTTGTTAAGCAATGTGCTCTGATTATTTAACCTTTGGGTGATTTAGTGGTCTGCCATCGGGATAATAAAGAGCACAGGGATGCCCATCATAAAAATGTCCTGGACTAATTTGAGGAGCGGGAGGTGGCGGCAGAGGGGTCATTAATCCTGATATAGTAGGCTGGCCTGATTGTCAGGTGGTTTTATAAGACATCAATACAGCCCCACTGTAACCCATCTAGAACACTGCCTCCTACAATTGGTGGAAGTCAGGAACAGAGAAGTCCTCCGAGGGGTTCCTTCTTCGCATACAACTTCTAAGAGAAACTTCTGTGAAGAGCTGTTGAAGAGAGAAAAAAGAGGTTCTCAAAAGCAGACACGTAAGTAGAGATAGATGGCATCTCTGTTTATTAATGCCCACACAGATTCACACTGCTGCCGCCTACCCCAAGACTATCTCAGTCATCATGTGTAAGGACTGCTGTATTGTCTGCATCAGAAAGAATCCCTCGTAGGATCAGACTCTACAAGGTCCCCCCTACCTGTTCATCAGGTGATTGTTTAAAATAAAGAGACTAAGCAGCAGTTCAATATAGTTTCCCTTGGTTACATTATGAGATATGGAGAAAGTCAGGGTGGGCAAAGCTCTACTGAGTGCCTCTGGCACAGCTTTTTTGCGTGTTCAGACCCAGAAACTTCCCCCCTAAATAAATTCACACTTGACTCAAATTTTGGTTTTGGTTTTTGGCAGAAATTAGGCCACAACTTTATTGATTACAGAAAGTGACTGGTTGCGTAGGCTCTGGTTCGACTAGTTCCCTGCCATGCAGGTAGCGGTGACCCAGGGCACCAGCATAGGTCAGCCAAGGGTGAACACCTGGATAAGCGGAAAGCTGGGAACAGGCTATCTCTGCCACCCAAATGTCCCCCTGGACTCAGGTACAGGCACAGCCCACTCTCAGGGGTTGACCAAACCATTGAGTCCCTGGATTCCTTTAACGGAATACCCTTCACATAGGGATGGCGAGAGCATTCTCCCATCCCTATCACCTGAACCACAGCCTATCCGCAACCTTACAAGTTGTGACAATTTGCTACGTGGCAGGCGAAACCCAAATGGCAACAGCCAATCAGCCAAGTGGGGAAAATTCCTGCCGTGCCCCTGTCCCAACGACAGACGACACACGACGACATAGCAAGGTCAAGCGCACAGCCCTAAAAGTAGGGAGAGGTGGGCGGGTGTTCTAAATGCACGAGCCGAAAGAGGAAGCTCTGGGTCACGTGCACGGGCATAAATAGGTCCCTCGAACCATTTTGACTGCGTCCCATTGGCCAGATTGCACCCAGCTATGAGGGACCTATCAATCGGGTGTTGTGGCTGACCAATCGTACCCATCCACAACACAGGGTGTTGGTTTTCCAGGTCTCACCGCAATACGTGCCCTCTTTAAGGGAGGACCTGATTTGTCAATATATAACATAAATTACTGTGCTCTTGCACCACCAAGCTTATTGGAAACATGGTAGCTATATAGACTCAAGCATTAGAATATTTCAGGCAGTTGATTTCTACAGGCTTAATAAAACAAAAACCACAAACACCATACCACTGGACCACCTCCCAGAGAATGTATTACACAATTTGCAATAGGCTGCCACTTTCTGTAATACAGTTTAAAAACCTACGATACCATTTAAGGATAATTGTACATGCACACTTCAGAACCTCCCTCAGTATCTTCAATGGAAGAGATAGATTATATAAAATGTGGACTTATGCTTTTTGATGAATCAGATGAGGCAGGGGGCCATTCCTACAACAGTACCAGAATATTTTGTATGGGGGACATTCCTCAGGCAGGAGACAGATTTGACCTGTTATCATTTGTGTCTAACAAAAGGATTTTGGCTTGCATGAAACTTGCTCCCATGTAAAATTTGTGGAAGAAACAGATGATCCTGCCTATTTTTGCAGCAGTTGAATGTCTTGTAATGACAATAAATGTGTCTGATAGCCAGCCCACAAGGGATCCAGGCCTAGGTGGACAATCATGGACAATCATTATCACTAGGACATTTCTAACATGAAGTTTTCTTTTCTTTTCTGTAACTCCCCCCCCCCCCCCTTTATGGTCTAGCAGAAGCCTTTTTATGCTTGCATGAATTTGCAGACTGCTCCAGGAATAGAGATAAGACTCTACCAGCTTAGCAAAATACAGTAAATGTGATCTTTAGGGTCTGGAAAGTACATACATACTGAAACCTTGGGTTGCCATATTTCAAAAAGTGCAGAACAACAAACGCCTGTGTTGCAAACTTAACACAACAAACAACGCAAGCAACACGATGACCAGTATACTAGATAGCACTGCAATTCTTATTGCATAATATACATAATTGAGTACAACAAAAACAAAATGTGTACACTTGTAAATTCTCTAATATATTTGAAATCAAATGAACACACGTCTGTCAATCTTTGAAAGTCCGTAGAAGTATAATAAGTCTATAGTTGAAAAAGTAATTGATGCTATCCTGTGGGCTAAGCAGTAAAACTTTTTAGGCGTTCATGGTGCCAAAGTAGTAAGCGAATAACAACGTAGGACAGTGATCCCGGATAATCTGATTGTTTTGCTGCAATCTTCTTCAGCACAACCCATAGATTAGAAAAATGCACAAGGAGCAGTGGTCATAAGGATTTTCTTAGGAAAATACAGTAAATGCGATCTTTAGGGTCTGGAAAGTACAGACGTACCGAAACCTCGGGTTGCCAGATTTCAAAAAGTGAACATTGCTGAGCTTTTTTTTGGCAAAAAGAAAAGTTTTGCCCAGAGTTGTTGAGGTTTTTTCGCCAAGTTGGGTTACCATATAGAGATCAGCCATGAGCTCAGGTATTTTCACGATATGTATAAGTATCTGCTTCCCCCGATGTTTGGCACGCAGGCTTTGTGATCTTATTCACCCCGTGTCTTGATTGAAGCCCCTCTCAGTGAACTGAATACCCTTTCCGCCCATTGTCTCCTCAATTGGCTTTAACAGGGGAGGCAGTGCTGGAGACCCTTTTGGGGGTCAATCATTTGTACAATTAACTGGAGAAAACCAACGGCCTGCTGCCTCCTTGTATCAAGCCCTGTATAGGAAAGCTGTTCACTGTGTGATGTTTCATTATGTTTTTATATTTGCTGGAAGCCACCCAGAATGGCTGAGGCGGGGTACAAATAATAATAATAATATTATTATTTGTCGCTGTGGCAGGCTGGCATGGCGAAAAGGGTTGCTGTCATCGGAGCTGGGGCCAGTGGCCTGACTGCTATTAAATGCTGCTTGGATGAAGGTCTCCAGCCAACATGTTTTGAAAGAAGTGACGACATTGGTGGGCTGTGGAGGTTCCAGGTATGTCAAAGTCTGGCTTTGTTGTTTATTTACAAGCAGGGTCGTCTTTAGCATAGGCGGCGCCGGGGTGCAAAATCTGCCCAGCGCAACCAAATGTTCATTTTAGCTGCTGCCGCTGCCTCCTCCCGGATACTAATAAATGCTACTTTCACGGAGGGAAGACTGGGGGTGTGGGTCAAGGAAGAAGAAGAAGAAGAGAACAAGAAGAGTTTGGATTTGATATTCCCGTTTTATCACTACCCGAAGGAGTCTCAAAGCGGCTAACATTCTCCTTTCCCTTCCTTCCCCACAACAAACACTGGGTGACCTTAGGCTAGTCACACTTCTTTGAAGTCTCTCAGCCCCACTCACCTCACAAAGAAGTGCGACTAGCCTAAGGTCACCCAGCAGCTGCATGTGGAGGAGCGGGGAAGCGAACCCGGTTCCCCAGATTACGAGTCCACCGTTCTTAACCACTACACCGCACTGGCTCTTGAGGGAGGGAGATGCTGCCTTCATGGAGAGAAGACTGGCGGTGTGGGGTGAGGGAGGGAGATGCTGCCTCATGGAGGGAAGACTGGGGGTGTGGGGTGAGGTAGGGAGGGAGGCTTGGGAAGGAAGCTGCACGCTCGCCAGCCATATGGTTGGCGAGGCACAGCTGGCGGGCGTGCAGGGAAAGGGGAGGCTGCCGGCAAAGCCACACAACTCCCCCACTCGCTGGGGCGCCCCTGAGAGGCTGGCGCCCTGGCGCAACGAACCACTAAGCCCTATGGGAAAGACGGCTCTGTTTACAAGGGAATAGCAAAATGTCCATGTGCAAACAGCAATAGTGCCCCTTGCGACAGGATGAGCATCCAGCAAAGAGAATGGTGCTTTGTTTCTGCTTTGCCCACCTGTATCTGCTTAAAGAATACAGTGGTACCTCGGGTTAAGAACTTAATTCATTCTGGAGGTCCATTCTTAACCTGAAACTGTTCTTAACCTGAGGTACCACTTTAGCTAATGGGGCCTCCCGCTGCTGCCGCGCCGCCGGAGCACGATTTCTGTTCTCATCCTGAAGCAAAGTTCTTAACCCGAGGTACTATTTCTGGGTTAGCGGAGTCTGTAACCTGAAGCGGCTGTAACCCAAGGTACCACTATATGTGGGGGAAGAAAAAGAGGCTGGGAGTTCAAAGTTATATTTGGATGGGGGAGGGATTGCTAATCATTGGAAGCTCCTATAAAAACCTTCGCATTCCCAAGCACACATCCTCCGTCAGTAGCAGCAGTAAGCCATGGGTGGTTGAAAGGAATTTTCATTTAGCCGGGGACAAATCACAGGTGAGATATCTGACTGGCTATTCTTGGGAAGAGGTTGTGACTGCAAATTATATTTCAGATTTAGAGCAGGCCAAAATCAAAATGGCTGAAAGATTCAAACAGTCAATGCTAAAAATACTTTGCATTTTGAAACGGAAGTTTCTCAAAGTGTGAATCACAGGATAATAGTTTGCAGATTCTGAATATTTGTTTTGATGAAGCCAGTAAGGTATAGAACAATGATATACACATTGCTAAGCTCCTAGTTTAAGAAAAGCTGCACGTTTTCCCAGGGCCTTGAAAATGAGCTACTTTCATTCTTTAAGTTTCACTATGGGTCTCTGGTGAAAAATGGTTTTTGAAGCACTATGGAAACCTGGCAAAATGTGCTAGATCAGAAACCATAGCCTGGAGCCATGATAATAATAATAATAATAATAATAATAATAATAATAATAATAATAATATTTATATCCCTCCCTCCCCAGCCAAAGCCGGGCTCAGAGCGGCTAACAACAGTAAAAATAACACAGTTTACATAAAATCACAATCAATTAATTGAAATACATTCTAAAATCAGTTCATTTAAAAATCAATTCAGAGTCAAATTAATGGCAACCATCGGGCTAGAGTTCTATGCGGATTACAGAAGGAGGGGGTCAGACTGTGCCTTCAGGTACTAAGTACCTGAAAAAACCCATGATCTAGGCTCAACTTTAGAAGCCCTGTTCTTAATTCTGCAATTTCCTTCAGGAGCACGATATTGGGGGCCAGGCCAGCATTTATAAATCTCTAACCATCAATACCTCAAAGGAGATGATGAGCTACAGTGATTTCCCCATCCCTGCTGAGTACCCAAACTACATGCACCACAGCAAAGTGATGGAGTACTTCAGGATGTATGCAGAACACTTTGACTTGCTCAGACACATACGTTTCAAGGTAAGAAGCCTGGCCCCTCATTCTATGGCAGGGGTCAGCAACCTTTTTCAGTCGTGGGCCAGTCCACCGTCCCTCAGACCATGTGGTGGGCCGGACTATATTTTGGAAAAAAATATGAACGAATTGCTATGCCCCACAAATAACCCAGAGATGAATTTTAAATAAAAGGACACATTCTACTCGTGTAAAAACAGCAGGCAGGCCCCACAAATCACCCAGAGATGCATTTTAAATACAGTGGTGCCTCGCAAGACAAAATTAATCCGTTCCGCGAGTATCTTCGTCTAGCGGTTTTTTCGTCTTGCGAAGCAACCCTATTAGCGGCTTAGCAGATTAGCGCTATTAGCGGTTTAGCGGCTATTAAAGGCTTATCGGCTTAGCGGATTAGCTGCTAAAAGGCTATTAAAGGCTTAGCGGCTTAGAAAAAGGGGGGGGGAAAGCGGGAAAAAAATCTCAAGACTCGCAAGACATTTTCGTCTTGGGAAGCAAGCCCATAGGGAAATTCGTCCTGTGAAGCGCATTGAAAACGGAAAACCCTTTCGTCTAGCGGGTTTTCCGTCTTGCGAGGCATTCGTTTTGCGGGGCACCACTGTAAAAGGAAACATTCTACTCTACATGCTGATTCCTGGACCATCCATGGGCTGGACTGAGAAGGCGAATGGGACGCATCCAGCCCCCGGGCCTTAGGTTGCCTGCCCCTGTTTTATGGCTACCAAGGCAGCAGCAAGCATGATCACAGTAGGGATGGTGGAAAACAGCTGGGAATGGAAAACAGAAACAGATTCTCCTGCCCCTGCCTCCCACTTCCTTTCCTTTAAATGGTTTTAAATTTAAATGATGCTTTTAATAAGGTTTTTTATTTAATTGTGGGTGAGTGTGTATCCTTTGTGTGTTTTTAAACTGTTTTCATGTTACGAGCTGCCTTGGGGAAAAGGCAAGATATAAACAAACAAATAAAATGCCACAAAGGCAACTTTCAACATGTTTCAAGGGAAATTTGTAAAAAAAAACAAACCCCACAAATTTTATACTCTAAAGAGGCACAAAGTTACAGGCTCAAAAAAGACAGCCTCTGATATAATAAACTAAAAGCACTTTTGGAGTGGTTGGGGTGGGGGACATTTTGACAAACCACCACAACCTCCCAGATTTGTTCGAGGTATGAACTTGATATTTCATGCCATGATATTTTATTATATATGTTTTATGATTTCATTATGTATAATATGGGACATGGGTGGTGCTGTGGGTTAAACCACAGAGCCTAGGACTTGCTGATCAGAAGGTCAGCGGTTCGAATCCTCGCGACGGGGTGAGCTCCCGTTGCTCAGTCCCAGTTCCTGCCAACCTAGCAGTTCAAAAGGTAAACGGCGTTTCCGTGCACTGGTCTGGTTCGCCAGAAGCAGCTTAGTCATGCTGGCCACATGACCTGGAAGCTGTATGCCAGCTCCCTCGGCCAATAAAGTGAGATGAGCGCCGCAACCCCAGAGTCATCCGTGACTGGACCAAACGGTCAGGGGTCCCTTTACCTTTACATTTATGTATGATATATTATTGGCCCATCCAGTTCAGCCTTCTCGTCAGCTCTGACTGCTAAGCAGCGCTCCCTCGCTTCAGGCAGGAGCATTTTCCCGCCCTTCCTGGGAGTGCCAAGTATTGCACCGCGGCCTTTTAAATGTGTGCAGCAACTACAGTTGTGCTTTGTAAGCTCCCTCTAGTACGGGTTGTACCACTTGAGATTGTGGATGAGGCCTCACACGATTTTATGTGGACGTTCGATCTTGTCTCAAGTGATACAGTTTTTATAAGGCTCCCACACCTTGGAAACTTGCACAATGGCTGTTCTTGTTTTCTGTGCGGAGGAGCATGATTTAGCCATGTAAGCTCCCACCTAGAACCTGATCTGGTCTTATCCAAGAACAGGTTTATAACACCTCATTGAGGGGTGGCAGTGGCGGGGGGTGGCCTTTATGTCTAATAATAATAATAATAATAATAATAATAATAATAATAATATTTTATTTATACCCCGCCCTCCCCAGCCAAGGCCGGGCTCAGTGACAGTGACAGATATATGTATAAGCTAAATAAGCTATAGCATACGACCCCACTCTCTTGGGGCCCTCAAAAAATTTAAAGGAAAAAAACAACCCGGATGTACATTTCCAAAATATTAGATAAAAAACTAATAAAATAAAACCGACATACAGCAACAGTGTTTTGGGTTGTGTAGGCTCTTATGATGTAAGTAATGGGCCCCACCTGCTAGCCTGCTCCCTAAAATATCACTGGTTTGCTCATTTCTATATATAGGGTGCCTATATTCTGCATGTGCAAATGGCTTTAGATACCTATTAGGTCTATAAATTACCATATAGCATATATTCAACACAAAAAAACAGCGACAATTTGTTGTTGACAAAGGACAGCTGGACATATAAAGGGCCCAATTACCTTCAGTAGCTTAGGGCCTCATCAAACCTAAATCCGGCCCTGCGTCTAGATATTCATTGTATGAGCAGTTCCCAAAATGATTCAAAGGAACGTCATCCCCGTGACCCCCCAATCTGAGGGTGCAATATAAATGTTCCACTTTGCAACCCCACTCACTGGCCTTTGTGAGCGTATTTTAATTCATGTGCTTCATTGCTGTGAAATGTGCATATAAAGCCAAGCATAAAAACCATTTACCTTGTCTTTCAAGGCCTGTGTCTGCAGCATAAAGAAACGTCCAGATTTCCCCATTACTGGCCAATGGGAGGTTGTAAGTGAAATATATGGGAAGCAGGAATCTGCCATCTTTGATGCTGTCCTGGTCTGCACTGGGCACCACATAGATCCTTATTTTCCACTGGATTTGTTTCCTGGTAGGTGGGATTTTCTGATGTGGTCAACTGCTTGAGAGTTCTGGGGAACCCGTACGAAAGCAGAATCTCCGTGGCAGGAGTTTGGTTACCCCCGCTATTCTTTTTAGGGTATTTGGGTGTCTTAGAATATTTATAACATAGTAACATCGACAACCTCAAATATTTAAGGCACTATGTGTGGGAATACAGGTTAAAATATAATTTAAAAAGCTGCCTCATTTTAATAGTGGCCCGTAGATCAAAACCATAAGGGGAGGGAAACATAAGGCTGAGTCCAAACCAAAGGCCAGGCGGAACAGCTCTGTCTTGCAGGCCCTGTGGAAATATGTCAAGTCCCGCGGGGCCCTAGTCTCTTGTGACAGAGCGTTCCACCAAGTCGGAGCCAGTACTGAAAAGGCCCTGGCTCTAGCTGAGACCAACCTAACCACCTTACGACTTGGGACCTTCAAGGTGTTGTCATTTGTAGACTTTAAGGTCCTCCGCGGGGCATACCAGGAGAGGTGGTCCCGTAGGTACGTGGGTCCTAGGCCGCATATTTTTTATTGTTGTTGTTATTATTATTATTATTATTATTATTATTATCCCTGCTCGGAGGAAGAGCATTTCCTCCCTGGGGCGATGTCAGACTTGACTATCCTTGCTAGGGGCACAGATAACTCTGTGAAACCTGTACGGATGTTTAAATTTGAGGCTTCCCCCTGACAGTGGAAGCAACAAGGATACACCTTGCTCAGCACCATGCAAAATGGCTTATTTCTCCTTTTCACAGGTGTTGAGAAGTTTAAGGGGAAAATTATGCACAGCCGAGAATATAAGCATCCTGAAAAATTCCGGGACCAGCGAATCCTCGTGATAGGCTTGGGAAATTCTGGAGCGGACATCTCCGTGGACCTCAGCCATGTCACTAAGCAGGTGCTGCTCACTTAAGAAAAAACAAATAAATCATTTGCCTTTTATTCTCCTAAACACCTTTCTGGGGCACCTTTCTCAAGCTTCGGGCCCTGTAGTGCCACTGAAACCAAGAGAAGAGGTGAGCTCTGCTAGTGACACTTAACCTGCTTAATTCTGCAAGTGTTTACTTGTAAGGAAGTCTCACTTAACTCAATGGCACTTGATTCCTCAGAATCTTTTCCCTAAATATGCAATTTAAAAACAAAACACAAAGCAATTCATGGGGGACTTTGCGGTTGAGCAATGAACCCACAGAGGGTGGGATTGCTTAGCGCTTGAGGCCCCTACCAACCCTCAGCTGCTTTTTCAGCCACAGGGGAAAATATACTGGAGTTCCCCCATAGGATAATATTCCAAAATGGTATTCCCCACCTGCAGTGTATCAAAGGATAGTGTATCAAATCGCTACAAGGACGCTGCCAGCACATTCTAATGTATGTGTCGGTTATGCCTGAACATGTGAACATGTGATTCCATTACACTTGGCCCTCAGTAGGCATCTCTGGTGGGTTTTTCTTCCTTAACCTGCCCCTGTCTCCTCCCGATAGATCTTTCTGAGCACCAGAACTGGCACCTGGGTGGTGAATCGTGTCTCCGATGATGGTTACCCCTTGGACGTGGTTCATTTTACACGCTTCAAAAACCTCCTTCGCAGTATGCTTCCTTGCACTCTGGTGAACCTGTGGGGAGAGAAGAAGCTGAATGCGAGGTTTAATCATGAGAACTATGGTATAAAACCCCAGCACAGGTAAGGCAGGAGACTTTTTTAATCTTGGAGAATCATGAAGGGTGGGGAATTCTGCCTTTCTTTGCTGTTTTTAGCATTTCTTCTTTTTCTTCTTTTCTTCTTTTTTCTTTTTCAAGGAACCATTTGCATTCTTTTATTAAAAGTTTGTTACCTTGATTTCTTATTTTTCCGGTAAGTTTCGCCATTTCTGCATATTTCATAAGTTTTTATATCCATTCTTCTTTCGCTGGGACATCTTCTTCTTTCCATTTTTGGGCAAGGAACATTCTTGCCGCTGTAGTCGCATACATGAATAAATTTCAATACAGTTTGGATAGTTCTGTCCCTATAATTCCCAAAAGGAAAGCTTCTGGGTTTGGTTTTTTTACAAACATTATTTTAAACATATTTTTCAATTCATTACATATCATTTCCCAGTTAAGCTTTAACCTTACTACAAGACCACCACATATGGTCAAAAAGAACCTTCTTTCTCTTTACACTTCCAACACTTATTTGATATTGATTTATACATTTTTGCCATTTATTCAGTGTTAGGTACCACCGATATAACATTTTCATATAATTTTCTCTTAGACCATAACATGCTGTAAATTTTATATCCATATTCCACGATCGTTCCCATGCTTCCATATCTATATTATAACCAATAACTATTGTCCAGTGTATCATTGAGGATTTTACTTGCTCGTCCTTTGTCTCCCATTCCAATAATATTTTATACATTTTAGACAGGACTTTTACATTACATTCCAAGAGATCTCTCTTCAGTTGTGATATTTGTTCCCCAAACCCTTGTATCCTATCTTTCTTAAATACTTTGTTCAAATGATGATATTGGATCCATGTTGTTAATTTTCCTGATAATTCCTTAAATTCTTTTAATGGATACTCTCCTCCCTCTTGGTTTAATAAATTTCTTTAAGTTGTCCACCCTTCTATCAGATTCCTTTTCTTTACCGCTATAGCTTCCAACAGACGCGGGTGGCGTTGTGGGTTAAACCACAGAGCCTAGGATTTGCTGATCGGAAGGTCGGTGGTTTGAATCCCTGTGACAGGGTGAGCTCCCGTTGCTTGGTCCCTGCTCCTGCCAAACTAGCAGTTCGAAAGCACGTCAAAGTGCAAGTAGATAAATAGGTACCGCTCTGGCAGGAAGGTAAATGGCGTTTCCGTGCGCTGCTCTGGTTCGCCAGAAGCGGCTTAGTCATGCTGGCCACATGACTCAGAAGCTGTACGCCAGCTCCCTCGGCCAATAAAGCGAGATGAGCGCAGCAACCCCAGAGTCAGTCACGACTGGACCTAATGGTCAGGGGTCCCTTTACCTTTATAGCTTCCAACGGTGAGAGCCAAATGGATGGGGCTGAATCAACCAGCTCCCCTCTCTTATTCCTCCTCTCCCATGTCACTGCCTGACCTCTCGCCACCTCCATTCTCAGAGTCCCCTCATCCTTTGACACATCCTGCCTTTCCCACCCCATCCTGGCTGCCACCAGGTAGCACATGCAGCTAGTCTCTCTGGCCTCACTTGTAATAATCTCCTCTCCATTCTTCTTTCTGTCCACGTGTGTGAAAATATATATGCTTCCATACTGTCAGGCTAGGGAATTTGATCCCTCCCACAGTGGCAGCCAAGAAGCAGATAACAAGAAGAGTTCTTACCAAGTCTTTATTCAATATTCACACAGAGAGAACGCAGAAATGCCATCTCTCTTAGATAATGGCGTTGCTCCAAGTAAAGTCCCACCCCCTCCGTCTCTCCTATTATACATCATCCCTGTGTCATCTGACCTGTGCTTTCTGCCTCTGAGCTTTCTGTTCTACTACTCTCAATGCACGCCGGGTCCTGGGAGAGGGGGGTCAGGAATGCTTTCTAAAGACCCTGAGTCTGTTAGCTGTATCTCCCCTAGTGCTTCTTCTTCCTGCTGCTCCTCTCCCAATATTTCCCAGCTTCTCCTCTCTGCAGCCTCTGCACTATGACCTTCCGCAAACCACTCTTCTAAATCTATACTGTCCTTCTCTTCTTGGGAAGATTCAGGAAGAGGGGGGCGCGGTCCCCACCATTCCTCCTCAGTCCAGTCCCTGACACATACACACAGAGAAGCAAAGGCTTCTCCCCTTGTGCTCCGTAAAGAGCCATGCACACTGTGTGTGTATTTGTGTGTGTGTGACAAACAACCAAGGAATAAATCTTAATAAACTTCTGCAAGCGCAGAACAACGCCCCCCAACCCATCCAGAGGTTACAGCACTTCAAGGTCTCTTTCCTTCTTTGCTCCATAGGTTCCTCAGTAGGTATCCCATTGCAGCTGACGACCTTCCAAATGCCATAATTTCTGGCAGGGTGCTCATGAAGCCAAATGTGAAGGAGTTCACCGAGAGAGGAGTGATATTTGAAGATGGCAGCAGAGAGGAAGACATTGACGTGGTGATCTTTGCCACAGGATACAACTACTCATTTGCCTTCGTTGAGGAGGGAGTCATCAAGACAAGGGGCAATTGGATCCCGCTCTATAAGTTTGTCTTCCCACCACAGCTGGAAAAGCCCACAATGGCAATCATTGGCCTCCTCCAACCTTTGGGAGCCATTATGCCAATAGCTGAACTCCAAGCTCGCTGGGCCACGAGAATCTTCAAGGGTAAGGAAGAGAGGAATACACTGGGGATTCCCAAGCTACTGCTCTGCTAAGGTCTCCAGCTTGGGCTCTGTTCAGTATAGTGAACTCCCTGATCCATGCTGGAACAACAAAGAATTATGGGTGGATTCTCATGGGTGTGAAAAGGTGACTTCTAATCCAACCATGCATTTCTATAACTGTGTCTGGGAGGGGACTGAGTTATGAGAGAGGTTGCAGTAGGCAAGGAGACCAAGGCTTGAACCAGAGTTTTACCTGATAGGACAGGAAGAAATGAGCATCTTTTTGCATTCTTGGTCAGGAGAAAGAGAGCTGCGAAACAATTGGCCAGCCGATCCTTTATTTGAAATGCTTAACTGGTACATATCTCTGTGTTATTTTTCAGGCCTGCTCAAGTTGCCTTCAGAGGATGAAATGATGGCTGACATTACCAAGAAGGTCACGTATAATGAGAAACGGTAGGTTGCCGTCTTTCCATACTTACAGTGAGGGATGCTAATTTCTCTTGGGACTTCAGCATGCTAAATCTCATTTCTTGCTTTGTAGAGTGTTCTTCAAATGTGTAGTTTGCCAGAGCTTCCCATTAGTTCATGCCATTTTTCACCTCTACATTGCTGGTACATGCACATTGATAAAATGTGGCAGAAAAGCAATATTTGTGCCAGTGTACAAGCTTTTTCCCTGCAGGATTCCCCCAGTATTTGAATAGGGTGGAAAGTGTGTGACCTTTGACCACCAATTTGGGAAGACTAGTAACCCTTGAGCAATAGGATGTGGGGCAGAGGAACAGTTTGGGGCTAGTTTCCCCGTTCAACTAGGAGTCAGGGAAGCAGAAAGACCAGTGAGTTGACTGAGGCTGAAGCATCCTTCCAGTCCACAGTTGCTCTTTGGTGACCTGATGCAGAATTACCGTATTTTTTGCTCTATAAGACTCACTTTTTCCCTCCTAAAAAAGTAAGGGGAAATGTGTGTGCGTCTTATGGAGCGAATGCAGGCTGCGCAGCTATCCCAGAAGCCAGAACAGCAAGAGGGGTTGCTGCTTTCACTGCGCAGAGATCCCTCTTGCCGTTCTGGCTTCTGAGATTCAGAATATTTTTTTTCTTGTTTTCCTCCTCCAAAAACTAGGTGCATCTTATGGTCTGGTGCGTCTTATAGAGTGAAAAATACGGTACCAACTTTGTTGCCTGCTAAGATGTGCAGCCTCTGCCCAGCCTGGATATTTGTAAACAAAGCAAATATTCACAAGGGATGTTAAGTTTCCAATGCTCTCCCATCCACAGGAAAGGGAACCCTGTAGTTCTGTCCTGAAGCCTCTCGCGGAAGTAGGGTGTGTGTTGCCACTGGAAATTATGAGTCTTGCTCCCTGGGATTAAAAGCAGCCAAATGCGCCAAACTTGGCAAAGGGGAGAGGGAGTGGCTGTAGGGAGACCAAGCTGGAGCTGCGTTTAAGGCAGGGGTCAGCAAACCTTTTCAGCAGGGGGCCAGACCACTGTCCCTCAGACCTTGTCAGGGGCCAGACTATATTTTTATTTGGCGGGGGGGATGAACAAATTCCTATGCCCCACAAAGAACCCAGAGATTCATTTTAAATAAAAGCACACATTCTACTCATGTAAAAACATGCTGAATCCCAGACCATCCGCAGGCTGGATTTAGAAGGTGATTGGGCCGGATCTGGCCTCTGGGCCTTAGTTTGCCTACCCATGGTTTAAGGCAGCCTTCCTCAACCTGTGGGTCCCTAGATGTTGTTGAACCACAACTCCCATCACCCCTAGCTAGCAAGGCCGGAGCTCGGGGATGATGGGAGTTGTAGTCCAACAACATCTGGGGACCCACAGGTTGAGAACCGCTGGTTTAAGGTCTCCTTAAAGGTAAAGGGTAAAGTGACCCCTGACCATTAGGTCCAGTCGTGACCGACTCTGGGGTTGCAGCGCTCATCTCGCTTTATTGGCCGAGGGAGCCGGTGTACAGCTTCCGAGTCATGTGGCCAGCATGACTAAGCCGCTTCTGAACCAGAGCAGCGCACGGAAACGCCGTTTACCTTCCCGCTGGAGCGGTACCTATTTATCTACTTGCACTTTGACATGCTTTTGAACTGCTAGGTTGGCAGGAGCAGGGACCGAGCAACGGGAGCTCACCCTGTCACGGGGATTCGAACCGCCAACCTTCTGATCGGCAAGCCCAGGGGTCTAACTAATGCCTGCCAATTCCCCCCTCTCTCCTTAGATATGTGCCAAGCCAGCACACCATGCTGCAGGTGCAGTATGTTGATCACATGGACGAACTGGCCTCCCTGTCGGGAGTGAAGCCCAACCTGCCGCGTCTCATCCTGACGGACCCAAAGCTGGCCTGGGAGGTGTTCTTTGGGCCCTGCTCTCCGGCGCAGTTCCGTCTGACCGGGCCTGGGAAGTGGGAGGGGGCCAGAAACGCCATCCTGACCCAGAAGGACAGGATCGTCAAGGCCACCAAGACCCGAGGCCTGCAGAGCTGCGTGGGCACCAGTCTGCCTTCGACGCCTTGTTTCTTCATCAAAGTGCTTGGCTGTTTTGCCATCTTTGCCATCCTAGTAGCTTACCTGTAGATTGGAGCCAGAGGGGAGCCCATTTCCTTGTACCTGCCCACCCTTGTACCTGGCAGACATCTAGGATGCTGGGAAGAACAGATATGGCTTTAAAGAGAGCAGAATCTGTTACACGTTAACTCTAGCTTGTTCCGCAGCGAGCAGATCGTGCAATGAATTCCCCAGAATTCCCCCCCACGTATTCTCCCTTACACTAGTCTGCTTGTTAACATTCACACAACCAAGGGGACTCTGTCCTCACAGGCATATTCAGAATAATAGTCGCACTTCTTCATTTTTGCTTTTGTTCTTTTTTTTAACAATAATTTTTATTAGTTTTCAATTACAGTCCAATCATAGCCTCATTATTTGTTTAGTTTTTTAGTCGTGTCCGACTCTTCGTGACCCCATGGACCAGAGCACGCCAGGCACTCCTGTCTTCCACTGCCTCCCACAGCTTGGTCAGACTCATGTTTGTCGCTTCAAGAACACTGTCCAACCAAGCCTCATTATAACAATACCCATTTATGATACAATTACTAATGCCAATCGTTCAAATACCAAATTATATAATTTAGATAAGGTGACCCCCACCCCCGGCATGCTAGAATTTTGATGATTTTCTTTATTTCTGCATTCCAAAATCTTATTAATTTCAATTACATTCTGGTCATAATAATAATCCCTTATACAACAACTGCAATATTAATAACTTCTATTCGTACTGACACATTAAATGATTTATACAACTACAAGTGAGGCTCTCAAACTATATCCTTGTTCTTCCCGTGTGTGGCAGTTATTCTGTCCATGGTGTTTCTTCCTGTCCTTGTAAGATGTTATGTCTTTCTTCCACCCGGTTGTTGCTGTTATCCATCATGCCTTGGGTGGAGCTGATATCCCATTGTGGTTCCAGAAATTTCTCCCTCACTCTGTCCTGTGCTTCGTTATTTTTCAACTTCCACAACAGCTGCAAAAGTCACTCTGTCCTAATAAATAACATTTTTTCGCCATTTTCCCTCTCAGCCTGGCCCTCTCAATGTGTTCAGCACCCTAATCTGAGGATTCTCACATTCAAAAGTTCCTAAGGAAAGCAAACCCTGTTACGATGGAAGATAATAAAAAGCTACCTTGTGACTTGTATGAGTTTTATAAACATCCCCCATCTTTTCCTGCACAGATCAGGCTTTTGAACTGCTGAGAAGTGAGGATAAACAGTTTTTGAAATTACAGAGCAATACCCACTTTAATATTTTATTCATGCAGCTGTCAGTCTACAACAGCTTATAACACGATAGATCTGCCTTTCTTTTAAGATGCCACAAGGCCCCGGGCAACTCTAGCAGCTTAAGCTTCTGTGAGACGGAGAAATGCCAAAACTGGATGCTTGTTGAATTTCTAAGAAATAAAACGTATAATATGCTGAGCTAATCACAGTTGCTGTTTACTGAAGTGCATGAAATGAAACATTATCAGTAAGATATCAAGTAGGGATGGGCAACCTTTTAGGGTATGGGTAGGCAAACTAAGGACATCCTGAAGCTGAGGCTCCAATACTTTGGCCACCTCATGAGAAGAGAAGACTTCCTGGAAAAGACCCTGATGTTGAGAAAGATGGAGGGCACAAGGAGAAGGGGACGACAGAGGACGAGATGGTTGGATAGTGTTCTCGAAGCTACAAACATGAGTCTGACCAAACTGCGGGAGGCAGTGGAAGACAGGAGTGCCTGGCGTGCTCTGGTCCATGGGGTCACGAAGAGTCAGACACGACTAAATGACTAAACAACAACAACAACAGGCAAACTAAGGGATGTGGGTGGCGCTGTGGGTTAAACCACAGAGCCTAGGGCTTGCCAATCAGAATGTCGGCGGTTCAAATCCCCGTAACGGGGCGAGCTCCCGTTGCTCTGCCCCAGCTCCCGCCAACCTAGCAGTTCAAAAGCACCTCAAAGTGCAAGTAGATAAATAGGTATCACTCAGGCGGGAAGGTAAATGGCGTTTCCGTGCGCTGCTCTGGTTCGCCAGAAGCGGCTTAGTCATGCCGGCCATATGACCCAGAAGCTGTACGCTGGCTCCCTCGGCCAGTAAAGCAAGATGAGTGCCGCAACCCCAGAGTTGGGGGTCCCTTTACCTTTACCTTAGGCAAACTAAGGCCCGGGGACCGGATCTGGCCCAATTGCCTTCTAAATGCGGCCTGCGGACAGTCCAGGAATCAGCGTGTTTTTACATGAGTAGAATGTGTCCTTTTATTTAAAATACATCTCTGGGTTATTTGTGGGGCCTGCCTGGTGTTTTTACATGAGTGGAATGTGTGCTTTTATTTAAAATGCATCTCTGGGTTATTTGTGGGGCACAGGAATTTGTTCATTCCCCCCAAAAAATATAGTCCGGCCCCCCACAAGGTCTGAGGGACAGTGGACCAGCCCCCTGCTGAAAAAGTTTGCTGACCCCTGTTTTAGGGACTAGTACGCGGGACCAGATTCAGCTTGCTAGTCCTGCTTAGCAGAAGCCCACACAAAGACTTCTGCTAGAGCAGTGCCACCTCTCCCCACTTTCTGCCCCCCACGTGGCCCAAAATGACTTGGGGTGTGTGCGAGAAGAATCCCCGGATAGCATGCAGGGGAGCAGAGGGGAGATTGTTCCCTTGGGCAAGCAGAAGGGCTTACGCAGACAGACCTTTCTAAGAGTGGAATGCCAAATTCCTCCCTATATTTCCTTGCACCCCAGGGGTGGGGAACACACATTTGTCAATCTCCTGATGTCACAATCATCTGATGTCATAGTGACATCATGTGTGTCATCATGTGTCAATGCCATGTGTCAGAGCATAGCGCTTTGCAACTCACATCCCAAATGCCCAACAATAAACTGGTTGCCGGGCGGTCTGCAACCCCCAAGCTTGAAAGTTAGAGAGGACGAAATGTGCAGAATGGGAGAGGCGCAAAAGTTGGTCTCTGCATCCTCCATTGCAGGAAGGAATTGAGAATTCTCTAAGAGCTGCTTCTACACTCTTCAGAGAATTACAGTTCTCACGAGCGCCAGAGGTCTAGGCCCAGAGAAGGGCTTGAGCATTAAACCCATCCATTCTTCTGCCTTCCACAAGGTGTCATCTGAGATCCACAACTGATTGGGCTCCGGCTCTTTCCGTTGAAAAATCCCTGCTTTCATTGTTAATAGCCAGCCTGATAAAAGAGTTCTAGAGAACACAAACATTTGCACACTGTTTTGTAGCATTCAGTTGGCCACATAGACATACACCTTTAACTTATGTCCATTGAAAAATGCTTCCAGTCGTTTTCCAGGAACACTTAAGTCTGACGCAGAGAGTTGATGGTATGTGGTCAGGCAGAGATCAGATGTAGGAACCGACACTTGGAGCCTCTGCCACAATTTGCTCAGATGTGACAGTTACAGTATACAGTTTGACGTTGTCAAATCTTGGTCAAGTGTTTTTAAAGAGAGAGAGAGATTTACGTCTGCTGAAATAACTTTGAAATTTATACATTTGATTGCACGTTTACTGAATTGGCCCAGTACTGAATTGCTCCCAGGATTAAGAGAAAACTCATACACCCACAGCTCAAAAAGTCAAATTACATTGATGACAGTATTTTGAATAATGGTAATGTGAATGAGTGTGTAGATTAAGTCATATATTACAGAGCCAATTCATTTACAAATTAATTTGCACTCAAGCATAGGTGTTCCAGGCAAAAACAAACAAACAAATTTTGAAGCGTGCCCCGGAGGTTATTGACTTGCTGGCTAGGTGTTCTGCTTTAAGGACAAAGAAGATCAGAACATGCTGTACGCAGCTTTGGAAAGCCACTGTCTCTGCTTGCAGGTGGCGATGCTTCATTTTTCTGCATGTTTAGTGATTGGTGCTACATATACAATAGACACATCTGCATATAACTGTGACATTTACTGCCATTGCTCCCAATTTAGGGACCTTGAGCAGCAGCACCATTGTAAAGCTCCAATTCTGCTGTGGTTCTCAATGCTAAGCACAAAAAACATGCTTCAAAAAACATTATGACATGCCACTGGAAAAGGAACCACAAGTGGCATGTTGTCTTGCATGTATTTCGCATATGCCTTTGTAGATGCTTTGCAAAGAAAATCTCTCTCTCTTACACACACACACACACACAGAGAGAGAGAGAGAGAGAGAGAGAGAGAGAGAGAGATCTTCTCATAACAGAGTAGCTTGCCACAGCCTATCTACAATACAATTAAGACTAAAATGTGGTGATTCCTATCTTGGTGTTCAAGCAACTTGGTCCTTAGCAGTTCAGCTCCTTGCTTTTTGCACGTGAAACTCCATGTTTGTTTGATTTTATGTTTCCCTTTCCAAAACCCCTTTGTAGAGCAGCAGAGGTCAGATCTGTTTGCTGTAAACTGCTGCTTTTGCAAGATTATTTTATTCATGGGATCTATTCACAACACAGCTGAGATTTAATCACCAAGCACAGAGTCGCAGTGGAGTAATTGCTAACTGCCCCAATGGCCACCTATAATTTCTACCAGACCTAGCAATTAGCTCCCACAATTAATTGTATTAACTCGGTTAAACCCATAATTGAGTAATTTTAGTTTTGGGGAAGTATAAACAAGTTCATGTCTGCAAGCAATGCGAGAGCTTTTTTTTGGGTTTTGGTAGGTATTCAATAACAAGAGTATACGGAGCTGAAAAGATTATAGCTTTACAAGGCGGACATTTTATGGGTCACATCACATGTTTCGTGGATTGGTTTTCACATATTATCTTCAACCTGCTCCAGTGTGTAATCAAAGACTTGAGGAATCGAATTGCCCCCATGTTGTTAAAGACGTAAACAAAATAACTGACCATTTGCTAGCTTATAATGGTGCCTTATATCCACCACCTGAGGGAAGTTGGCAAGCATGGATTGCTGTGGATGAGCAATTTATAGCTGGGCTATTCATTTTTGCAAAGATTCCTACCAGTGTTCTATAAGTCCAAACTGTAGCATTAATGTGTTTTTTAATAATATTTTTTATTAGTTTTCAATTAGAGTTCAATAATAGCCTCATTAGGGAGGCGGGTGGCATTGTGGGTTAAACCACAGAGCCTAGGATTTGCCGATCAGAAGGTCGGCGGTTCGAATCCCCGCGACGGGGTGAGCTCCCGTTGCTCAGTCCCTGCTCCTGCCAACCTAGCAGTTTGAAAGCACGTCAAAGTGCAAGTAGATAAATAGGAACCGCTCCGGCGGGAAGGTAAACGGCATTTCCGTGCGCTGCTCTGGTTTGCCAGAAGCGGCTTAGTCATGCTGGCCACATGACCCGGAAGCTGTATGCCGGCTCCCTCGGCCAATAAAGCGAGATGAGTGCCGCAACCCCAGAGTCGGTCACGATTGGACCTAATGGTCAGGGGTCCCTTTACCTTTACCTTTTAATAGCCTCATTATAACAATGCCAAATTATAATACAATTGCTAATACCAATAATTCAGATACCAAATTATATAATTTAGGTCGCCCCCCACATGCTAGAATTGATGGTTTGGTGATGTGCTTTATTTCTGCATTCCAAATTCTTATTAATTTCAATTACACTCCAGTCAAGATAACAATCCCATATACAACAACTGCAATATTAACAACTTCAATTTGTGTTGACACTTTAAGTGATTTATGAAACTACAGGTGAGGCACTCAAACTATGTCCTTATTCTTCCTGCGTGTGGCAATTATTCTGTCCATGATGTTTCTTCCTGTACTTCCGCATTAATGTTGGCCAGTTGACTTTACAAAAATGTCTATTTGGCTTGAGATGCAGCAGGTTTAATGCTCATTTTCCAATATCTTTCAGAAAGAGACACACACAAATGTTGGGTTCTGTGACTCCTATTTGCACCGATGTGCCTATTCAAAAATAAGAAGATGGGCATGTTCCAAACATTGACTGGGGGTTGTTGCTCAACTGGAAACACTTCTGAACTTATGCTAACAGCTCCCATCCAAGTATGGTGAAAGAAGGCATGGCTGCAAACTGTTGCAAAGTTGTTTAGGTTAAAGGAGATTTTGGGTAGAGGAACAAAAGGGTTCAGAATGGCCATAATGAGATGCTCAGAAGTGGCTAATAACATACGGTTAGAAAAAAAGAAAAAAGAAAAAAGCTATACAACAGACTAATCATAGAATTGTAGTGCTGGAAGTGACCCAAAATGGTCCTCTATTCCAACCCTCTGCCATGCAGGAATCACAGCTAAAGAATCCCTGCAGATGGCCTATAACCTCTGCTTAAAAACCTCCAAGGAAGTGCCGGGGGGCACCACATAGCCCCCAGATCGAGATAAGCATCTCCGGGCGTCTTCCTCTGGAACGCAGCACGGAACGGTCATAACTCTTCAGTCCCATATCGCAGCATATCCCAAAATATGTGCACACTCAAATAGCAGAGTAAAGTTGGAAGCTGAGGCTATGAGGTGTGGCATCTAAGTAATTTATTAAGCAATATATACAGGACAAAGCAATCATGGTGTCCTCTCACATCTTCTCCAACAGAGAGAGAGAGAGAGAAAGAAGGAAGTACAATACAACAGAAGAGATAGGACTGGCTTCCGTTTCCCACACTTTCCAAGCATGGAAGGTAAACACAGACATGTGATGTAACAACCACACATCCAGCAACGGGAGAGTATGAAAATATTGACAGGAAGGAGAATCTACCACCTCTGGAGGGAGAACGTGCCACTGTTGAATAGCTGTTCCTGTCAGAAAGTTTTTCCTGATGCTTAGTTGGAATCTCCTTCCTTGTAACTTGAATCCATTGGTTTGGGTCCTACCCTCTAGAGCAGGAGAAAACAACCTTGCTCCATCCTATCTGCCCATGGACTGCCTCACCAGAGTGGTGCATGCTCTAGTTATCTCTCGCTTGGACTACTGCAATGCGCTTTATGTGGGGCTACTTTTGAAGGTGACCCGGAAACTACAACTAATCCAGAATGCAGCAGCTAGACTGGTGACTGGAAGCGGCCACAGAGACCACATAACACCGGTCTTGAAAGACCTACATTGGCTCCCAGTACGTTTCCGAGCACAATTCAAAGTGTTGGTGCTGACCTTTAAAGCCCTAAACGGCCTCAGCCCAGTATACCTGAAGGAGAGTCTCCACCCTCATCGTTCTACCTGGACACAGAGGTCCAGCGCCGAGGGCCTTCTGGCGGTTCCCTCACTGCGAGAAGCCAAGTTACAGGGAACCAAGCAGAGGGCCTTCTCGGTAGTGGCACCCACCCTGTGGAACACCCTCCCACCAGATGTCAAAGAGAACAGCTACTACTAGATGTTTAGAAGACATCTGAAGGCAGCTCTGTTTAGAGAAGCTTTAAATGTTTGATCCATTACTATATTTTAATATTTTGTTGGAAGCCACCCAGAGTGGCTGGGGAAGCCCAGCCAGATGGGTGGGGTATAAAATAAATAATAAATTGTTGTTGTTGTTGTTGTTGTTGTTGTTGTTGTTGTTGTTGTTATCCTCCATGTGCCAGCCCTTGAGATATTTGAAGATGGTTGTCATATCTCCTCTCAGTCTCCCCTTTCCCAGGCTAAAAATACCCAGCTCCTTCAACTGTTCCTAATAAGTCTTGCCTTCTCCAACTCCCTCAACACTACAATTTAGATAACAAAGCAGCATAAGTTAGCAACAAATAGTTAAAAAGCCAAACAGACTGAAGTTGTAACTTTCACCAGGAATCTAGATGAGATGAGAAATGGGACCAATCTAATCTCCAGGTACAGGAAGTCCCACAACTTCAGTGGCATGACAGAGAAGCTTCTCCTTCACATGCCCACCAACTACACCTTTGATGGCGATGATGGGACATGCAGAGCAGAGACTTCTTCAAAAGCTTGAGTAGATAGGTAGGGTCATGTGGGAGGAGATGGTTCTTCAAACAACTTGGTCCTTTCAGGTCTTCAAAGGTACTCAGCACAGCTCTTGGAACTGGAAATATTGGTCAAGCCAGTGTGGTTGGAGGAGTTGTGCAGAGCCACAAGCTCCATGAAAGTTGTTGTTGTTGTTGTTGTTTAGTCGTTTAGTCGTGTCCGACTCTTCGTGACCCCATGGACCAGAGCACGCCAGGCACTCCTGTCTTCCACTGCCTCCCACAGTTTGGTCAAACTCATGCTGGTAGCTTCGAGAACACTGTCCAACCATCTCGTCCTCTGTTGTCCCCTTCTCCTTGTGCCCTCAATCTTTCCCAACATCAGGGTCTTTTCCAGGGAGTCTTCTCTTCTCATGAGGTGGCCAAAGTCTTGGAGCCTCAGCTTCATGATCTGTCCTTCCAGTGAGCACTCAGGGCTGATTTCCTTCAGAATGGAGAGGTTTGATCTTCTTGCAGTCCATGGAACTCTCAAGAGTCTCCTGCAGCACCATAATTCAAAAGCATCAATTCTTGAGCGATCAGCCTTCTTCATGGTCCAGCTCTCACTTCCATACATCACTACTGGGAAAACCATAGCTTTAACTATACAGACCTTTGTTGGCAAGGTGATGTCTCTGCTTTTAAAGTAGCCCTGGTCAAAACCAGTTTAGTGGAAGAACCATGCAGAAAGTGAGTCCATTTCCCAGGCTTCCCCTACAGTCTAATATCCAATTTCTATGGGTTATGATGATAAATAAAGAGTAGTCCAAAAAATGCTGGAAACAAACGATTTTAATGTTTCCAAAAAATGTTCTGAACTTCATTCCAGAAGATGTAAGTCTCCGCAAGGGAAATGTCTGCATCTAATTAGGATAGAGGGAACATTTTTGTTTACTAGCCCTAGTTTATGTAACTGGGCCTGGCAATGTCAAGCTACTCCTTACACCAGAGTAGCAACACTGAACTCAGAAAGACTACTGGGGTGTAAGTGCTTTGAGAACTTGTCTTTCTCTTGGCCATCAAGCCCTTCAGTTTTTCTGTCACAAGCTATATTTAGATGTGTTGGATGTTTTTTTATTTGCTCGTTGACGGTTCAATGGCAGCAGAGAGTACAACTAGAAAGATAGAGAAAATAAAGGAGCATTGATAAAAATCAACTCCCAATCATGTACTTAGTGCCAAAGGCTTGAACATGTATTGAATTAATATGTCATGCACAAAACAGCAAAAGTCACATGCCTGATGCTTCTCCCTGAAAGCAAAAATGGGATAAAAACCTCTCATTGGCATTGTGATTTGCTGACCAGATCATTCTGAAGAGCTGGTGTGTGTGTGGCGGGGAGTAACTACACATTCTTACCTTTTCCAAAGGGCCTGGTGACTGTTGCCTTCTCCTTTTCCATCAGGGCCAACTTTTAGTGGATTTAAGTGGATATGGTTTTGTAATTCTGTACACATTATAAAAAGTAAATAATAATAATAATAATAATAATAATAATAATAATAATAATAATTTATTATTTATACCCTGCCCATCTGGCTAGGTTCCCTCAGCCACTCTGGGCGGTCTCCAACAAAGTATTAAAATACAGTGGTCTGTTAAACATTACAAGCTTCCCTGAGCAGGGCTGCCTTCAAATGTCTTCTAAAAGTCTGGTAGTTGTTGTTCTCTTTGACATCTGGTGGGAGGGCGTTCCACAGGGTGGGTGCCACTACACAGAAGGCCCTCTGCCTGGTTCCCTGTGACTTGGCTTCTCGCAGTGAAGGAACCGCCAGAAGGCCCTTGGCGCTGGACCTCAGTGTCCGGGCAGAACGATGGGGGTGGAGACACTCCTTCAGATATATGGAACCAAGACCGTTTAACATTAAATGTTAAAGTCAAGCTATTGATATCTTGTTGAACAGTAAGTCCTTATGAAGAGGTTAAATGGCTTTGGTGTTTTTATGTTGTTGTTTTTAATCACTAATTTAGTGAAGTATGTATGTTTGGGTGGTGGTGTGTGGCTGGAGGAGGAATAGGAGAAGGAGATGACAGAGGGTGAAGGAAGAGCTGTGAGTGGAGGGGGACCCTTTCCCCATCATTTGGACCACCTGGGAACCTCAACAAACATGCTGGAACACAGCTGTAGGCAACCTGAGCATCACCCACTTTGAGCCTGTCCATAAAAAGCAATTTCAGAGTGAGACACTAGGGCGATGTACGCTGTTCCCAGGAAATCTTCTCAATGTGAGACTTTTGTGGGTGAGCGGAAAATTTGTTTGGAACCTGGGTGTGAACCTGGAGGCTGAGTGGGTGGGTACGTCAGAAGGAAAATGAAATTATATTTATTTATATATATTAGTAACTTTGTATTAATGTAACTTTTTCATATGTAACTGTAATATTTTTGTAATGTTTTGTTTAAGTTGCCTGTCGTTGCTTTCTTTTTGTACTCTGCTAGGAGACATTTTTAATATATTAAGTGGTATGGAAATAAAAATTAAATAATCAAACAATGCTTACTGAAAAACAAGTGGACAGATTTGAACTTTTGCATAAGGAAGAAAAGATTCATTCTCAGCTGGAAAGCCACAACTGGAAGTGAGGGAAGCTGAGGTTTCCTGGGATAGTGCTCAGGGTTTTCATGCATATCTCTTCCGTTAATGTTCTGATTGATATGAAACTTGATACATAGAATTTATTACTGGATGCCCAAACACAGAAATAGATTTCACTGGAAGCACTACAACAAGAACTTGTCCAAAATCGTGTATTCCTTCATTATGTTAGAAAAAAAAGTTACAGGCATTTTGGTTTCCAATTTGGATTTCTGAATTCTGATTTGGATTCAAGGGTCAGGTCTGAATTGGCCCAGAGTGAATCTCAGCTCATTCTCTCTCTTTTTTAAAATATATTTTTATTAAACAATTTCAACAAAACAAATTATCCATCCAAATAATCAATTGCATTATTTTCTTCCCCTTTTTATGCCCCCTTCCCCATCCCTCTCTCCCAAGACTTCCCTCAGTTCCCTTCTCTGATTTGTTTGCACTTCTTATTCTCTGCATGTTAAAAATTGTACATATCATTACCTTATCTGTCATATATTGTATTAATAAATTTGTGGATGTTTATTCAAAACCTGCCAAGGAGTCCAAGTCATTTTGTAGTTTTTTCAAATAATTTGTAAAAAGTTCCCAATCTTCTTTGAAGTCACAACTGTCCTTCTTACGTAGTTTATATGTCAATTTGGCCAGTTCCGCATAGTTTTTCTTGCCACTGTTCTTTCGTTGGGATTTCCTCGTTCTTCCATCCTTGTGCTAATAAGACTCTTGCCACTATAGTCTCAGCTCATTCTCAACCACTGAATCAGAGAACTCCTGCAGTACCCTAGCAGAAACCTTCCTTGATTTAGAGAAGGCTGCTAGGTCAGCATAAACATCTGCCATAGAGTGACTCTTATGCAAAACATTTGCTTTGCCTTTTTCACCATAAATTCCCATTCTAAACGTTCTGAACTTTTAGCTCAAAGCTGAGGCCAAGACATACCAAACGCACAGCCAAGAAAAGCATCGTATTTTGTTCACTCAAAGCCTAGCAAACCTGAACAAAGGAGAACTGGGTCCAAACGTAGGATAAAGCGAATGGTTTGGGGGGTGGAGTGGGAGTCAAATGCTGCAAAGAATGTAATTAATATATACAGTGGTACCTCAGGTTAAGAACTTAATTCGTTCTGGAGGTGCGTTCTTAACCTGAAACTGTTCTTAACCTGAGGTACCACTTTAGCTAATGGGGCCTCCCGCTGCCGCCGTGCCGCAGGAGCACGATTTCTGTTCTCATCCTGAAGCAAAGTTCTTAACCTGAGGTACTATTTCTGGGTTAGCGGAGTCTGTAACCTGAAGTGCCTGTAACCTGAAGCGTATGTAACCCGAGGTACTACTGTATTGCCTTTGACCAGCTTGCCACCTCAAGTTCCTATTTTATCCACCTTAGGGTCGGAATCGGGCTGCTGAGGCAGGCAATTTAGCAAAACAGCCTGGTCAAACATGCTTCATTATGTGTGTCCAGACCTCCTCTGAAATGTCACCCCCTACCTGCCATCATGTGGCCTATAGGTTCTCAAACTTATTTGGCCTACCGCCCCATTTTCAGAAAGACAAAAAATTACTCAGTACCCTCCTGGAATTCTACCTTCTTTAAGCAAACAAACAGAAAGATGCCATTACTTATTTTATGTATCTATATTTCTACCAACGTCCTACGACATAGTAAAGAAAGATGTGAACAGCTAGGGTTGCCAACCCAGGGCCACAAAGCCAGGGACCGAGAGCCGAGACCTGTGATGTATGGCAGAGGGAGCACGGTGGCTCCTGGTGCTGCTTCTCCCAGGTAAAGGTAAGGTAAAGGACCCCTGGATGGTTAGGTCCAGTCAAAGGCAACTATGGGGTGCGGTGCTCATCTCACTTCAGGCTGATGGAGATGGCGTTTGTCCACAGACAGCTTTCTGGATCATGTGGCCAGCTTAACTAAACTGCTTCTGGTGCAACGGAACACCATGAGCGCACGGAAATGCCATTTACCTTCCCACCACAGCGGTACCTATTTATCTATTTTCTGAAGTGCTTTCAAACTACTAGGAGGGCGGAAGTTGGGACAGAGCAGTGGGAGCTCACCCCGTCGTGGGGATTTGAACCACCGACCTTCTGATTGGCAAGCCCAAGAAGCTCGGTGGTTTAGATCACGGTGCCACTCGTGTTCCCTCAGGACCACAGCTGCTGCATCGCTCCCCGGACAGCTAAGCCCCAGGAGCCTGCTGCTGTGGATTAGACCCACTCCCCAAGCCCAAGCGATGAGTAATTTGTTTTGTTTTGGCTTGGATCACTTGGTTTGGTCCCATTTATTTATTTATCTATTAGAAACTGCTGTCGGTTGCCATTCTGAGTTCCTTGGGCCCTGGAGCTGAAGCCTGGATACACGGTGTGAGGCAGCGGTGCGGCAGGTGGTGGTGTTGCGGTGCTGTGTGTGGTGGTCAGCTCAGCGGGATCCCATCCTCGTTGCCAGTAAAATATACTCGGAGTCGAGAGTGGATTTCGTGCTCTTTATTCAGCTCATAGTGCTGAGGAGGAATGGAAGTTCCCCCAGAATGTCTGCTTTATATACATTATTTACACAATGGGCCCCACATGATTGGCTAATTCCGGGATTCTCCTGTAGGCCAATCAGGTTGCGGATTCACATCCACCTGGAGCTGGATTGGTGGCTCCTGTGGACCATTCCGACTGCTGCATTCTGGATCCTATTGTTCTAGGACCAATCAGACTGCTGCATTCTGGATCCTATTGTTCTAGGACCAATCAGACTGCTGCATTCTGAATCCAATTGTTCTAGGACCAATCAGACTGCTGCATTCTGGATCCTATTGTTCTAGGACCAATCAGACTGCTGCATTCTGGATCCTATTGTTCTAGGACCAATCAAACTGCTGCATTCTGAATCCTGTTGTTCTAGGACCAATCAGACTGCTGCATTCTGGATCCTATTGTTCTAGGACCAATCAGACTGCTGCATTCTGAATCCAATTGTTCTAGGACCAATCAGACTGCTGCATTCTGAATCCAATTGTTCTAGGACCAATCAGGCTGCTGCATTTTGGATCCTATTCAACTCAGTACATAACAGTGGGCGAGTGCAGAGGAGACTGAAAATGGCAGCACCCACGAGTGAACAGCATTGGAGAAAGCTGCTTGGGCGCCTGGGGCGGTGTGCCCAGCGGCGGGACGCATTGCAGGGCCTCAGGAGTCTGTCTGCCTCCTCCCACTCAGCCGCCTGACAGCTGGAGGGGCAGCAGTGGGCAGACTGTTTGGGCAGCGCGGTGCCTACATGCGCTGAAGCCACCGCATCTCTCCCAGGAGAGACGCATGGCTTGGGCGCGCTGCAGGCCCCGCGGTGAGTGCCGTCCGGCATTTAGTCACCCACCTCAGTGGTGACACCTGGGATGGACCACGCCGACCGCAGCCCCCTTCCTCCGCCACTGCTGGGGAGGCCTGAGTTGACGAGAGCTTTCCCTTGATGATGCAATCCTAGCCCTCAGGAACGGCTCCAACCTCCAGACATGGCAATAACCATCCTCATCCTGATTATATATATACACACACAGCTTTTTTTGGTTCGTTTTTGTATTTTTAGCCATTCCCCCCCCCCCCCTTCCTTTTCTCTTTAATTCCCTTCTCCATTTCTCTTTCTACTCTGCTTTCACTGACACCTCTTAATTATTGCCCCCTCATTTTTATTTTTAACTTTCATTTTTATTACCATTATTAAATATTTCCATACACCTTTTGTTTTTTACTGCACACACACGCTAGTACTGCTTTTTTCTTCTTCCTCCCCCCTCCCCCCCTGGCCCAGCTATAAATGTATCCCGGCACATCTGTCCTCTTTTTTGCTCTTCAAAATATGGCAGCGCTAGAACACGCCTGCACAGGACTTAGGGCAGAAGTGAGTTACTATCCAAACCAACATTTTCCTGAGGACAGGGAATGGATATAGGACCAGAGTCAGCCCAGATAATGTATGTTGTGCCTCCTGGCTTTCAAATAAACTCCTCCCACATTTCCAAAGCTAAGAGGGAGAAGTTTTGCCTTCTCTGGTGAATCCCACTTGCATGCGGACAGGGAGCCGGCAGGACTGGAAGAAGAGGAGCAGCAAACAAGGAAAAGTAAGGTGATACTAGTGGCAACATAAGTAGAGCTGGAGTTGGCAGGGGGAGAATCGCAGCATCTTTCTCCAGACTCATTGAGTCTTTATCTGCAAAATCCTCATTCTGTTGCAGTTACAGCCCTAAGAGGCTGCTGCTGGAGGAAAAGGCAAGGTTCGTGTAAGCAGCTCTGCTCCTCGTACAGATGTTCGTGTTTCAAAGCCCTGTAGCCACAGGGGCTTCTGCAAGCCCATGGCATCTCTAGGGCTTGAGTAGGGGTAGCCTGACCCTAATACTAAAAATGTGATGGGAGTACAAGCCTTGCTCTGCTGTGGACTTTTTGAGGCAGTTTCCAGTGGCTTTGTCCTCCTTTTCTCATATTGAATGGAACTGATCTGCAGAAAAGACCTGAAAAGAGAGGGTGCACGTAACCTTTTTGTAACCTCAGAAATTTTTTAAATAACAATTTTTTGAAAAAAGGAATGGTACAGGACATGGTTTGCAGTTGTGGGAAGCTAGCTCACTGGGAGCCTAGCCAGGCTGGGAATGCCAACTATCGCTGGTCGTTTTAGAGTCAGGAGGACAGGCTTTCCAAAAGGTGGGGAAACTTTGCATTCATGCTGTGAGTGTATGGTCCCGGTTTGCAAGAGTGTGTGTGAATGCTCACGGAGGCAAGGACGAGCTTTTTGGTGGTGAGTTGTGTCGGGGTTTAGAAAATCATTTAGCATGGGAGTCCAAGTTCCTTTTGGGGTGTCTTTGGAGACTCATAACATACTGCCTATAAAATGGCAAAGGAGATACACTTTCTTTTCTCTTCTCTGCATTTTTGCTTCCCCTTATTTTATCCTTTTTCCTATTTCATCTGTTTTAGATTTATTGGTTCCCAATGATTTCAAGTAGTCCTTGGGGTGGGGGAAAACAGAGAGGGGTGGGTCGTTCATGGGGAGTTTACACTGGTACACCAAATGAGTCATAATGTTGGGTGGGAATCACTGGGGCAAACGGAATATGCTGAAGTTGTGTTTTATTGTACTATTCTTTAATGAAATAAAGGGGGGAGGTGTTGATGATGATGATGATGATTTTAACTGGTTCTGAGGAAGGACCTGTACAATTCCCCCTGTTCTAGGTGACCATGGTAAAAACAGTAGCAGTTATTGGAGCAGGAGTGAGTGGACTGGCATCCATCAAATGCTGCCTAGATGAAGGACTGGAGCCTACCTGCTTTGAGAGGAGTGATGGCATTGGGGGACTGTGGCGGTTCACGGTGAGTGTGTATTCAGGGACAAATGTCCCATCTGTCCACTGAATGTGCTGGTCTTGTAGCTTGTTACATATTTCCCTCCTTATGACTGAAGCCTGCAATCCCAACCTATTTGGCTGGCCGGATCTGACCTGATGCGGTTTGGTATTAGATCTAATCACAAGACATGGGGAGCTGCAATCATGCTTAGAGATTTCGACTTGTAAAGGTAAAGGACCCCTGGACGGCTGAGTCCAGTCCAAGGAGACTATGGGGTTGTGCTGCTCAACTCGCTTTCAGGCCGAGGGAGCTGGCATTTGTCCACAGACAGCTTTCCGGGTCATGTGGACAACATGACTGAACTGCTTCTGGCGCAACGGAACACCATGGTGGAAAGCAGAGCACACGGAAACACTGTTTACCTTCCCGTCGTAGTGGTAACTATTTATCTACTTGCACTGGTGTGCTTTCGAACTGCTAGGTTGGCAGAAGCTGAGACAGAGCAATGGGAGCTCACCTCATCATGCAGATCCAAACCGCCGACCTTCTGATCGGCAAGGCCAAGAGGCTCAGTGGTTTAGACCACAGCGCCACAGATATCTAGTTGTAAAAATGTGTCAGCTTGATTGATTGATAAAAGATGTGAACCTGTTTTACAACTCATTTTGTTGGAAATGTGCATTTGACTTCCAAAAATTAATTTGGGGGGATGAACATGGAGGAACCCACGGAAGAAACTTCTTAAGTGTTGCTTGTTCTGTCATTATGAGTTGTTTTGCCATCTATTGTGCTATGCGCCAGATTCATCGGACAATTTTTGGTGGGGATGAAAAAGGCACAAGGAGTCACTTTAGTCTGCAAACACAAGAGACCTTTGCTGCAGTTCAGCAGTTCAGCAGAGGGTAAAATGCATAACTGTTCGGGCATCAACTGAGAACAGTTAATAAGTTCAGGGAATTTCATAGCATTGCCAATGTGACTATTGCCCTCAAGGCTGGTTGTTGCAAAACCCGGAATAACCTTTATTGCTGCTAATCATGTGGTTTTAAGGCATTTTCCAGTTTAAGAGAGGCAGTGCTTCTCATGCTGAACATACATCTTTCTTTTATAGACCGTTGAAACCCCTGCAAAACTTGTTTAGCACGGAAGAAAGTGGGATTGGTATACAAGCAATAATCCTTCCTTCAAACTGCCTTCAACTTTCTGAAAACAACTGTTGCCTCTCTCCATCTGAAATAGGCCTAGGTCTCCATTTTAAACCTGTGCCAGGGGTCCAGGCTGCAGGACCCCCAGTATACAAAAAGTCCCTGCTCATAGAAAGCTAGTATGTCAGGGAGAAGACACGGTGGGACCTCTTCTTCCTAGTAGTTTTCTATGTGAATGGGATTTTAGCAGCAGAGAACTATTCACTCGTGTGGGCCCAACCTGACATCTAAAGTGGAATGGTTTGCAATAAAAGTTGGCCGTCTCAGTATGACCAGAGTCGTTCCTCAAATTCTTATAAGCAAGCATTTTGAGCAGCTGTTTTGTGAACTGTTTCTAAAATGTACCTTTCCATTTCAATAGCAAAAGAGTAAAAGAGGATATTTATAGGTTAGGTATTGTGATGTGTTAAACATACTTCTCTATCCTCCATGGAGTCAAATAGTGGCAACAGGGAGATGACGTCCTAGGCCATACAGTGGTGCCTCGCAAGACGAAATTAATTCGTTCCGCGAGTTTTGTCGTCTTGCGATTTTTTTCGTCTTGCGAAGCACGGTGTCGGGAAAGTTTTGGAAAAGCTTCAAAAATCACCAAAGTCTTTAAAAACCTCAAAAAGGCTACCACACCGCGTTCTATGAGTTGCTCCTCGAAGTCAAGTCGCAACTGTATTAACGGTGTTAAGAAAAAGGAAACAAACTTGCAAGACGTTTCCGTCTTGCGAAGCAAGCCCATAGGGAGAATCGTCTTGCGAAGCAGCTCAAAAAACAAAAAACCCTTTCGTCTAGCGAGTTTTTTGTCTTGCGAGGCATTCGTCTTGCGAGGTACCACTGTACTAACAAAATAAAATAAAAAAGACAAATCATCGGGTCCAGGTGGCATCCACCCAAGAGTTGTGAAAGAAGTCAGATGTGAAATGGTTGATCTTTTAACAAGATTAAGTAACTTGTCCCTAAGATTAACCTTCACATACTAGAAATTGAAAAGTGTCCAATATATCAATATAACAACCAATTTATTTATTCTTTAAGTGAATCCAGGGGTTCAGTTGCCCAGAGTGGTTGGGGCAACCCAGTCAGATGGGTGGCTAATATTATTATTATCGGGGCCACGGCCGAAAAAGCCCTGGCTCTGGTTGAGGCCTGCCTAACCTCCCTGTGGCCTGGGATCTCGAAGATGTTTTTATTTGAAGACCGTAAGGTCCTCTGTGGGACATACCAGGAGAGGCGGTCCCGTAGGTACGAGGGTCCTAGGCGTCTTTGTGGTGTCTTTAGGATATATGGTGTATTTATGCATATATAAAACTTGAGTCTGCGATGAAGGGGTTCACAGCCTTGACAACTCAAAGGGGTCTTGTTTCTCCCATAGCCACAGCCTTGGATTCAAACAGAAATCAGACGTTGCTCTGAACCTCTCTATCCTACTGGTCACATTCCAGCCAACTCTCAACTCTGCCTCAAACTCTGCCTTTCTTTTCATACTAACTCTGAGTGAGGATTCCCTCCCATTCGCTGTCTGGTGCAAAGCCCCCTCTCTTTCACTTTCCTAACGGTTGTCATGTTTTTTTGTTTTTCTTCTCCTAATGACCCATCACCCCAGGTGAGTTCCTGAACACAGGAAGCTGGGTTAGGAATCTGGCATCCAGTTTAAAAAGGTAAAGGGACCCCTGACCGTTAGGTCCAGTCGTGACCGACTCTGGGGTTGCGGCGCTCATCTCGCTTTATTGGCCGAGGGAGCCGGCGTTTGTCCACAGACAGCTTCCGGGTCATGTGGCCAGCATGACTAAGCAGCTTCTGGCGAACCAGAGCAACGCATGGAAATGCTGTTTACCTTCCTGCCAGAGCAGTACCTATTTATCTACTTGCGCTTTGACGTGCTTTCAAACTGCTCGGTTGGCAGGAGCTGGGACCGAGCAACGGGAGCTCACCCCGTTGCAGGGATTCGCACCGCCGACCTTCTGATTGGCAAGTCCTAGGCTCTGTGGTTTAACCCACAGCGCCACCCGCGTCCCGGCATCCAGTTTAACCCCCACCAAATTCTAACACCCGCTGGAGTTAGGAATTTAAGGGAGCCTGGCACCCATACTCCTTTCAAAGCAAAAATAAAATAAAATAAAAAGCAAAATGTGCTCTGGGTGCTGTGAGGATTCCCAGAGAGGCCATAAAAATCACATAAGCCTCTTTATCTGCTAATTAGAGTGCAATTAAGAAGCAGTCGAGAAGCACCTGGGTTTTCTCCTTTTTCATTGCTTGTGAATAGACTGCTTTTTTTGGTCTGTTATATAACCATTCTTAACTATTTACAGAAGAGTAATCTGAGAACAGAGAACACGGAAAAACTGCCTGCCTAGACAATAGCCTGCCATAATCTTTAGATTGCTTCCAAAGTGGCAATTGCCTTAATGCCACTAAAATGTCTTTAATTCATTTTTAATTTTTATTTGAGTCCCCTTCCTTCTTCCTCACCCAGTCCACCATGAGAACGTGGGGAGATCCTCACATGGAAGTGTGCGTGGGTAGCCTGCAGTTTCATGCAAAGATTTCCACATTGGGGCACTGATCCAAAGCTGGCGTTAGAACAGCCATAGAAAAGGATCGTCTTGAACCCTCTTGCACATAAAGAAATGCTATTAGCTCTTCCCGGGACTAGAGATGGACAGTCATCCTGTTGCTCAACTTTGTAAGCATTGAAAGTGAAGTCATCAAGGCTTGAGCTGTTTGCACTAGGGCCTTGTTGTGGGGGAAGGTAGAGCTGGGGTCAGCAGTTGCATGGCCCTGACCCTGCTTGCAAGCATTTTTACAGGGCGTGTAGCTAGCGTGATCTAGCGTGGATCAATGCAGTTCCTCTGCCAGGGACATTTAACTCACTCAGGTCCTGGCAGATGTGAGGAGGAACCCTCTGCCTGCTTCAGAATCAGCAGGGTGGATTTGATTTAAATCAAATCTATTTAAATCACAATTTAAATCACTAGTCAGTAAGACTTGATTTAAATCATTATTATTATTATTTTACAGAAAGACTCATTCTTGCTGGTATAATCTTAATATTTACAACCAGAGGAAGGTTTCATTTTTGGAATAATAATTTTTCAGAGTAGTTTTTACAGTTATGTCAAAAATTACTGATTTGGTTATACTATTAGAAATACATTGACAGATAATTATGGGATTATTGTGAGGTTTAATAAGTTAACTGTTTATATTTGGACAACTTTTCTGCTCTCCTTTATTGGAAGGAGAAAAATAATCATTTCCTTAATAACAATTTAAACAATTTATTTAATTAAAACAGTAACATTACAGCATACGTATCCATGTTTGTTAACTGATATGGTTAAACTTTAAAAAACAAAAACAAAATCCTTAGACTGAGTTTTAGCACACATGAAAAACTTAAAACAAATCCTTATTTCCTGATGAATAGCCTTTGGAATATAATGTAACTTAAATGGAAAACTATCTTTAGAAAGATTTTCTCTCCAAAAGTATTTTATTTTAAAAATCCAATTTAAATCAAAGAAACACAATTTAAATTTTTTTAAAATACGATTTAAATTTTAAAAATCTGATTTTGTTAAAAAAAATCATTGATTTTTATCCACCCTGCTTGTAAGTATACTGACCGCCCCTCCCAACAACACCACAAGAGAACTCCCCCCCCCCCCCAGTTTATGAAGCAAAGTATGGCAATATATGGCTTATGATTTCCAAATTCTTCAAACTGAGTTACTCTTACATATAGTAGCATAGGCCCTTTGGTTTCACTGGAAACCCCCAATACTGCAGCACTGCATGCGTTCTCTCTAGGGAGGTTCACATAATATGTTGAAAGCACATGTGAGTAGATTGTCTCAACCTTTCTTCCTTCCTGTGGCCTGTGGCCAAGAGTCCCTGCTTCACATGCAAACAATCAAACAAACAAACAAACAAACAAACAAACAAACGTGTGAAGGGACAGACTGATGGAAACATGTAGGGCTCCCCTACATCAGATACAGTGGTACCTCAGGTTACATACGCTTCAGGTTACATACGCTTCAGGTTACAGACTCCGCTAACCCAGAAATAGTGCTTCAGGTTAAGAACTTTGCTTCAGGATGAGAACAGAAATCATGCTCCGGCGGCGCGGCAGCAGCAGGAGGCCCCATTAGCTAAAGTGGTCTCCAGGTTAAGAACAGTTTCAGGTTAAGTACGGACCTCCGGAACGAATTAAGTACTTAACCTGAGGTACCACTGTACAGACAAGCTAGCAGCATGATGTGAAACTACAACTAATCCAGAATGTGGCAGCTAGACTGGTGACTGGAAGCGGCCGCCGAGACCACATAACACCGGTCTTGAAAGACCTACATTGGGTCCCAGTACGTTTCTGGGCACAATTCAAAGTGTTGGTGCTGGCCTTTAAAGCCCTAAACAGCCTCAGCCCAGTATACCTGAAGGAGTGTCTCCACCCCCATCATTCTACCCGGACACTGAGGTCCAGTGCTGAGGGCCTTCTGGCGGTTCCCTCACTGCGAGAAGGCAAGTTACAGGGAACCAGGCAGAGGGCCTTCTGGGTAGTGGCACCCGCCCTGTGGAACGCCCTCCCACCAGATGTCAAAGAGAACAACAACTACCAGACTTTTAGAAGACATCTGATGGCAGCCCTGTTTAGGAAAGCTTTTAATGTTTAACAGACCACTGTATTTTAATATTTTGTTGGAGGCCGCCCAGAGTGGCTGGGGAAACCAAGCCAGATGGGTGGCGTTTAAATAATAAATTATTATTATTATTATTATTATTATTATTGGCACACAGGGGGAGCAGGAGGTTGTTCCTGCTGTTCCCACACCTGACTTGACCACTGTGCATCCCCTTTGTATGCTCAGAATGTACGCAAGCTGGGCATGTGTAGGCTCTCTACATACAATCTGGGATTTCCCAAAAAGCAAGGTGTCCAGTTGCATGGGGCACTTATGGAAAAAGTGATGGAAAGTGTAATGTAATCCCAACCATTCACCACTGATCTGTTCCGGACTTTTGAAAGGAGGTAGGCAGCATAGAATATAAGAATCATAGAATTGTGAAGTTGGAAGGAACCTAAGAGTCCTCTAGTCCAACCGTTGCAATGTGGGAATCTCAACTACATCATACATGACAGATGGCCATCCAACCTCTGCTAAAAACCTCCAAGGAAGGAGAGTCCACCATCTCTTCTGGGTGTCTTTTCTACTTACTGCTGAACAGTTCTTACTGGAAAGCCAGTGTGGTGTAGTGGTTAAGAGCGGTAGACTCGTAATCTGGTGAACCAGGTTCGCATCTCCGCTCCTCCACATGCAGCTGCTGGGTGACCTTGGGCTAGTCACACTTCTCTGAAGTCTCTCAGCCCCACTCACCTCACAGAGTGTTTGTTGTGGGGGAGGAAGGGAAAGGAGAATGTCAGCCGCTTTGAGACTCCTTCGGGTAGTGATAAAGTGGGATATCAAATACAAACTCTTCTTCTTCCTATCAGAATGTTATTCCTGATGTTTAGTCGGAATCTTCTATCTTATAACTTGAAGCCATTGGTCTTACCCACTGGAGGAGGAGAAAGCAAGCTTGCTCCACCTTCCAAAAGGACAATGCTTTAGATTTTCGACGATGGCTGTCATATCTCCTCTCAGTCTCCTGTTTTCCAACTAAACATATTCAACTTCCTTAGCCATTCTTCATAAGGCTTGGTTTCCAGACCCTTGGTCATCTTGGTTGCCCTCCTCTGTACACGTTCCAGCTTGTCAACTTCCTTCCTAAATTGTGGTGCCCAGAATTGGACACAGTATTCCAGAGTGGCGCCGTGGTCTAAACCACTGAGCCTAGGGCTTGCCGATCGGAAGGTTGGCGGTTTGAATCCCTGCGATGGGGTGACCTCCTGTTGCTTGGTCCCAATTCCTGCCAACCTAGCAGTTCGAAAGCACGTCAAAGTGCAAGTAGATAAATAGGTACCGCTCCGGCGGGAAGGTAAACAGCATTTCCATGCGCTGCTCTGGTTTCGCCAGAAACGGCTTAGTCATGCTGGCCACATGACCCGGAAAAACTGTCTGCAAACAAAAGCCAGCTCCCTCGTCCAGTAAAGCGAAATGAGCGCTGCAACCCCAGAGTTATTTGTGACTGGACTTAACTGTCAGGGGCCCTTTACCTTGACTTTATTCCAGGTGTGGTCTGACCAAGGCAGAATTGAGTGGTACTATTACTTCCCTTGATCTGGTCACTATACTTTATTTTTATATATTTTATATATTAAATTTGTGTATTGCTGTTCATCCGTAGAACTCTGGGTGAATCACAACATCTGTTGATGCAGCCTAGAATAGCATTAGTACCTTCATCTTCTGATGAGAAATCCACTGTATTGTATTGGAAGGAAAGCTGGGCATGTAACATCCCAGCTGCACATTAACTGTAAGGATTTTCACTTCCTGAAGCTGTGCTTATTTTCTATTGTTCATGCTTTGTCTTGCCTTCCCCATTAGGAGTCTGCAGAGGAAGGCAGAGCCAGTATTTACCACTCTGTGTTCACCAACTCTTGCAAAGAAATGATGTGCTTTCCAGACTTCCCTTTCCCAGAGGAATTCCCAAATTACATGCACAACTCCAAGCTTCAAGAATATATCCAGTTGTATGCCAAACACTTCGATCTTGTCAAATACATAAAGTTTAAGGTAAGAAATTGCAATCAAACTGACGGGAGATTGTGGGTATGCAAGGGGCTTGTGTGCCATGACAATTATCTCTGGATACAAGAATTGGCCCCAGCAGGGCAAATCACTTTGCAATAGTGCAAACAGCTCCTCCAGAGCATTTGAAAATGTCAGCATCCATGATCTGGGATCTCTTCTTCAGGTCCAGGGCGCTGAAAAGCAGAGCTCGATGGGACAACTGCTAAGGGCTTATCCACACGTAAGCTTTTGCTCTTTGCAGACACATGCTTTAAAGCTCCATGTTGGACCATTCTTTCTTTTTTCTTTTCTGCCCAGGAGCACATTTAAGCTGAAGCGCAACCAATGGCAGTGTGGGTTTTTCCACAGTTTGTCATTTGCTCCAATTCAGCAGTAAAGAGCAGGTGTTTGTGGGGAGCTCTCCGGAGCAAAAAAAAAGGAAAGGGAAAAGCACGCTTGGACATGGAGCTTTAAAGTGCAGGCTGTGCCTGGAAAGCATGGAGGAAATGGGGATGTGAAACACAAGACCAGTCAAGTACAACATTCCTAGAGTGAACATGTTTACACATGGGAAGGAATGTTTGTCCAGGCAGCAGGTAAACTTCCTGTTTCCTTCTGGGCTGGGACAGACTTCCTCTGCATGTGACTAGAAGTGGGCGTGGCCTCACCTGTGCAGGTAACGACAAAAGCACAGGGCAGGACAGCCATCTCTCTCTCTGTGACTACTTTTGTCGAAGAAGCAACATCTGCTTAGCCAAAGATGCTCTCTTGGCCTCCAGCCAAGAGAGAACAAAGGGACTGTCTCCTTATGAGATAGTTTCCAGGTGTATGTTACTTTTCTAAGTTAAGTCTGCCTTCTGGGATCCGATTGTGAACAGAATGTGAGTAAACTCTTTGTGTACTTTTATAGAAAACTGTGTTGTGTCTTATCTTTTATGAGGGAATAAGGGGAAAATACCAGAACAGTTATTATAGAGGCGTTAGTGAGCCTGAGCAAATGCATCTGCTATGAATTTAAAAAGGGGAATGTTACTCTGCTAAATTGTGAACTTGTTTACACAAGTTGGAAAGGCTATAATCAAACAATATGTCCTCTCCTGCCTCCCTGAACATTCCAACAGGAAAGGCCTAAGCTGAGGTTAATTTAGAAGCAGCAGACCTACAGACAGGCAGCACCCAAATTAGAACTATCTGAAGATTGAAGCAATCTCTCCACAGGAAGCCGTGTTTACATGGTTCCAGAAGTTCTGTGTGTGGAGGCAGGAAGAGCAAGTTCAGCCCATAATCCATCAGCATGGTTGCCATGGGCTAAACTTTTGTGTCTGTGTGCTCTTCTCCTCTGTCCTGCGGCTTTTGGCCTTTCTGCCAAAGGGGTGTTGCATTTTAGCTTGCGCAGGACTAGGAAGAGAGTGCGGATCCTGATGCAGGATTCTTTTGTCAAATCCCTTACTCCAATCAGGTGACATTTAGATAAGCCCTGCCTGACACAGCCCTTTCTGGTAAATCAGACCCTGGACTCACGACTTAATTATGTCTATCTTTCAAGCCGAAACCACACTGATACACTTTCTTGAACATTTCCTCAAAGACTCTTGTGAGTAAAATTAGGAAACGCCCGGATTACCCTGTTACTGGCCAATGGGAAGTCGTAATAGAAAAGGATGGGAAGGTGGAATCAGTCGTATTTGATGCTGTTATGATTTGCTCCGGACATCATGTCTATCCGAATATTCCAAAGAATAGCTTTCCTGGTAAGTGACGATACAAAAATATATATGATTAAACATAATGTGAGCTCCAGTTCACGAACTGCTGTGGTGTGAGAGGCCTCTATGCCTTATACTGTCTTTCGGTGGAGGATAGAGCTAAAGTCCAGTTGACTTCAGGTTGACTTCAGGCATTGTTGAAGGTTCCTCTGGGCTAAGGGTGAGGGGCAATGAAGCGGTCACTTCATGCAGCACATTCAAGGGGGTCAGTTTTGTTTGTTACTATATTTTACCACAGCAATGGCACTGATTCAGATTTCCCACCTCAGGTACCCAAATGTCCAAGTCTGGCGACACACCCATCCCCACCACAAGAAAATGGAAAGAGTGTCAGTCACTGAGAAGGATTAAAATTAGGCTAATGACAAGGGCGAAACAAACAAATACAGCCTAGAGCTGGCATAGGCAAACTCTGGCCCTCCAGATGTTTGGGACTACAATTCCCATCATCCCTGACCACTGGTCCTGTTAGCTAGGGATGATGGGAATTGTGGTCCCAAACATCTGGAGGGCCCGAGTTTGCCTATGCCTGGCCTAGAGTTTATTACGAGATCACTTTGCAGGGTTTGAATAATTGTCTGAGGACTTGTGAAATTAACAGTTGTGCTACCAAAGTCATCAGGAGCCCGGATAATCAAGTCTTGCATTTCACAGTGCCTTAATGCCAACAAGATGCATTGTTGGTTTTTTTGTTTCTTTAAAACATTTATTCGTTTTCCACTTTTCTGCGTAGGGATAGAGAAGTTCAAGGGCAGAGTTTTCCACAGCCGGGATTACAAGGGACCCGAAAAGTTCAAGGGGAAGAAAGTCCTGGTGATTGGCCTTGGGAATTCTGGCTGTGACATTGCTGTGGAGCTGAGTGCCACAGCCTCGCAGGTACCTTCTTCCACAGCGCTTGGGAGCTCCCATTCTGCTTAATAATTGCCAGCCAAAGGGTAAGCACTTTAAAGTCCTGTCAATTTCAGTGGGAGAGATATTAAGTGCCCCATTTGAGTCTAATGGACTTGGAAATGCTTAGGTTTTGGCTGCTGTGGAGGTCCTAATTGGTGGGGAGAGAATGTGGGGTTATAGGGAAGGGATGAATCCTATGTATTGCATGCCGGACACTGGTGGCGCTGTGGTCTAAACCACTGAGCCTCTTGGGCTTGCCAGTCGGCGGTTCAAATCCCCGTGACGTGGTGAGCTCTTGTTGCTGTGTTCCAGCTCTTGCCAACCTAGAAGTTTGAAAGCACACCAGTGCAAGTAGATAAATAGGTACCACTGTGGCGGGAAGGTAAACGGCATTTCTGTGCGCTCTTGTTTCCGTCACGGTGTCCCATTGCACCAGAAGCAGTTAAGTCATGCTGGCCACATGACCTGGAAAGCTGTCTGTGGACAAACGCTGGCTCCCCAGCCTGAAAGCGAGATGAGCACTGCAACCCCATAGTCGCCTTTGACTGGACTTAACTGTCCAGGGATCCTTTACCTTTTTTTACCTATGCAGCTACATAAGGTCTGGAGTGCAATCCCCACCACCTCCAGCTTTAAGAGATCTCAAGAAGCACTAGAAAGATTGGGGCAAAGTAGGCAATACAGTGGTTACCGGTACATGCGCTTCAGGTTACATACGCTTCAGGTTACAGACTCCGCTAACTCAGAAATAGTACCTCGGGTTAAGAACTTTGCTTCAGGATGAGAACAGAAATCACACGGTGGTGGTGGCAGAAGGAGGCCCCATTAGCTAATGTGGTAAAAGGTAAAGGGACCCCTGACCATTAGGTCCAGGCATGACCGACTCTGGGGTCGCGGCGCTCATCTCGCTTTACTGGCCGAGGGAACCGGCGTACAGCTTCCAGGTCATGTGGCCAGCATGACTAAGCCACTTCTGGCGAACCAGAGCAGCGCACGGAAACGCCGTTTACCTTCCTGCCGGAGCAGTACCTATTTATCTACTTGCACTTTGACGTGCTTTCGAACTGCTAGGTTGGCAGGAGCAGGGACCGGACAATGGGAGCTCACCCCGTCGCGGGGATTCGAACCGCCGACCTTCTGATTGGCAAGTCCTAGGCCCTGTGGTTTAACCCACAGCGCCACCCGCATCCCGAGCTAATGTGGTACCTCAGGTTACAAACAGTTTCAGGTTAAGAACGGACCTCTGGGACAAATTAAGTACTTAACCCAAGGTACCACTGTACTGGGTTTGCTTTGGCTCAAGGTAAGGCAGTTCCTTATATCTATTCCCTGTCAGACTGAAAGGTTATAAATTCATGCTGAAACGAATGTTTAAAACAGAGATGGGAAACTCGTGGTGCTCTAGATGCCGTTGCACTTCCAACCCCCCTCGGCCCTAGTCAACATGGCCAATGGCCAGCAATGATCAAAGCTGTAGAGCGAGATGATCTGAAAAGCCACAGGTTCCACATCCCAGATTCCTGAACGGAAGCTTGTACCCAGTGTAGCATCCTATCAGGTTTTACTTTTGAGCCATGGGCCTTTCCTCCCCTCTCCAAGTCTGCTCTGGAGGGTAGGGGAAGCTGCAGAAGAGTTTTAAGGGGGTGCTCAAATGAAGAGCATATTTGCACCATAGACCTGTAGAGCAGGTGGGGGAATAGGCCTCAAGTATAGGAAGGAAGCTGGGAAGCTATCTTATACCAGGTCGGACTATGTGTGTCTAGCTCAGTATTGCCTACTGAGTTAGCCAGCTTGATGGCATTCAGATACTGTTGGACTAAATCCCCACGATTCCAGACCACTGGCCATGCTGGTTAGGCCCAGAGGGGAGTTGGAGCCCCAAAGCAACTGGAGGAGCACAGATTTTTCATGTGTGGTTTATACCATCATCTGTCTCTTGAAACGGGCAAAATATGCTCATGCTAGAGCACTGAAATAGAATAGTCTTTGGAGACTTCCGTTGCAATCATTTTGCAACCTTTGGGCACACCTTACCAGGATGCAATCATCTGAGCTCGCTCATGTGCAAGCTCCGTTGAATGGAGTGAGGAAGAAGTTACACAAGAATGATGTTTGGTAACGTGAACCTCTTTTGTGTGTGTCTCTCGCCTTGTCTCTTACCCGTTTTTAAAGGTTTATCTCAGCTCTCGAAGTGGCTCCTGGGTCATGAGTCGTGTTTGGGACAACGGCTATCCCTGGGACATGGTGGTCATCAGTCGCTTTGAAACCTTCCTCAGGAACACCCTCCCAACAGCCATCAGTGACTGGTTGTATGTGAAGCAAATGAACAGATGGTTCAAACATGAGAATTATGGCCTGATGCCACTGCATAGGTAATATTGGAAACTAAAGAGGTTGTAGGTTGATTAGCTTTGAAAACGCAAACAATTTGGAGCCAAACCCCACGTTGGTGGGCAGATGAAATGACCTGGAGCATTTGAATGCTGCTTTTGAACATACAAAGCACTTCACATACAGAATCTTGTGATAATCTCTTTACAACAACCCTGCAAAGCAGAATTGTATTAAACCAGAGCAGCTAGTTACATGCAGCTTTGTGGCTGTGTGTCCCTGAGGCATGTCTTCTAAAGGAGGTGTTTGTAGCTTCAGGTTGAGTGGAGGAACTGGAAGAGGCGGGGGAAACTTTCTTTGCCATCCATTGTTTTGTTCAAAATCTTCCCCCAGCTACTTCCCTCCCTGAGAGATAAGTCAATCTGTTTCTTTTCATCCATCAAAGAGAAAGGCAGCTGAGGAGAGGGGTTTTTGAGGAATGAATGTGACTTATCTGATCTGTAACTTTTTCTCTGAAGTGCATTGGTTGTGCCCAACAATGAGGCACAGTGGGGTCTGTAGTGTCTTTATGATATATGGCTTATTTACACACACACACACATATATACAGCTTGTATCTAGTTGGAGAGAGTGCAACACATTCACATCCCAAGAGGGTCCTGTTCGTCCCATTGCTTCAGCCTCAGATTCCAAGAGACTCCAAACATCATAAAACAGACTGCAAAAGCGACACCCCTTTTCCCTGTTCACTTACCTCATCCTCCACTGCAATTCTGTCCATCCATCCATCCCAAAACTCTGGCCTTTTGTCTCTGCTAACTATCTCTCACCTCAGGGAAGGGCTTTCCCATTTTCTGCCTAGCCCAGAGAGTCTCTGTTAATGGCATTCTTAATGGGTTAATGCAGGCATCCTCAACCTTGGCCCTCCAGATGTTTTGAGACTACAATTCCCATCATCCCTGACCACTGTTCCTGCTAGCTAGGGAGTTGTAGGCCAAAAACATCTGGAGGGCCGAGGTTGAGGAAGCCTGGGTTAATGGCTGAGTCATTCTGCTGTTTACCTCTTGATAATTTTAGGGGAGTCTTGCCCCCTCTTATAACAGTACATTAATTAAAACTGCATTATAAGTGCAAAACTGCAGCAGCAGATGATTGGTGCAGAAAAAGATGTACCCATAAGAGAACAACTCAGCAAAGTTGATGTATTTTGTGCCGTTAAAAACTTTTGATGCCCAGAGGCCGCTTTGACTCTGGCTGGAGGCTTGTCACCTGTATTCTTGAAAACTTGATTACATAACCATTCAATGAAAATAAAAATTATAAAGCAAGACAAAGGTCTGCCAAATAAGAAACCACGAAGGGGTGTGTGTGTGTGTGTGTGTGTGTGTGTGTGTGTGGAATCTAGGATTTATGTTACGGGCAATTATAACCTTCATACCCTCTAGAAAAAATATAGTTGTTAACAAAACAATTATATAACAAAATATTCAGTCAATATTCTAGCCAAGAACATTTATGAGATCAGGCAGCAAACACTTATCTTTTCCTGGAAAGACATTAAGAATTATTTTTCTTATGTAAATAGCCAAGTAAGAGGTGTGGCAGAACTGCAAAATATTTCAAATGCTCTTCTGAAGTGAATTTGATTTGTACATGCTGTTAACTTTATACAAACTTTGAGATTAGAAGAGAATAGCCAGTGCTCACAGAAACTTCTAAAGAAGAAGAAAAATCATCTTGGCCAGAACCCAACTAGGAAAACATACCCTACAAGCAATGTCTTAAGACTGAATTGCCAAATCCCAACAAACCAACATAGTTCAAATCAGCCACAAAGCTCACTTCAATCTCCAACTGCTAGAGGACCACTGTTTTTGTTTTTCTCAGAACTTGTTTTGACCCTATGCAAAAATCCTGAGTGATTTTAGGAACGCTTTCTGGGTGGCTGGGACCTGCTCCAAGGTAACCCCAAGATAGAAGAGTAGGATTCTGCCGCATTAGTTCTTGGGCCTTTTGCACGAGCCACAGCACAGATGTAGGAATAAACTACAGCCAAATTGCGTGGCGAGTTCCCACCCCCCACCAAGGATAAATAAAGACACCAGACACCAGAATTTAAGGTTAAATAGGCGAATTAAGCCACAACTTTATTGAATTCAGGAATGAGAGGCATTGGCTTAGGCATTGGTCCTATCGACTATCCGGCTCCAGCCCATTTGCTGGAGACACGGGAAGGGTTAACACCATAGAGGGGGAGTCTTCTGCTAAGGCACGTCAACTAGGAGCTCCCCCGGGTCACCGCTCGGGGGCGTGCCTTAGGCCCACACCTCCATAGGCTTCGGACAGGGCCACGCTCCCCGGAGTCCTTTATCGGACCACCCTTCGTTCTCTGGGGGGAGGTGATGGCGTTCCTCCCCCCCACATCCTTTTAACCCCTTCTTACCAATGCCTAACCACCAATGCCGAGGAATTGTGACGAGTTGCTACAAGGTAGGCGAAAAACCAAATGGCTGCAAATTGCCAATTGGGAAAAATTCCGATCATGCCCCTTGCGGCGACAGACCGAAGTCCATAGCAAAGTCAGAAACCTACCCAAAGGGTAGCCAAATTGCAAAAGATGCTTGATTTCTTCAGTACCTACCTACTCTCTGGACAAAACATAAATTTCCCAGGGTGCCATGAGGTCAGTTGCACTCCACTCCTTTCCACAACCACCAAGCACTCATTTCCAGGTCAGATGGCTTCTTAACCTGGGTTGGGGGAGAAGAGAGCCTGTCTGGATTTTGCTTTTAAGCCCCTCTTTAAAAGTAAAACTATCACTTTTTACTGGGAGAAGGAGAGCTTGTGTGGCAAGGCCCCGGACCCCCTAGTTCCCCACCAAAATAAATACACAAACACATGTGTATTGGTTAATGGGATGAATTAGGCCACAACTTTATGGATTACAGAAGTGAGCAGTTTGGCTTAGGCAATTGGGTGAAGCAAGACTAAATCCTGACCCCTGCCTGACTGCAGGAAGTCTCCTAAGGGTCAACCACCGGAAGGGGGAGCCCTATGATGTACATCAATTGAGCACCCCCAGGGTCACCTTTGGGGATGTGGCATGGCCCTAGCCCACGCCCAGGCTTTGGACAGGAACCACACCCCCGGATCCCTTTAATGGGATACCCTTAACATGGAGGGGCAGGCAGAGGAACAACAACGAATGGAGGCAAAAGGAGGCTGCTTCCCTGGCCGTGCCACAATTTATTTTTTCAAATTCATTTTTATTAAATTTTCCACTTTAGCAATCCAATCAAATCACATTAAAAATTCCAAATTATACATATACATATCAAATAATCCGAATATTCTACCAAATTATAATTTTTTTAATAGGACTTCCCATGCTTCAAGTTCAGAGGGTTCTGATCATCTCATACTTCTACTGCTTTTCATAGTCACTTCTGATGGTTCCTCTAATTCTTTGTGTTGTTAACCTTTTTTCTTTCACAGCCTCTGAGTTGTTCCCACAAGCGAGTTAAAACAAGCAATGATGTGTTTCTGTGTGGATTTTATGTTCCGTGCCACAATTTAAATAGGCGTAGCCACGCCCCCTAACAAACCCAATTGGCTGGCCAGGGGCATGACGCGGCTGGAGATCCCGCTGACGTGGGCGCCATTCCTCCACCCATTCCTGGGTCACTGTGTGGACCGGGATTCCTGCCCGCAAAGCAGCCCCTCCCCAAAAGTGGAGCTGACTTCTGGGAGCACTAAAAGGCCATCTTCCATGGGACGACCGAGCAGCACAATGCCTGTCTCCCTTACAGTGGAAATTGTCACTTTCCAAGAGCCAGCCTACAGCCCTGGCTCCGGTTTCTCTCTCTCTCCAGTGTGGTGTAGTGGTTAAGAGCGGTGGACTCGTAATCTGGTGAACTAGGTTCACTTCCCTGCTCCTCCACATGCAGCTGCTGGGTGACCTTGGGCTAGTCACACTTCTTTGAAGTCTCTCAGCTTCACTCACCTCACAGAGTGTTTGTTGTGGGAGAGGAAGGGAAAAGGAGATTGTTAGCCACTTTGAGACTCCTTAAAAAGGACCCCTGACCATTAGGTCCAGTCGTGACCGACTCTGGGGTTGCGGCGCTCATCTCGCTTTATTGGCCAAGGGAGCCGGCGTTTGTCCGCAGACAGCTTCCGGGTCATGTAGCCAGCATGACTAAGCTGCTTCTGGTGAACCAAAGCAGCACACGGAAACACCGTTTACCTTCCCGCTGGAGCAGTACCTATTTATCTACTTGCACTTTGTGCTTTCGAACTACTAGGTTGGCAGGATTGAGACTCCTTAGAGTAGTGATAAAGTGGGATATCAAATCCAAACTCCTCCTCCTTCTCCTCCTCCTCTTCTTCTTCTTCTTCTCTCCCTACCCCAGAACCTTGCGCAAGGAGCCTGTCTTCAACGATGACCTCCCGAGCCGCATCGCATGTGGAACCGTGGTGGTGAAGCCAAATGTGAAGGAGTTCAGGGAAACGTCTGCGATATTTCAAGACGGCACTGCGCAGGAAGGCCTTGACTATGTCATTTTTGCAACAGGCTACAGCTTTGCCTACCCATTCATGGAGGACGAATCCATCATCAAGTGCAGGAATGACCAAGTCACCTTGTACAAAAGCATTGTCCCTCCTCTGCTGGAAAAACCCACCCTGGCGGTTATTGGCTTAGTCCAGTCCCTTGGGGCAGCTATCCCAACCGCAGACCTTCAGGCCCGGTGGGCCGTGAGAGTGTTTAAAGGTGAGCACGGCTTCACGGCTAAGTAACGGACCTGTGAGCTGGAAGCCCCTGTTTCAAATCTCAATGCTTCCGTTAACATACTAGGTGGCAATAAACAAGCCACTGTCTCCCATCTTAATATGAACATAGGAAGCTGACTTAATCTGGAGATCCATGTTCAAGATCTCCCATGTTTATTTGGTTGTTTAAAGTTAAAAGTGGGGATGCGGGTGGCGCTGTGGGTTAAACCACAGAGCCTAGGATTTCCCAATCAGAAGGTCAGCGGTTCAAATCCCCGTGACAGGGTGAGCTCCCATTGCTCGGTCCCTGCTCCTGCCAACCTAGCAGTTCGAAAGCACGTCAAAGTGCAAGTAGATAAATAGGTACCACTCTGGCGGGAAGGTAAACGGCGTTTCCGTGTGCTGCTCTGGTTCGCCAGAAGCGGCTTAGTCATGCTGGCCACATGACCTGGAAGCTGTACGCTGGCTCCCTCGGCCAATAAAGCGAGATGAGCGCTGCAACCTCAGAGTCGGTCACGACTGGACCTAATGGTCAGGGGTCCCTTTACCTTTACCTAAAGTTAAAAGTAGCCACCAAACCAATTTGGGCATGCAGCGCTGAGAAGGGACTTTTAACAGTCCCCCCCTGCATTTAACTCCCCCTCCCTACAAAAAAATAGACTGGTGGTCTGATTCAGTATAAGGCTGCTTCCTATGTTCCAGTAACCTATTATGCGTCTTCACCTGGGTATTCCGGATTGCATGCACATTGGTGTGTTTTTGTGCATAAGTTTGTTTGTATTTGGGAAAGTGAGTTTCAAGGGACATAGGGGATCATTAGTTCTTTCTTATTTTTCAGGTTTATGTAAGCTGCCTCCACAGAACAGCATGATGGATGACATAGATGAGAAAATGGGGAAAAAGCTCAAATGGTGAGTTTTAAGTACACATATTAGGTTTTTGGTTTTTTTAGTTTTCTGCTCACCTAGGAGGAAACTCCTCTATCTCCCTGCATTTTAAAGGATTCTTTGATTTCCTGCAATCAGGTGGTTTGAGGATTCTATGCTAAAATTTACAATATGCTTCAATCGGTCCGTCGTCCACATGTATATATGCTACAGTTGCCCCAGCTGGTCCTCCATGCAGATCACCAAAAACATTCTTGGAAATATTGAAAGCATCAACCCTGAAGGACCAGCTGTCCCAACTCTATGCAAGGTGAAGGGCTCACCCACACCTGTCCTACTGCTTTCCCCTGGCAAAAACTGCTCTTTAGAGCTCATTTGGAGCAAACAGCAATTGCGGTTTTCCGCAGACTGACTTTTGCTCCAATTGAGCTTTAAAGAGCTGGTTTTCATGGGGAAAGCTCTGGAGCAAAAAAGAAAAGGGTTCTTAGACATGGAACTTTAAATTGTTGGCCTTGCCTGGAAAGAGCAGAGGAAGGGAAAGTATGGAGAAGCCCTCAGCAGCCACAAAGGAGAGGGACTTTTCAACAGTGGCCCCTGTGTTGTGGAGCTCCATAACCCCAGGTAACAGAGCTTTTGAAGGGGATGAGGGATAATCACTGTTGTCGAGTGTTTTAGGCTGCTGCTGTGTTTTTACAATTAATATGTTGTTTGGTTTTGTAGGCTTTTATGCTTCCATTTAGCTATGTTGGATTTTTGCCCCAGTCACAAACTCTACGCCATCGGATCAGTGGTATCCACGGCCAATCAGAAAATTATGAAAAATTTATCTCCTAAATGATTTTGCATGCACATGTCAAAAGAGCTAGCCAATTCCAGCTAGACACAGAGTTCTTTCAATGAGCTTCACTTCTGCTTATTCAGAAGCAAAGGACTTGGTTCATTGCAGGGTGTGTAAAATCCCAGACATTCTAGATGGCACAATTTAGCCACATGGGAATAAAGTTCCCTGACAGTTTTCTTCTGCCTTTTTCCTGTTCTGCTTAGAAATACATCTACCAAACGTCCCCTTTCCTTTCCTTTCAGGTACGGCCAGAGCGATACCATACAAACAGATTACGTTGTCTACATGGATGAACTCGCCTCCAGTATCGGTGTGAAGCCGAACATTCCAGTCCTCTTCCTGACAGATCCCAAGTTGGCTCTGCAGGTTTATTTTGGCCCCTGCAGTCCATATCAGTTTCGTTTGTCGGGACCAGGGAAGTGGGACGGAGCCAGAGACGCCATCTTGACGCAGTGGGACCGAACACTGAAGGCCACAAGAACCCGTGCTGTGAAGGGCGACCAGAATTCTTTCCCACTCTTTTCTATGCTCAAAATACTCGCTCTCCCCCTTCTCCTTCTTGCCATTTTCATGATGTTCAACTGAGCGACCTCAGCGCCAAAATATACGTGACAGAATGCCGTGTGGTTTTTGTTGAAAAAGCTGCATTTTTATTGAAGATGTAAACTTTTTCATGCAAGGGAGAAAAAACCCCAACCCAAAGCAAATAGCATGCATAAACATAAGTGAAGCATGATAAGGGAGATACAGAAATCAGTGTGCATGATGTTAAACATGAAGCCACATAGGAAAGGCGGGAAAGAAGGGCTGACAACAGAAATAGTAGTAGTAATAATAATAGTAGTAGTAATAAATAAGGCATCCCTCCCACCTCCCCGCAGCCTTACTTGTCAAGTACCTTTTCCCCTGCTCAGAACATTCCCAGCTGGTCTGAGGAGAAAAGGATTTGGGGACAGAAGCTGCTCAAAGGTAAATCATAGATGTGGAGTCTGTATTCTCATTATTTTACATTTATTCTCATTATTCTCATGCATGCGAGCTGGAGGGACAGCTCTCAGCTGAACTGATACAAGCAACTCCCCATTTTACGCAATTTCGCAGACATACTCAAAATGCTTTTGCCGTCTTTCACTGTAGTCTTTCTATGTTTAAGCCTTGTTCCTCTCTGGTACCGACACATAACTTGTCAGAAAAGAGGCAGCATCTTAGATTTATAGCAGGTATAAAATGTCAGCATGCCACAGAGAACAAACATGAACTATTCCATCCTTTCGGGGTTGCCAGCTTTCCATATTTTATCTGACCATTCCGTATGGGCTGAACATCCTGTCTCCATTTGGAGAACTATTTGACCCTTGTGAAAGAGATATTTTGAGGAGTTGGGAAGGGCAAATTTTAAGAATTTGAGGAGAAAGGTTCGTGCTTTGACCTACAAAATGGCTGAGGTTATTGTGATTCAATGATCCGCCACCCGCTTGGGGATAAGAAAGACACATGGACACAGTATATTAGGTTAATGGGCTAAAAAAGGCCACAACTTTATTGATTACAGCATGTAAGAGGTATTGGCTTAGGCATTGGTTAAACAACAGAGCGCGACTCCACCCCCTCAGGAAGAGGTGAGTCTATCAAGGGTTAACCACCAGTGGGAGGAGCCTGTTAATGCAAATACAACTGAAAGCTCCCCCTGATGTCACCGGGGGTCGTGCCATGGGCCTAGCCACCAGCAAGGGCGTCGGACAGGATCCACGACCGCCGGTTTCCTTTACCGGAATACCCATAAAGTGGAAGGGTAGGCGATGGTCACACCCTGCCCTCCAATACACAAACATATTCCAGTGCCTAACCGCCAATACGTAAAAGTTGTGATGATTTGCTACGAGGTAGGTGAAAAACCAAGTGGCCGGTGCCAATTTGCCAGTTGGATAAAAATTCCTACCAGGCCCCTTGAACAACCAAGGCGACCAGCCACAGGTCCATAGCAAGGTCAAGAACCAAGCAGTGAACTAAAGGGAGGGTGGGTGGGTGATCCAATGAAAACCAGCAGCGGAATGAAAGGGAAGTGCTGCAGTGGCCACATTTGAGTGGCAAAACCCCGCCCCCAAGCCTCCACCTGGTTGGTTGGCTACCTGGGGGCGTGGCGCAGCAGCCAGACTGCCAATGTGGGAAATGGCTCCTGCTCGCAACTCCTCCCCTCTGTAATGAGGAGAGGCTTTCTCTTCCATCTACCAGAGAAGAAGAAGATGCAGCCTTGGCACAACTTCAAGCAGCTGCATGGGTACTTCAGCCACATTTCTGGGGCAGAATGTCTCTTGCAGTGGCACCACAATATGCCATAGCATGATTCCCAGGGGTATTATTGGGGGTGGAGCTGCCCCCGACATCAGCTCAGCAACGTGGCCAGAGGAGTTGAGTTGCCACAAAGTAGTGATAAGGCTTTTGCGTGATTAAACAAAAAGGGGGGGCAGGACTCTCAGCTACCTTAGATTTTAAAACACATCCACCCGCTGTCCACAAATGCTTCAAATCTGCCCACTCATCTCCCAAGATCACTGTAATTCATGGAGGGCATGTTCTCCCCACCCTAAAAACTAACACAATAATGCTATGCCAAATAGCATTTGGGGCCTGAATACTGCTACACAGCACCCCAGTGTCTGAGCGGTGCAAGATTCGGGGGGTTTCAGGTGCACTTAAAAGGGTCTGAGTTTCCTTTCGGACAGTGAGGTACAGTGGAGACTGGTGTCTTAATGGAATATACAGCATTCACATCCCAAGAGGGCCTATTCTCTATAAGTACATCGTTGGATTCAAAGAGCAGCAGAAAGCCACACTCTGTCATGAAGTTGTAGCAAAGTTCTTGGGCAGACTCAAAAATACCAATAAATCACTGCTGGCATGGAAAGTTGTGAAAAGTTTATTTCAAGAGAGGAACAGATGTGTTAAAGCACCAAAGCACACCATTCCAAGGCACAGGGCTCATATTTTTATGGTTCCTCTACAAAGCTTCACGTGAACACAATGTGATCAGCACCGTGATCACATTCATTGGTTATAAAAAACATGCTCCTATCTGCGTAAGCAATACCATGGCAACCCTGTGATCAACTCCCGCCCGGAAACCTATGTCCCCACTGTGGAAGGATGTGTGGATCCAGAATTGGCCTCCACAGTCACTTACGGACTCACTGTTAAGACCAGGCACAGGCAAACTTGGCCCTCCAGATGTTTTGAGACTACAATTCCCACCATCCCTGACCACTGGTCCTGTGTGATGGCCTGGGAATCCGATTCAGAGGCTGAACCGGAGGAATCCCAGCCTGCACGGGAGTCCCCGCCTCCAGGGCCGGCTGAGTTGGGGCAGGACCTTGGATCTGAAGCGCCTGCACCTGTGCCGGATCCTCAGGAGCAGGCACCAGGTGAATCCACTCTGGCTCCGGAGGTGATTGAGGACACATTGCCTACAGGTGCACCTCTCCCAGCCCTGTCAGGGGAAGGTGAGTCTCCCCCTGGGTCCAGTAACCCTCCAGCCTCTCCTGAGCTTCAGAGGCTCAGGGCAGAGAGAAGGAGGGAACTGGTTTCTCCCAGGAGGAGTGCTCGCCTTAAGGCCAGGAGAGGCGGGTCACCTGGGGGCCGGGACCGCCCCTGGCCTCAAAGAAGATAAAGGCCAGTCAGCCCGGTCCCAGGTTGCGGGAGCAACGTCGTTGAAGACCTGTTTCGGCCAGCACCCAGACCTGTTCTTCCAGAGTTCACGTCCTTGCCCAGCTTCTCGCGTTGGACCCCGCTTCGCCCTTGGAGGTCAGTCTGCAGACCCTCGACCCAGGCCCCTGACCACGCCACGCCTCATGGTAACCTCCCCCCGGGACCAGCACATCCTGTTAGCTAGTGATGATGGGAGTTATAGTCCCAAAATATCTGGAGGGCTGAGTTTGACTATGACTGGTTAAGACCGTGTTCATAGAAGACAATCTTACTCGGCTACAAGTCATCACCAAAGAAGAAGACCATGGCAACAGGTGGTCCCTCTCCCCAATAATATTTTATTAAGACCTTTCATAATACATTACATGGTCTAAACCACTGAGCCTCTTGGGCTTGCTGATTGGAAGGTCGGTGGTGGTTTGAATCCCCATGATGGGGTGAGCTCCCGTTGCTCTGCCCCAGCTCCTGCCAACCTTGCAGTTTGAAAGCATACCAGTGCAAGTAGATAAACAGATACCACTGCGATGGGAAGGTAAACAGTGTTTCCGTGCTCTCTGGTTTTCGTCACAGTGTCCCGTTAAGCCAGAAGCGGCTTAGTCATGCTGGCCGCATGACCCGGAAAGCTGTCTGCGGACAAACACCGGCTCCCTTGGCCTGAAAGTTAGATGAGCGCCGCAACCCCATAGTTGCCTTTGACTGGACTTAACCATCCGGAGTCCTTTACCTTTTTACCTTTTATAATACATTACAATTAAAAACAAACTAATGAAAACAGAAACAGAAAAAGAGCTAAAGAAGAATGCAAAGTCCTTTCTCACAGGTAGATCTTAACTCTTGTCCCACACAGAAACAGGTGAACCCTCCCAGCCTCCCACCCTGGGAGATCTTCCCTTCCCTGCTTCCACTGGCGGAGGAATGGGGGGAGATTTTTAAAGGAAAACCCCAAAGTTGTCGAGCTTTTATTTTACAAAAATGCCATGAAAAACCGTGATTTTTAAAATGGATTTGCCTAAGATCCAGGACAAAGCACCACCTTTCAGAAATTCCTCCGCGGACGTCAATTCCACCTTTGAAATACCGGGGGAATCCAAACGTATGGCAGCCGTATTTCATGCCTTTCCTTTAGCCTGTCCTTACAATGCGTGCAAAAACCTCACAATATCTCAGAAGTGCAGAAAGAGGAGCGCTTGCTGAATAAACGAGGCCTCTGAAAGTGCTGGTAAATTGGAGAGATCCTTATACACACGCATAGGTTATTAACGCCATCAAGCCTGCAATGGCCAGAGGATATTGCAAATTCTGGGAACAAAATTTAGAGAAAGGGTTGGAATGTAGCTGATGGCAAGAGGAACAGAAGAGAAAAGAGGTAAGATCAAAACATCCATTTTTTTATGCATGTCCAGTGAGAGGAGGTGCTGAACACTGAGGTTTGCTGAAGGTGAGCATATGAAAAAGATTCACAAAATGGTGGAATTGGGTGGGACCACGGCGGTCATCTAGTCCAACCCTCTGCAATGCAGGAATCTTTTTGCCCAATGTGGGTCTCAAACTCACAGCTGTGCGATGAAGAGTCTCATGCTTTACAGACTGAGCTTATCACTTATTAAGCATTTTAACAAGAAGCATCCCAAACGAATGTAAAAGAGTGTTTCTCTACATGATAACAGCATCCAGAATTTTAATAGCAAAATATTGGAAAAATGAGTCAACACCAACAAAAGATGAATGGCAGTTAAAGCTGTGCGAGTACAGTGGACGCTCAGGTTGTGAATGTGATCCGTGCGGGATGCACGTTCGCAACCTGCCGTGTTCGCAACCCGTATCTGTGCACATGCAGGTTGTGATTTGGCACTTCTGCGCATGCGCAACCACCGAAACCCGGAAGTAACCCGTTCTGGTACTTCCAGGTTTCGGCAGTCAGCAACCCGAAAAAACACAACCTGAAGCGGCTGTAACCCGAGGTATGACTGTACTTGAACTCGCCAAAATAATAATAATAATAATAATAATAATAATAAATTTTATTTATATCCTGCCCTCCCCAGCCGAAGCCGGGCTCAGGGCAGCTAACAACAATAAAACAGTACAAAAGTACAAGACAAACAACACTCTAAAATGAGAGTCAATAAGAAACCACTCAGGAGATAAGGTTAAAAAAGAATGGGGTTGCTTTAAAAATTACTTAATAAAACATGTTTCCCATAACAACCCTTGGCTGTGTTTAGATTAATTTCACAGAAAAGGAATTTTTTTCATCCTGTCTGGACAAACAATTAAATACAGATAATTTAAATATAATAGTTGAGTTGAAACTGCAAAGAGATAGAGGGAAGTCAACAAAATCATAAGGGACTCAAACCAGTACGAAGATAATATCTTTTTAGGATTTTGTGTGTAGAATATTTAAGTTATGGTTTGTACTTCTTAAAAGATGTTGGTTTTGACAAAAAAAATTGTTGATTTTTTTACTGTTTTTTTCCTTTCTTTTCTTTTTATCAATTTTTTGGGGGTATTATTTTCTTATTCGTTGTTGTCCTATTTATCCTAGATCTTTATAAATCTTTACTATGTATTTTGTATTATTATTATTTTCTTATCTTAGAATATGTAATTTAGGATCAATTTATTCTTTTTATTATTATTTTTGTAAATTTCAAAAATGTAATAAAGTTAGAAAAAGAAGGAAAAAAAGAGATCGGGGAAAACAACTAGCAAAGCCTGTGTTTGACCATATTGCACTGTACTTTTGTTTCAATTTGTTATAGTATAAATGGGTGGGATCAAGGGGAATATACATGATCTGAGGAGAAAGGAGAGAGGCCAAGGTTCTCCAGGAACCTGGAACCAGCCCTGCAAGATACAGGGAGAAGCCATTGGCGCCTATCCCTACCTGTTCCCTGCTTCCTGTGCTCAGCACCTAAGATACAAGAGCAGATATTGCTTAAACAAGACAGATGCCCTGCTGCGTCAGCTTCCTCATGCTCCTGGTTCTACCTGCAAAGGTGAGTCAGCTAAGAAGAAGCGCATTGAGGCTGTGCCAAGAGCCCCGGGGACAAAGGGAATTCAGAAGCTGGCTTGCTTGCTAGGAATGAATCACTATTTAGCTTTGGAGAGGCTGGGTTCTGGTTGACTAAAACCCATAGCTGTCAACTTACAGATTTGAAAATAAGGGATCAGCAGCCAAAATAAGGGATTTTGGCTTAGCTTATACAGAAATCCGGCACTGATGGAGCCATGCTGCTTTGGCTGCGACTAACTGTGTTTTGCAGGGGGTTGGACTAGATGATCCTAAGGGTCTACAACTCCGACCAAAGAAGAGTGGCAGACGAAACTGATGAACGACGTCGAGATGGCAAAGCTTCCAGGCAGAATTAGAAACCAGGAAGAGGACCTCTTTAATAAAGAATGGGGAAAGTTTATAATTCAGTTGAAAAGCTATTGCAAAGAGTTACATACATTGGTAGGATTGACAGAAAACTTGTAGTAAAAATTTGAACTATGGATGGACAAATGATTTATAAAAATAGTTAGGAAAGGGATGCAGAGGGGGAAATCTTGCGGAGGAGGACCCCGAGCCTCTGCTTCCCTCCCGAGCCGGGCGAGCATGAAACCCGGGAAATTTAAGGGACATCATCAATAAGGGACAGCAGCGGGACACGGCGCTGGGATGAGGGAGTTTCCCGTCAAATAAGGGACGGTTGACAGTTATGCTAAATCCACAGTTACTTTGCTACCAGCTGGAACTCGTCTAAAGTTGAGTATCCTTTGTTTGGCCAGGCTGTTCTTCCAAGCTGTAGGTAGAGCAAAGGCACGGCAGCTGCTTCTCAATTGTCCTGTTGTCTTTTCAAGGGAAGCCAGCAAGTTCAGCTTCCACCGCTCCACTACCTCTAGCTGTCATTAAAGGGAGAACATATAAGCCCAAATCCACAGTCCCACATTCCATGTGATTGTGTAACCCTAGTCCTTGGCTAAGGTTGCCAAACTCCTTGTGTTTTCAAAGAAGGTTGCTCACAAACATCCACAGAACATTTTAAGGCAACTCTGTTTATCACACAGACACACCCCAGTAACCCTAAAGACTGTTCCAGGGGAAAGGGGCATCTATCTGCATCAACAAGTTAACTCCTAGTGCTCTGTGCCTGAGAGATAAAGAACCACGTGAGCATGGACTGCCCCCTTGTCAAAAGTCTCTGGAGCTCAGCTGGAGTGTGGATTTCCCTCTAGACACTGAAGGGACAATCTGCTTAATCCAAGCAACAGAGGAAGCCAGGTAAGAATTGCCATTTCCCTACGGTACTTTGGCTCTTCAACCTTTTTATCTCTTGACTCTTCAAGTCAAACCACATATTTGAGAAATCTATGACCAGATAATGCTGGAGGCAGAAGTATTTCACTCTTCCCCCCATTCTGCTATTCTCCAGATTTACCTATCGCGCCTACAATGCTCACACTCTCTGCTTCCTCCACCAAATACAAATACTGTACCTGTAAGCTCTGGCCAGGCCAGGGGACAGTTTTGATTTGTCAAAGTGGTGCAGAGTAATGTGTTAAAACCCCCTTCAGCAGCACTGCTGCGCCAATTAAATTTAATGAAGGGGAGATCTGGTCACAAACCTCTCACCAACAGTTAGGATTTTTGTGCTCTCGTTGAGCATTTAAAAATGGTTTTGCTTTTTCTGTTTCCCGAAGAGAGAATGAGGAATTTCTGTCTTGTGTGTGCTGAAGTACTCTGATTTATAGCCATCGTTTTATTTCGGTAATTGTTTTATCCCATATGGTACAAGGGCAGCTCACAATCGAAATCATTAAAGAAAGAACTGCAAACATTTCACAATGCTGAAATACAGAACATCAGCAGTGAATGAAAGCAGATGATAAAAATGATATAAAAACGATCGAAATGTCAAACTTTCCCAAAGTCCTAAGTAAATAGGTCCATCTGCAACCGGCAGCCAAAAGTTACCGTAATCATAATTTCTGCATGACAAGTTGAAATAACATTAGAAAGTTTACTTGAATGATTTTAAGAGACATAAATGAGTATTGTACAAATATATCTACTATACACTATTATGTAAAGTACAAACAAATATCTTAAGTCATACAACTTACCTTTTCAAACTACTCAGTCATGAGCTTTCCTGGACAGCAAACCACTTCAAAATCTGAGATATCTCTCTTGCATCCTCATAGGTTCTTAAAGTGCCACCAATACTTACTATTAAGGGGTGCTACTGTCATAATTCCAATTCCTATTTCCTATCTGCATTTAAGAAGTCAATATTTGGCAAAATCTACTAATACATAAGTCGATCCATTACACAAAATTTCATTAATTTTCTTTCTTTTTCCCCCATAAGGAAATATCAAAATATCACATTGGTAACATTTTTCAAATAAAGAACAAGAAAACACATCATAATTATCCAAAACCAGCTATACTTTAATCATACCTGCTCTTCCTTTAACCAGATTTTATATTCACTTTCTTAATATCTAATTTGCATTATTTGACTTACATAATTTACATGATACAGATTAAATCATTCCATATTTTCCCTTCATTTCCTTCCCAACGTAGGGAACCTCATTCTATATTTCCTCTGTTTATATTTGGGTCAATGAATTTTATAAAAGGTCTCTAGTTATCCCCTCCTCTTTTTTACTGTTACAAATATGTTCACTTTGTCATTATATCTATTTTCCCATGGTTTTATCAACTAATATTTAATGCTGCTTCTCATTGTGTGGCTATTAGTTTACCAGCTGTTGCTAAGAGTCCAGTTTAATTCTGGGTACTGCTGCAAAACATTTTCCTTCAAATATCCAAGCTGCATAAATATTAGCTGAATATTTCATTGAGTACAGTCCTATGTTCTTTTCCTTTTTTGCCTTTTCTTATAAATATAGCTGACTTTTCTTTAATTAATTACTGTGTTAATCAATGCATTTTTAAAATAATGAGCAGCAGCCTGAATAGCTTTATGTAAATGAAATTGTCTGTCACAACTTTAACTCAATATGGATATATAAAAATAAAAACACATTTTTAATGGTGCTCAGATGCGTGAAAATTATGCTGTAACCATGAGATCAGCTTTATACTCACCAGCCATAACCCAACATAGAATTAAGCGTTCTGAATGCCACTGAAATCAACAGGCTTAAATGTGTACAAGTTTCTGTTGGATTATGGTCAATAAATATACTCACAATTTTTTAAGCCAGAGGAATTTAGTCTTCAAGTTTATTCCTGGGATCACTGCTCTGTACCTACCTAATTTGTGTTTTCCTGTAATCCTGACTCTAAACTGAATCCAGACGTTCAATTTAAGGTGACAGCAAAGCAGAGAAGCTTTTTTACCCCGTTAGCCTGAAAGAATAATAATGCTTATAGAAGTATGAATTTAACTTTGGGAATGAGGTTTGTCCTCGTTTCTCCTCTTTCCTAGGCTTCAGTGGATAACGCATCTCACACAATCTCTTGCTGTGATAAGAAAGAAATAGAGGGGACTGCAAGTTGCAAAACCATTTTTCAAACCCCAATTCCCAAGGCACACATTAATCCATTATAACCAATATCTCTTCTCCTCAACTATGGCCTCATCCAGACTTCCTTTGGTGCTGCATTTTGAGGCACAGTTCCATGCTTTAAAGTTTCATGTCCAAGCATTGTTGTTGTTTTGTCCCGGTGCTTTTCCCGGGAAAAACCCACCCTTCGCTATCTTCTCCCCCCAATAAGGCATGCGACATAATTTATGGATGGTTCCCTCTTCATCTCATTCCATGTTGGAGTTGAATTTCTGCAGATGAAATGTCACATTTTAGTCAGAGGCGTAGCAAGGTGAGGTGGTACCCAGTGCAAAAAAATGTTTAACACACACCCCCACACCCCCACATTGCAATCCCCCCCCCCAATTTTTTAAATTGATTTTCCAAATTTATAATGAATATAACACTCCAAGAAAAAAAACACATTGCGTGGACAGGCGGAGTCCCCAGATCCCGAGCGCCCCCCCCCCGTCATGTGGAATAACGACTCAAGACAACGTGCTATGAGATTAAATTGGCCACAACTTTATTAAATTTCAAATGTGGGTAGACCTTGGCTCAGGCATTGGGCGTTCTCCCTCCCCAGTCCCCAGCCAGGGACCTAGGGAGCATCAGGCTTATCCAGTGTGTGTGGGGGGGGGATGGGCCGGCTCTGGAGAACATATGTTCAAGCAGAGATAGCCGCCCCCATTACGCCGCCACCGCAGGGGAGAGCAATGACGACCTTTCGGCGTACAGTCAAAGCCTCCCTTCAGAAACCCCTTTAACGGGGAACCCTGGTATCGCCGCCGCAAAGAGGAAGATGGACTAAAGGATTCCGCCCAAGGCCTGATACCGCCAAAGTTGTGACGTTTTGCTACGGGAAAGGCGAAACCTGCCAATGCAGGGAAATTCCTTTCCGTCCCTTTGACAGCGACCTTAACATAGCAGCGCCCGCATACCTGTGAAGGAAACGTTAACCTGCAAAACCTGTGAAGAAAAGTTAACCTGCAAAATAAGGCATTAACTGAGGGTGGGTAGGGTGGGAGAAGCTCTGGAGCCAAGTGAGGATTCCCAGGTAAGATCCTCCCTCTATTGTGTGGGCAGGTAATCCCTCCCCTACCTGGCCTGATCTCCTTGGCAACGCTTCCCCCAGGTGGGATTGCACAACTGACTGAGGAAGGCGGAGACCTCCAGGTATCCCACCTGAGGGAAGGCAAAGCCAAGCCTATGCTGATGGGGCCGCTCCAGATCTAGGGCTGCGCGCGTCCACGCAAAGGGCACCCCCCGTTTTATGCAGGGAGCGGTCATTACAATCCTAAAAAGAAGAGAAAAAAGAAAAGAAAAAACAAACATGTAGACACATATTACTTCTAAGACCTAATTTAATTTTCATTGTTAACTGACTTCCACAAATACCCCCTTACTGAGTTTCATTGAATCACCTTGTAACAGCTCTCCAATATCTTCTTTCTAATCAAATTAACTCCTTTGATTTACAATCTTCTTCTCTTTTCATAATTATCTAAATCCATAGTATTTTACACTTCATTCTTACTCTAATCCTAGGCCTGTTTGATACTTTCAAGTGACTTCTACTTATCTTATGTTTGGCTAAATAGTCTTTGAATTTCTTCCAATCTTCTTGATATTCCTCTTCTTTCTGATCGCGGATTCTTCCAGTCAGGTCGGCTAGCTCCAAAAAGTCTAACATCTTCATCTGCCATTCTTCTACTGTTGGACCCCACATTGCAATTTTGGGGAATGTTGCCCAGAGTTGTTGAGCTTTTTAGGGAGGGTACCCAAAGTTGTTAAGGTTTTATTAGGAAGGGTTGGCCATGAAACAGATACGCCCGCAGTTTGCGCAAATCCAACCGACGATCACATACATAATGGCCATGGTGCCCACCTAAAAGGTGCGAAAACTGAGTTCCGACTGATAAAAAGCCCTGCCCATAACCATGCACACTTGCCCCAGAGCAGACATGTACAGCGTTGCACTGTAAATTGATAGTGCTACCCACAGATTTCTCACCAATGGGAGAAGTGGGTATAAAATTAATACAATTAATGGTGAAAACTTTCTTGTGGCAAGTTGCACAGTCTCCTTTAGTTGCCGTATATCAGACAAGGCAGTAGTTTGCACGATCGGCGGTTGGATTTTCACTATCGGCGGGTGGTGCTGGCCTGCCGGGGGTGCAAGCACTGCCTGCCAGGGGGTGCCGGCGCCACCGGCCGATCGCGAAAATCTGACCGCCGATCACATAAAACCAACCTCTGGGGATACCAGCGCCGCCTGCTGGGGGGGGTTTGCCAGGCTGATCGTTGGGCGTATTGTGCGATCAGTGGGCGGATTTTCACGACGACGATCACTCCAATCGTGAAAATCCATCTGCCGGGAGTGCAAGTGCCGCCACGCCAATCCACCCAGAGGATTTTGTCAACCCCAGGCATGACACCCGGGGCAGAGGGCACCCCCCACACCCCCCTTGCGACGCCTCTGATTTTAGTAGCTTGGAGCACTTTCCAACATCATTAAGCGATCGTTAAAACGCTAGTGTGAATGTACTTTCTATATTGTCAGGTCAGGGTCCTGCGAGTTTAAGATGTGATGTGGCTGCTATTTGGATCATTTGGAATACGCTTAGGTTCTTGGATCATATGTCTGTGGGGAGGGTCATGTAAACATGGCTTGGGACATCTGCCCCTCACTTCCCTCTCCCGTTATGCAAAGAAAGCCTGTGTGAAGGATCATGTGAACACCGCTCGGGTCATTTGAAATGTGATGTGGACGCTTCTCGGATCATGCTGCTTGCAACGTGATGTAAACATTGCTCGAATCATCTGCCCCGATTGGCACAATGTCACTATTCTTAACTGTGTGGTTCTTGGCAAAGACTCCCCAGAAGGGGCATCAACACAAACACATTTCATCCAAATTTGCCAACAAATGAAAAGTGATATGCCTTTGTTGGTTCATTCCAGTCAATGGGAAAGACATCTAAGGCTTCGGGAAATGGCCGCTGTCCACAGATCTGGGGTGAAGCACAGTGTCTGTCCAAGCCTCTGAGCGAAGGTAGCACACCCCTAGTGTTAATAAGAGGACAGAAGTGGCCTTCTGATTCAAGGGAGAAATGTAAGCTGTGCCTTTGATCTTTCCTTCCCATAGGGGACCATGGCTAAGAAAGTTGCCATTATCGGTGCTGGAGTGAGCGGGCTGACATCCATCAAAGGCTGCCTGGAGGAAGGCCTTGAGCCCACTTGCTTTGAACAAAGCAGTGACATCGGAGGACTATGGAGATTCACAGTAAGTCAGGAGACTTGTCGCTTGAAAGGTTAGAACATTGAATGAATGTATCTTGGGAAGCTTCCACTACAACCCACAGAGGGACACGCCCCGATTCTGATAGGTGTGTTCTGTGGCTAAGCTCCTTTCGACCTCAGCTGCCACTAATATGTAGGAAGGCACTTAGTTCTAAAAGTCTTCATCAACTGATAGTTGTCCTCACCTTCGCCAGCACTCAAGTTTCTGGCTGAATTGCATTGCTCCAGAAAGGAAGTGGCTGAAATTGTGTGCATAGGTGCTGGGACATTGCATGGCAGACTATACTGCCAGACTCATCCTCATCCAGTGTTAGTCACTAAGAGCCAAACCAGGTGTGAAATATATTTTCAGTAATGCAAATAGTTTCATGCCATTCGTGTCTTCCACATGGGTGTAGCCAGGATTTTTGTTAGGGGAGGGGGCAGCCAAATTTGTCGAACTTTCTTTTCAGGAAATCAAAGCTGTCGAGCAATGTTTGCGAGAGGAGAACTTTGTGCAGTGGATTATGCCCCAGCAGGCAGATCTGCCCATATGGCACACATAATCTGCCGCCTGAGGTAGAAATTTCATGTTGCCTTATGACAGAGCTGCTTTTCATCCTGAACTGTGCCAAAATAAAATTGGCTTGTCCCTCAGCAGTCACAAACCAAACAATGTGCTGATGGTTTAATAAATGCCCTCCACTTTTGCTGAACATAACTGGGTGGATTGTTTCACCCTCGCTCCTAGAACTGGAAGATCTGTGACCAATTGATTGTAGTCATGTGGATTATTTACCCTCTACTGTGCTTTTTGGAATAATGGCATCCTAGGAACACTGGGAGCGCCCCATTCCATTTCTTTATAGTATGTAAACAGCTTTCATCCGAGGATGAACTGGATTTCCTTTTGGATGAATTTTTGTTGTTATTATTTTTCATTACATATATCAAAAACTTGTTCAAAATGGCTTCTCTTGGAATATTTTTTATCCTGCTGCAGATGTCAGATGACTCATGGGTGCACTGGATTACATAGACAGGGAGATGAATGTTTTGCTTGGGACACCTTGCTGGGGATGCATTATATCTCTATGGAGATTTTGAGGCCAATTGGGTTATTAGTCATAGCACTTTACTGGAGCCTCCATGTTCAGAGATAGCGAACCATCTGGCAACAGTTGATTGAGAAGCAAAGAATGGTGAAGGGCTTTTGGCTTCATGCTATGTGTGTGGGATTCCGGGAGACAGCTGATCAAGCAGGGATCTTCTTATTGCTCCCTAGGAAAAGGTGGAGGAAAACAGGGCTAGCATCTACAACTCTGTCGTCACCAATTCCTCCAAAGAGATGTCCTGCTTCAGTGACTTTCCAATGCCTGACCACTTTCCAAACTTCCTGCACAACTCCAAGTTCCTGGAATATTTGCGACTGTATGCAAAGCACTTTGGTCTGCTCAAGTATATAAGGTTCAAGGTATGTTGATTTAATTCACTCAATACTATCTCCTGTTTCTTTCTGGGAACTAAATTTGTAATAATGTTAAAACAAGAGAATCTATTAGCTTTAGTGATGTTGCTTGGACAATTCTTTTTCAAAATGTTTGATATCTGTAGAATGTCCACCACACATGGAGTGAGTCTGCTTTTTTTCATACAGCACCAACACTTACTAGCAGTTGCAACCACATAGTCCAAATCCCTGCAATGTAGTAATCTTAACTAAAGCACCCATGATAGATGGCCATCCAACCTCTGCTTAAAAACATCCAAGGAAGGAGAGTCCACCACCTTCATTTGAAGATGGCTATCATATCTCCTCTCCATCTCCTCTTATCCAGGCTAAACATACTCAATTCCCTCAACTGTTCTTCAGAAGTAGTTCCTTGGTTTCCAGACCTTTGATCATCTTGGTCATCCTCTTCCAGCTTGTCAATATCCTTCAAAAACCCTTTAAAAAATCCCCTTCAGAACTTCCTGCTGTTCAATGAAGTGGGGAGCGAGGAACGTGGTGTCAGAGAAAACTGGTTGCAAAGTAATAGTGTCGTTTTTCTGGCTTCATGGTAGACCACCGTCATCAGTTTAGAAAAAAGCCAAGATTACTCTACCACTGGCCAATGGACCATGGTCACAGAGACAGATGGAAAGCAGGAGTCATTCATCTTCGATGCTGTCATGATCTGCACTGGCCACCAGATAGAAGCATACACCCCAGTGGAGTTTTTTCCTGGTAAGGTTTCTTCAGCCTAACAGAGAGTTGAAAACCCTGAACATATTTCAGTTGACAACACAGCGTCTGGTTGGGTTTGTGAGGTTCAGTGACCAGCCATGAGGTCATGCTGGACCAACTAGAAGAGACAAGTGAGGCAAGCATCCAGGGTGCCAGAATTCAAGAGAATCTTCTCACCTTAGCTATGAGCTTGCAAGGAGAGAGCCGCTGCTTGAACTTTTGGAGGGGGGGGGCAGCTTAACAGAGGCAGCTTAGCAGATCAGCACCATTTCAGGGGGGATGATAAGATCAAGAATGTTCTAATCTCCATAATTTGCCTCAGGCACAGACAGCTATACGTGGAAGGAGGGGGAGAAATGAAGGGACAAAAATGACAAATACAAACAAAAAAATGGTTTCGCAGCCAACTCTTATTGAATGTGCTATAGTTATTCTCTGCAGGGGGAAGGGCTGGGAATGAGCAAAAGAAAATTTTAGGTCAGCCCTGGGTAGGGATTAAGGTCCTTCATATGCCTGTGCAGATAAATATCCTCATTCCCTTGCCCTTAAAGGTAAAGGTAAAGGTAAAGGGACCCCTGACCATTAGGTCCAGTTGTGGACAACTCTGGGGTTGCAGCGCTCATCTCGCTTTACTGGCCGAGGGAAGCCGACGTTTGTCCGCAGACAGCTTTTCCGGGTCATGTGGCTAGCATGACTAAGCCACTTCTGGCGAAACCAGAGCAGCGCACAGAAACACTGTTTACCTTCCTGCTGCAGCGGTATCTATTTATCTACTTGCACTTTGACGTGCTTTCGAACGGCTAGGTTGGCAGGAGCAGGGACCGAGCAACGGGAGCTCACCCCGTTGCGGGGATTTGAACCGCCAACCTTCTGATTGGCAAGCCCTAAGCTCAGTGGTTTAGACCACAGCACCACCTGCGTCCCTTGCCCTTACATCCCCCACAATTCCACATGAGAAATCTTTTCCTATCTCATTCCCTCAAATAGATGATTTTGACATGTCTCTTCATCCCCAGTTGTGCTATGTGGTGAAAACAAATCAAGCATTGTTGCCTAATTTGTTCAACTTTTGCATATTTTTTCCCAAATTCTGGATTTCCCCCCACCCATTATCAGAGTTCCAAATGTATTTATCTTAGCCAACTCACACTTGGAATTCCTAGGGGAAGGGGGAGATACATCGGATAGAAGATTTGGCAAAAAATGATGGCTCAGAGGGAGACATGATCAAGCTCACCCTTCTGATGCCATAAAACAAACAAACCCTCTACTGCTTTGCTTAGAAGAAGCCATAGTTAACATGTTTTTGTCCTTAGCATGCTCTTTGGATGTAAAATAAAAATAGGAATTAAAAAACAACAACCATAGCTCCACTAGATCACTGACTCTACAAATATATACTGATTTAAAGTCATTGACTTTCACATTCTAAAAGGCTACTTTCTTGTTCTGCATACTGCACCAATGTTTAATCACAAAACGGGGTTAGTCACTTGGCTAAAGCTATATTGTTTTTACCAGTTTTTTCCTCTCGTGAGAAGATATATTTGAGGGAATAGCATTCTTCCACTACAGATGAGCCAAGCAAAGTTTGTCTTGTACCTGAATGCTGTGATATCCTGATCTGGAATCTATCCAAAAACAACTTTTTGCAACTATTAAGTTATTCTGCAAGTGCTGTAGCAACTCTTTGCTTCATGGCAGGTTTTGAAAAGTTCCGGGGAAACTATTTCCACAGCCGAAATTACAAAAACCCTGATGGGTTCAATGGGAAGACTGTTGTGATCATTGGGATGGGGAATTCGGCTGCTGACATCGCTGTGGAGATCTGCAGGAAGGCGAAGAAGGTAAAGAGGCTGTTTGGGGAGAGGGGTGATGTGAAGAATTGGATATCTTCTTGATAGGCATGGGTTACAAAACAAAATAGATGGAACCCAACCTAAGGTGGACTTACCCACGCGATGGCTGGCAGCAGGACCCACTGACTGAAGGAAGGAGCAGAGAGAGAGGAGGAAGAATGGGAAGAAGGTTTATGGTAAGAAAGAGGAGGATAGATGTAAACAGATATTGTAACAGTAAATGTTATTTTATATATACCCTGCCTGTCAGGAACTCAAGTCTGCTTGCTGATAAAGTAAGAACAGGTAAGAGATCAGCAGCGGAAAACATTAAAAAGCAGCTGAACATACATATACAAAAACATATATAAATATGTCCTGGGCGCAAAATTGTTAGGGGCACAAGATTTCAACACCCCGTGCTACTTCAATACAGCTGTGCTCTTCTATCACAGGGCTCTGTTGAACACGGCTTCTTCCTGTGAACCAGGAAGTGACCTCTCCAGGCAACGAAACAACTCTTCTTGTCTTATCTCTGTGGCTGCAATCTCCTGGGTGATGCAGACTCTGTTAGGCAGTTGAATTTGCATGCATACTGAAATATACTCAGAGTCGCAAAGTGATTTCATGCTCTTTATTCAGCTCATAGTGGTGAGGGGGAATGAATAAATGTCCCCTCACAGTATCTGCTTTATATACATTATTTACACAGTGGGCTGCACATGATTGGCTAATTCCGGAATTCTACTGTAAGCCAATCAGGTTGTGGATTCACTTCTATCTGGAGCAGGATTGGGTGGTTCCTGCCAACCAATCATACTGCTGCATTGTTCTAGGACCAATCAGACTGTTGCATTCTGAATCCTATTGTTCTAGGACCAATCAGACTGCTGCATTCTGAATCCTATTGTTCTAGGACCAATCAGACTGCTGCAGTTTGGATCCTATTCAACTCAGTACATAACACATACTAAGTCCGTTTCCCTCTCTCCCCCTCCCCCTCTGTGTGGCCCGGGACCCTTGCAACCCACGCTACGCCACTGGATTTGTGAAGGAGAGAGGAAGCTTTGAGAGAGTTTTGGGGGCTCATCGGCTTCTCTTGCTGCCCCACAGGTTTTCCTCAGCACAAGGGGAGGCACCTGGGTGATGAGCCGAGTGTATGACAATGGCTATCCTTGGGACACCATCTTTCACACTCGCTTCAACGACTTGATCCGAAATTCTGTCCCTTGGTTCCTTTTGAAATGGATGACGGAACGGAAAATGAACCAGTGGTTTAGCCATGAGAACTATGGCTTGGTGCCTCGAAACAGGTACATAGTTCAGGCCTAGGCAAACTCGGCCCTCCAGATGTTTTGGGACTACAACTCCCATCATCCCTAGCTAACAGAAACAGTGGTTAGGGATGATGGGAATTGTAGTCTCAAAGCATCTGGAGGGCCGAGTTTGCCTAGGCTTGATATAGCTGGTCATTTTGCTTCAAAGGGGGGTTGATCTGACCTGGGTTTGTTGCCAGGGTTATTGCAAGACACAACAAGAGGCGAAAATCAGTTAGACACAAATTCTGTCAGTCCTATGCTTCCATCCATCTCCTTTTTGAAAAGGCATGTGATCCCTGTGTTTAGACCGGGAAATCTGTGAGAAGAATTTCGCACCATCTGAGGATGCTACTGCCTGTTGTGCCTCTGTATGGACCGCTGATGGATTCATTCATTCATAATTCATTCAGTCTCTGCATGGATCGCTGATCTGGGCTTTCCACCGTCCAGCCGGCAGAGTCAACCTAAAATAGATTCACAAACAGAAATACAGAAACTGGTCTCCTTTGAGGACAGGTGATCCTTACTTCTTATAAGCATTCTTATAAGAAGTACATATTTGGGGGTGTAAGTGTAACAGGTCCAGCCTGACTTCAAGTCAAGGAAAAAGTGTGCAACTTGACCAAAACTTTGGGAAATGTAAGTACCGTATTTTTCCATGTATAACACCCCCCCCCCCGTGTATAAGACATCCCCTATTTTTCGGAATCCAATTTAAGAAAATGGGGGAAGGATTGCCCAGAGTTGTTGAGCTTTTTTGGGGGGGGGGGAATTGACAAAGATTGCTCATCCGCATGACCACACACATTGCCCATTCGCCACCAACAGCCTCCAATCACCTGCCTAATAGCAGCAGCGGCAGCCAATCGAAAGCAGCCATTGCCACAGCCACCACTCACACACCCAATCACATTGACAGTCTCCGGATAGGCGCAGCAACTAATCAACTGTCCCGCCAATCAACTTTCTCTTTTTTAAAGACAAAAACCTCATCGAATACACAGAAAAGTACGGTATGTGAAGCACTTTGACCCCTATGAAGCACTGTAGAGGAGTTATGTTCCAGGGATTGCACCTAAAGCCAAAATTGCCTATACAAGCAATCCTTGTTTTGCATGTGGGTTCCATTCCAGACGTAGGGATGCGGGTGGCGCTGTGGTCTAAAACACAGAGCCTAGAGCTTGCCGATCAGAAGGTCGGCGGTTCGAATCCCCGCGACGGGGTGAGCTCCCGTTGCTTGGTCCCTGCTCCTGCCAGCCTAGCAGTTCGAAAGCACGTCAAAGTGCAAGTAGATAAATAGGTACCGCTCCGGCGGGAAGGTAAAAGGTTTCCGTGCGCTGCTCTGGTTCACCAGAAGCTGCTTAGTCATGCTGGCCACATGACCCGGAAGCTGTCTGCAGACAAACACCGGCTCCCTCAGCAAGTAAAGCGAGATGAGCGCTGCAACCCCAGAGTCGGTCACAACTGGACCTAATGGTCAGGGGTACATTTACCTCCATTCCAGTCACCCCCCACTTCACCCTTCGGTGGAGCGCATATAAGCCCATTCAGCCCCATTCCACCCCTGCCCCTTTTCATGATGTTTTAGGGACGCCTGCCCTCTTCCCACCCCTTTCCTATTAATTTTTACTATCTTTTCTCCCCACGAGAAGCTGAATGCACTCAAGTCAAATGCACAAAGGTTGCTGGCTCACTGTATTATTGGTGGAGAATAAGAACAGTGTTATCCCTTCCAGTTTCTGGGCATGTTTCTCCACTCTCATTTTGCCTTCCAGATCCCTGATGAAAGAGCCAGTGTTCAATGATGACTTGCCTAGCCGTATCCTCTGTGGTGCTGTGATGGTGAAACCACTCATCAAGGAGTTCACCGAGAGCTCCGTCATTTTTGAAGATGGAACTGTAGAGGAGAATGTGGATATTGCCATCTTTGCAACAGGCTACACGGTTGCATTTCCTTTTCTGGACAAGTCAGTGATCAAGGTGGAAGACAATCGGGTCCCGTTGTATAAACACGTCTTTCCTCTTCATCTGGAGAAGCCAACGCTGGCTGTTATTGGCCTCATCCAGCCCCTTGGGCCTATCATGCCCACTGCAGAGCTGCAAGCTCGCTGGGCGACCAGAGTCTTTAAGGGTAAGATTCTGGTTCTGATTATACAGCTCAGTCAGGGTGCATATTACAAAAGAACAGTTTTTTGCCTTGAGGAGGTTGCAATCTATCATTTTACAATAGAGTAAACAAAATAAGAAGCAGAAGGGGGTGAATGCGGAGGTAAATGGGAAATAATAAACCAGGTAAACTGGAAATAGCAAGCCCAGGGTGACATGCTTATTTTCATTACACCTTTAGTGAAGCATTGCTTTGCTTTGCCTTGCTACTCATGTAGTTTGGCAATTTTCAAAGTTAGGATATCAGATTACAGTGGAATTTTGGGTTGCGAACGTGATCCGTGCGGGAGGCACGTTTGCAACCTGAAGCATTTGCAACCTGCAGCGCCACATCTGTGCACATGTGTGACGCAATTCGGCGGTTCTGCGCATGCGCAAAGCACAATTTAGTGTTTCTGCGCATGCGTGAGCGCCAAAACCCGGAAGTAAGCCATTCTGGTACTTCCAGGTTTCGGCGCGTCCGTAACCTGAAAACGCGTAACCCGAAGTTTCTGTAACCTGAGGTACCACTGTAATTACACATTTGACATGTCCCCAAATTTAAAATTTGGATATTTTGATAGTTCTTTGATTATAAAATCCAGTTTTGCTGTTGAAACATGAGTTGTAGGCACACACAGCGTCCCATCAAAATATAGAGCCAAAGACACCATAAATCCTGATCAAAACTTTAAAAATCCAATATCCAAAATCTGGGTAGCTTGATCACGGATTTGTAATAATAATGGTTATGACAACAGCATTTATATAAAGCTGCCCAAGAACTGCACATACATTATCTTGGCAATTGCACCTACAGCTTTCTGAAATGGGTCGATGTTATCACTGTACCACTACAAACCAGCAGCTGTAGATGAGAGATGAGTGGCTTGCTTAAGTGAGATTTGAACTGAGAGCCAGTGTGGTGTAGTAGTTAAGAGGGGTAGTCTCATAATCTGGTGAACCGGATTCACGTCTCCGCTCGTCCACATGCAGCTGCTGGGTGACCCTGAGCTAGTCACACTTCTCTCTGAAGTCTCTCAGCCATACTCACCTCACAGAGTGTTTGTTGTGGGGGAGGAAGGGAAAGGAGATTGTTAGCCGCTTTGAGACTCCTTCGGGTAGTGATAAAGCGGGATATCAAATCCAAACTCTTCTTTTAAGAAAAAAAATAATGAGATTTGAACTGGGAACTCCATCTTCTCCCAGCCTTGGGATGCCTACGTGGTTACTAGGGGAAGGGAGAAGGAAATTGGGTGGGACAACATGTGGTCTTTCTGTCTTTCAGTATCATGGGGTAGATAGACTCCAAGGCCGTGAAGCAAGAATTGGCTGGTGGGAAAAGTAGGGGCACTTGGCCAATGGCACTTGCTGGGGAAGGAATGGAACTCGTTTACTTCTTGACCTGTTAAAGGGGTCATGGCCAAGTTGCAGACCTGCAACTGTTGGAAAGGCAGTTACGTCTTGAGGCCCCAAGCCAGCGCCCCCATGAAATAACTACACACAGACACAGAATTAAGGTTGATGGGTAGCATTAAGGCCACGACTTTATTGATTGCAAATTAAATATGAGTGGTATTGGCAAAGGCATTGGCTGAAGACTATAACGGACTACTGCCCCAGTTGACAGAGTCTATGTAGGTAAACCCATCGGGGCAGCAACATCGGGGTTTTGCCCGACAGAAGCTTATCAGTGTGGTGTAGTGACTCGTAGACTCGTAATCTGGTGAACCGGGTTCGATTCCCCGCTCCTCCACATGCAGCTGCTGGGTGACCTTGGGCGAGTCACACTTCTCTGAAGTCTCCCAGCCTCACTCACCTCACAGAGTGTTTGTTGTGGGGGAGGAAGGGAAAGGAGAATGTTAGCGGCTTTGAGACTCCTTAGGGTAGTGATAAAGCGGGATATCAAATCCAAACTCTTCTACCGCGAGGTTCCTGTGATCCCGGCATGGCCCTAGCCCATCAAGCGGACTTCGGATGAGATCCGGGACCCCCAGATTCCTTTAACAGAATACCTTTTGATCATTGAGGGGCCGGTGATGGCCACACCTCCCCTCCACACAGAAAATTAAGCCAATGCCTGCTAAACCTGGAAAGTTGTGACGATTGCTAAGGGGGTAGGCAAAAACCCAAGTGACCAGTGCCAATTTGCCAGGTGGATAAAAATTCCTACCCAGCCCCTGTCCCAAGACAGGCGACTCACACAAAGTCCAAAGCAAGGCCAAGAACCTACACTAAGGGTGGGAGGGCGGGTGTTCAGCAGTGCCAATCAAGTGCCTAGGGCCCTCTTGCACTGATGCTTATATAATTCCTTAACCACCCCCACCCCTTTCCTGACTGGCCTATTTAGAGAAATGAAACTGAATCACATGAATCAAATGCCTATTTAGAGAAATGAAACTTAGACCAAGAAACAAAACCTACTTAGTCAGGGGTGTGTCCAGGGGCCCAGTTGCAAGAAGGACCTCCTTCTGAGGACGGTCCTATCTCTGATGGCTTAGTCTCTTGGGGACACCTCCCCCCACTATGATTTTATGAGGGTTGAGGGTTTTTTGGCTGTTTTTTTAGCCAGATTGTTCCTTATGGCATCATTCACTAAAACAGTGGGTCCACCTGTTGCACATTAAAACCAAAGCACTTTTATGTGCCTTGGATCTCTTCTGGTTCGCTCTGGTGCATTTTGAGTAAGCCAGATGTTGTGGGTGTGGCAAAAGGGGTCAAACTATGACTTCAGTTGGCTGTGTTGCTCTGTGCACCTTGCATTGCTTGCCTCTTGGTTTTCTTACTTCTTCTTCCTTTTCCCTCCTGGCAGTGATAAGTATTTTGACTGGGATCTTGTTGAGATTGGGACTTGCCACTCTGTAAAAGACAACATGCATTGATGGTGCTGCGTAACTCATTATATTCGCTACACAGGTTAAGAAAAGCATTCCAGTCTATGGTCAAACCACAACATACATTTTAAAGCACATGGCTCCCCCCCCCCCAAGAATTGTGGGAACTATAGTTCACCCCTCACACAGCTCCAGTTCCCAAGATTCTTTGCAAATGTAACTGCTTTGCAGTATATTAACTTTCCATTATCAGAATTAAAGAAATCAGTAACAATATTCTGGAGAACCACTTTATTAAAGTGAGGAAAGCTACACATCACTCTTATTAAAGATGTAAAGTGGTACCTCGGGTTACATACGCTTCAGGTTACAGACTCCACTAACCCAGAAATAGTACCTCGGGTTAAGAACTTTGCTTCAGGATGAGAACAGAAATCGTGGTCCCGCGGCACAGCAGCAGCAGGAGGCCCCATTAGCTAAAGTGGTGCTTCAGTTTAAGAACAGTTTCATGTTAAGAACGGACCTCTGGAATGAATTAAGTTCTTAACCCAAGGTACCACTACATATAAAAGCAAAATAGGGTTGCACACCACCCCAGTCTCTGGGTGGTGCGAGATTCCAGGGATTCTAGGAACTTAGGCTCTGTGTTTCCTTCTGGGAATGAGGCACAGTGGTGACAGTGGTGACTTTAGGATATATGGGTTATTTAGGATATATGCATTTGCACCCTGAGATCTTGCAATCAAGGGTGGTATATAAATCAATCAAACAAACAAATAACCTTAACCTATGATGGAGAGGTTGATAGCATTGACACCCTAAAGGGTCTTTCTTTTCCCATAGCTGCAGCAGACTTCTGCCTCTCTGGCTTTTCAGCCTTCCGCTTTCCTATCCAGCTTCTAGCTCACAAAACCCAACTCTTTCAACCCTAAACTCTGGCTTTTGCCCTTCTCACTATCGTAAGAGTTGAAGGAGGGTTGCCACCCATTTGCTTTCCGGCACACAGCCCCCTCTCCTTGCTTTCTTAATGGCTCATCACTCCAGGCAATGACCTCATCAGAAAGCTAGCCTGGCTTATATTTCAAGACTTGTTGGGTCCAGGTGTTAGAAAGGTCTGGCACCCACAAACTCATAAACAATAGATTGGGGTGGAGGGTGATGGGATGAGAAGCTATGAAAAGAAGTGGGGCAAAAGAGCTGGTCTCCTCTGCTTCCCCCCAAGAATATATATTGTAGACATGACCTCAGCCCCAACTCTTAATCTTTTTAGGGCTAAGTTTGCTGCCTTCAGAGAGCACTATGGTGGCTGACACCACCAAGAGGAATGAGAAGAGGATCAAATGGTAAGAGAAACATCCAATGCTTTATGGTTAATATCAGCTCCAGATCAGATAATGATGATGATTATTTATTTATACCCCGCCCATCTGGCTGGGTTTCCCCAGCCACTCTGAGTAGCTCCCAACAGAATATTAAAAACATGATAAAACATCCAACACTAAAAGCTTCCCTAAACAGGGCTGCCTTCAAATGTCTTCTAAGATTCAGATAGTTGTTTATTTCCTTGACATCTGCTGGGAGGGCGTTCCACAGGGCGGGCGCCACTACCGAGAAGGCCCTCTGTCTGGTTTCCTGTAGCTTCACTTCTCGCGGGGAGGGAACCGCCAAAAGGCCCTTGGAAGTGGACCTCAGTGACTGGGCTGAACGATGGGGGTGGAAAAAGAATATAATAGAAGGTTGGACAACATAGAAATTTATTAAAACAGGAGGGAGGAGAGTATCAATTGAAAGAATTTAAGGAATTATCAGGGAAATTAACAACATGGATACAATATCAGCATTTGAACGTATTTAAGAAAGATAGGCTACGAGGGCTTGGGGAACAAATATGGATAGCTTCCACCCGCCAGATTCAAGATGAGTGCCCCCGCCTCTGCTTTTCTGCTACTAGACTTGTTCCTGCCTAAGTTATGCGCTCAAGATAAAATCATGTTATGCCTTCTCCACCTTAGATATTGGTGTGATTGATGTCTTTCTTCACATTCAAAGGTTTGGCACCAGCCGCAGCCAGTCAATCCAAACGGATTTTATTGAGTATCTGGACGAGCTTGCTGCTCTCACAGGAGCAAAGCCAAACCTGTTCAGGCTCCTGCTGAGAGATCCCAAGCTGGCCTTGACCATCTTCTTTGGACCCTGCAGCCCATTCCAGTTCCGCCTGATGGGACCAGGGAAGTGGGCTGGAGCCAGGAACGCCATCCTGACCCAGACACAGCGGATCATCAAGCCCACAAAAACTCGAACAGTGGGCAATTCTTCGAGTAACGCTCTGCTCTCCCTGCTTAAAATCCTTGGCTTCCTTGCTCTCTTGGTTGCAGTTTTCCTATCCATTGGTCAGTGCTGAACTCTACCCAATGATGCAAAAATGGCAAACTGCTGCTTTACTGATGCTTGCTTGTTCTTCAATGCATGTATAGGGGTCACACAGGGCCAACTTTCCACTCTCAAACTTGTGTCCCTCTTAGGATCTCCTCTTTCCTACAAACTTAGCAAATAGAAAGAAGGAAACGTCTAGGAAATAATGAAATAGGAACATACAGGCAAAGTATGGAAGGGCAAATCTGTCAGTTTCGGTTTCTCTTGATTTCTCATGCTTTCCTATCAAGTTTACTTTGCACGTTTCCTGATCAATTTGCTTAAAAAGAAAAAGTGTCTCATGAAAATTCATCAATGTTTTTGTGATCATTCCTCCTAATACATTTTTGCTAGGAATTTTCCCTAATACAGTTCATTTTGATATGCTATTTTCACAAATATATGCATTTTAATGTGCTCCTTCTCCCAATGGTGTTGTTTTCCAACAACAACAGCAAAGTGAACAAGGAGGTGTATATTAGGAGAAGTGTGAATTTTGAAGGATAGCTGTTTCAGGACCCACAAATTAGGTAGGATTGCCTGAAAATGTGAATTGAATGGGCTTCCCTCCCAGTTCTAATGTGAAGTCAGAAACACACAGACACACACACACACACCAGGGAGAATGGGCTGGTAAACCAATTGGCAAGGCCAGCAAGGTCTTGTGCCTTCTGGGTGCAACTTAGAATTGTAGCTTTTATTTTTTAGAAAAGTATGTTTCTGGTCCTTTGAAGGGACATTTGAACTTTGCGGTCTATGTAAGTCTTGAGAGAGTCAGCGAGGGTGAATCTCTTTTGTGCTGCTTCCCCCATTGCCTGAGCTACAGTTACCCATTGCACCTGTGCCACTAAAACCCTCTGCATGCCTGACAAATACCTAAAATGCAAGAGTTTACAAATAAATCGTGCGCAAAGAAACAAAACTGTATGTGTTTTTAATCACTCATTTAACACTGCAATTCAGACCAGTGCATCATTCTGTTCTATAGGAGCTGAGCCCCTGGTTCCTTCAAGTTTATTTCATGCTGAGCATCAAAGGCTATGCTTTGTTACTCTTGCTATGAAGACAGGGCTCCCAGTACATTTCCGAGCACAATTCAAAGTGTTGGTGCTGACCTTTAAAGCCCTAAATGGCCTCGGCTCAGTATAACTGAAGGAGTGTCTCCACCCCCATCGTTCAGCCCAGACACTGAGGTCCAGTGCTGAGGGCCTTCTGGCGGTTCCCTCACTGCGAGAAGCCAAATTACAGGGAACCAGGCAGAGGGCCTTCTCGGTAGTGGCACCCGCCCTGTGGATCGCCCTTCCACCAGATGTCAAGAGAAAAACAACTACCTGACTTTTAGAAGACATCTGAAGGCAGCCCTGTTTAGGGAAGCTTTTAATATTTAATAGACTATTGTATTTTAATATTTTGTTGGAAGCCGCCCAGAGTGGCTGGGGAAACCCAGCCAGATGGGCAGGGTATAAGTAATAAATTATTATTATATTATTATAGGGCTTGATAGATGGGTTTTATTTATTTGATGTGTTATATCACATTTTAAAAGGTAAAGGGTAAAGGGACCCCTGACCATTAGGTCCAGTCGCGGACGATTCTGGGGTTGCGGCGCTCATCTCGCTTTATTGTTACTGCAAAGCAAGGTAACAAACAGTATAATTGATTTGATATCCCAGTCTTCAAGGGCAAGACCAGAATGAATTATCCATGTTTCTTTATCCTTTTATAATAGGTATGTGAGGGAGGAAGAAAAAAAGGGGGGGCTTAAACAGTCTCTTTCATCTCTTCAAGTCCTCCCCCCCTCCATTTTCCCTTCAGCCATCCTCTGAAAAGAGATGTGGGGCTCAAATTTCATTTCATGCATTCAAATGCAGGTCTGGGTAGAAGTTTCTAGAGGACAATTGCCATTCTCTGATAGAAGTAAACTCCCATCAATACACTGACATTAGCATTACAAGTTGGACATGGGTTGTTGGGAGTCCTCTGCTGTCAACGTAAAGCTTAGTTCCCACCCTTAGATTGATATACTTTTGTCTTCCTTAGCTTACTAGAATAATGCAAATGTAAATACTTCCATCAGTGACTGATAAGTACTTTAGAATCACTTTCGGGTGTGTGGTGGGGGTGGGACAGAACAGTGTAAATAGTCCAGTTTTTGTACATACTTTGGTACTATATTACGCCTGGGCTTAGTACAAAGGTCAAAGTGTGTGGGTTTTCTTCCACTTACAATTCTCCATTTTTGCCCATCTGTAACATTGCCAAACACCTCCTTTCAAAGCTAAAACCTGATATTCTCCTCCCCACCCAGCCGGGAAACAAATTCTTGGCAGCTAAAGGAGCCTAGTTTGGGGCACTTGTGAATAAAAGAATGAGGGGACAGGCAGCCAATTCTTAGTTTTGCACCTGAGGAACTAAACATTCACATTCCAGAGATGTTGCTGTGTTAAAACTGTTCAAGCAAAACTAACAAAAGGTACCGCTGGCACCTTAAAGACAAACATCTGAAAATATCTCATCAGGCATTCTTAAAGCAACAATATCCACCCAATGAAGTGAAAAAGAAACTTATCAGTGAGGCAAAACAGGTACTCAGGAAGAATCACCTAGAACCAGAAGTGCCATAACTGTATCTCCATGTTTCACCATCTCCTTTTGCCTATATTTAGACCATCTGCCTCCTCTCACACATAACCAACCCCATCTTTAAAGGTAGAAAGTAACTGGTATGAATCAGGGCTGGATTTAAGTCTGATGAGGCCCTAAGCTACTGAAAGTAATGGGGCCCTTTATATGTTCAGCTGTCCTTTGTCAACAACAAATTATTACACACTTTTGTGCATCTTCCATCCCAACGTGCTTTATTCTCTCAGAATTGCGAGTTCTGGTCTGATTTATTTGTCTTAGTATGTGTATGCTCAATTGCACCCACCTGGAGGACAGCAGAGGACTTCAAGATGACAATGTGCACTGGCCTGTTTGTCTTGTGCTAAAACAGATTAGTAAATCACCTTTAACAGAACAGTAATGAAAGAAAATAAGTGCAGGGCTTCTGTCCAATTGCAGTATTTTAAAAACAACACATGTGGAACACCAACAGTGACATATCATGAAATGTGACATAGACTATGCCTGCTTCACAGCAGGCACTTGTGATGTGAAGCAGGGGAGCAAGTCTGAATGTCCCCATGAAGATTAACTCAGGGAAATGATACTACATGCATGGGGAGCACCAAGAAGATCAATGTACACTCATGTCCATCTCCAGCATGAAAACTGCAGCTTTTCTTTTGAATTAAATTGCATAGACCAGAAGGTACTGGGGGAGGACATATGGTTAATTTTAGAATACACACACATGTACAACCCAACTAAGTCATATGGTGTTAAATTATTTCCTGGTGGATCAGATTGGCTCTGTTAACTACAGGAAACACTATAACAATGTTAGAAAGTGTGACATTGGATTACTAAGACTAAGTACAATGACACAAAGAGAGTGACTGTGTGTGTTTTTAAATACCCAAAAGGCATTTGACAGGGCTTGATGGTCTTTTCTGCTGGATGTATTCAAATATATGATGTTGGGACTAAATTGATTCAATGAATTTTTCTCATTTGCAACATTCTAAAAGCAAAGATTCTAATAAATAGTAGTCAGAAATCGCCATACCTTTAGAAAACAAACACAACTGTATATAACGAAAAGTAAGATTATATGTATTGGGAAAATTTTGGAAAACTACACACAGAGTGAGTAATATGGAAATAAAAGAAAATGGGAATATGAGGGAAGTCCAGGGGAGGAGTGGGGGAAATATGGACAACTGTTAGAGAAATATTGTTAGAGGATGTATACATGGAAAAACCAATATTATTTTTTAAAAAAGAAAAGAAAGAAAGAGAAACATAACTCCAAAATTAATTGGGATTGCACAGCTGGTTACATGGTGCTTCGATCTTTATTTCTGGAAGGCTGGGATTCCTATGGTTATAAATGCAAGCTGGACTGGAGAAAAATTGGATCGGGTTTCTCTGTGAACAGTAATAGGCCAAATTCAAAATGATGCTGGAAGTGCTTATATGCATCTCTATCATCTTCAATTATTTTTTCCTCTTTAAATAGAAGCGTTCAGGACTATAGCCTGGGGAGAGGGAGGTGACCAGCAAACTTGTACCATTTCAGCACTGAAAATCTTGCCTCAGCTGCTACTTGCCACAGCTGTGGGGGAAACATGTCAACACCTCCATCTCCATCGCAGGTTTTGTTTGGCTGTCAGGGGTGAATATTTTCGCAGCGTGGAGGTAAGTACTAATGTTTCTAACGTCTATTCATTAAGGTTCTGCACAAGAGGTTCTGCGCAAAAACCATTTACAGAACTTGGCAGCTACTGGGAATCAAATAACTTGCAGGACTAGTTTGGAGATCACCCCTCCCAGCTAGACAAGTTGTTATTTAGATTTTAAGATGTCACAACAATATGTTTTGCAACAGCAGCCTGCCCCTCTGGTTCTAAGCTCTGGTTAAAGTGGTATTTGGTGTAGTCTTCCCATTGAAACCACAAGGGGAAACAACCTAAGTGATGCTAATTTTTATTTGTTTTTTTACACATGCCTTTCGTCATGTTAAATCTGGACAGTGATCAAAGGGTTCCCTTTCCACATCCAGCCAAAACCAGCCAACAGAGTGTGCTTATGTAATGCTCTCCAGAAGGACTTTTGTGCATGAGGGATGTTATTCATATGCTTCTCAAAAGTTGATCTGCTAGGATCAGGAACAAATCCCTCCAGAGGTGCCTGGGAAAGCTTATGAAATTTCTGCATATTCCAGCGCAGGTTGTAAAGTTGAGGTAAGAGAGGGGTAACCTGTTGGTCTTTCAGTGTAGACAGTTCAGAGGAGGAAAGGGAGCCTAGGAGGAATATGGTCAAACGCTATGTATAAAGTTAGAGGCTGCATCCTCAGAGGTATAATGAAAATAGGGATCATAGTTGCCTTCTGAAGAAGAAAAGCAGCCCTTTTTTTGGTCTCCAATTGCTGTCATAGGAAAAGGTCCTTTCCCCCCCAAAATTGGCCAAAATGAGCCTAGCAGCCCATGCCAAACCCAAGGGAACTTTTTGCTTTTCGAAATGGTTCTGGAATTTGGGAGAGTTCGGTGGGTGATACAGCAAGATTTTATTTGGGGGAAAGAGAGGTCCTGAGGGATAGAAAGACCTGTCCGTTTGGGTTCTCTCTCTGTTTCTCATTTTTTTCCAATCTTAAATCCAGCTCTCCACAGTTCTGCAGGGTTTTGTGATTTAAAAAATCCTCATGACAATTCATTGTAATGCAATTTTCTCTTAATAAACACTGTTGCATGCAGTTTTGACTAATATGCACATTTCTGCAAGCATTTCCTCCTAATAGCATGCATTTTTGTTTGTTATGTTCACTGATCTGCACACTTTCCCCTAATATATACATTTTAAAAAAATACATAATTTGATTGGAAAATTGCATTGCAAAATTTGGATAAGTGCACATTTTGGATGACTGCGGTTTTGGTACAATATGTTTCTGAAAGTGAAAATCTGAAAAAATGCGGCTTTAAATGTAAACTGAATCAAATTTCTCCCCCCTTACTACCTGGAAGTAAATCCTGTTGAATGCAGTGGGAATTTCTTCTTACTCTTAAGTAGAAATATACAAGACGAATGCACGTCTTCTCCTATATCCATCTTGCATTCTCTTGCCTGAAGTTCTCCACAAATACATATGTCTATATTTCTCCACTTTAAATTTAAAAATTATGGTTTCAGTTCATAGTTATGTTATTTAAATCTGTCCATTCTTTAGCTCTTGCTTAGCATTCACCTCTATCTCTAAGTTATTATGATTTCCTTCTGCTTTGCATCTTTCTCTTATGGCTGTTAGTCATACAGTCCTTTTTGCTACTTGATTTTCAGTCAATCGATTCTCTTCAAAGCTGTTGCCTGACTCGCGTATTTCAGCATGCTTATGTATAACGCGTTGTGGTTTTAAGTTTCACACTCCCTTCCTACAGGTTTTCATCCATTTGTGTTCCATTGTTTTTCAAAGCCCATTTGAAGAGGGCCGGTCTTTCTAAGTCAGTGGCTTTCAACCAGTGTTCCATGGCACCCTGGGGTGCCTTGAATGATGGTCCGGGGTGCCGCAGGCAACACTGGCCTCTGACCCTCTTCCCTTCCCTCTCTCCTCTGATACCTTCTTGTGTTTCTTCCTCCCAATGGCTTGCATAGCTCTTGGTTGCAGCAGCCCTGCTTACAAGCTCTCCATGCAAATGGTGCCTCTGGGGCTGGCCCAGCCAGTCCACCAGCCCTTGCTGTTGGGAATGGACAGACAAGTCCCAGGCCCCTGTGGGGCAGTGTGAAGAGGCACCTCTCTTGGGGGTGGGGGCTCAGAGACCAGGGGCGGCAGCAGCGGACTCCCAAGGAGAGGGGAGAGGAGAGAGGCTGAGGGAACACCTGAAGGAGCATCTCCACCCCCATTGTTCTGCCCGGACACTGAGGTCTAGCGCCGAGGGCCTTCTGGCGGTTCCCTCATTGTGAGAAGCCAAGTTACAGGGAACCAGGCAGAGGGCCTTCTGTGGAACGCCCTCCCAGCAGATGTCAAAGAGAAAAACAACTACCAGACTTTTAGAAGACATCTGAAGGCAGCCCTGTTTAGGGAAGCTTTTAATGTTTAACAGACCACTGTATTTTAATACTCTGTTGGAAGCTGCCCAGATGAGCGGGGTAATAATCATCATCATCATCATCATCATCATCATATCCATAGGGGAGGGTGTTCGAAAAAGGGTGAGAGGCTGCCAGCTCTGTAGGCAAGGGGTGACATAACGGCGCTCCTGAGGGGTGCTGCAGAAAGAATGCAGTTGGTCAAGGGAGCAGTGGACTCAAAAAGGTTGGAAACCTCTGTTCTAAGTGTTTGTATAGCAGCTGTCCTGAACCTGGTGCCCTCCAGATGGGACTACAACTTCCATCAGTCCTACCCAATGCCAGTTTGAGATAGGCTGTTGCATAGCATCTAGGTTTTTCTTACTGTTACGATGATGATTATTACCATTACTACTGAAGATTGTGGGACACGGGTGGCGCTGTGGGTTTAAACCACAGAGCCTAGGACTTGCTGATCAGAAGGTCGGCGGTTCAAAATCCTGCGACGGGGTGAGCTCCTTTTGCTCTGTCCCAGCTCCTGCCAACCTAATAGTTCAAAAGCACGTCAAAAGTGCAAGTAGATGAATAGGTACCACTCCAGCGGGAAGGTAAACGGCGTTTCCATGTGCTGCTCTGGTTTGCCAGAAGCGGCTTAGTCATGCTGGCCACATGACCCGGAAGCTCCTTCGGCCAATAAAGCAAGATGAGCGCCGCAACCCCAGAGTCGGTCACGACTGGACCTAATGGTCAGGGGCCCCTTTACCTTTACCAGAGATTGCAGAATCTAAGCACTTATTGCTACAGTTAAGCCAACTTTAACAACAGCAGTGCAGACAATGTTTGCCTTCCAAACCTGACATTTAAATGCACATGCATTCAAAAGATGTGTCTACTTCTATCACCATAGAAGCAGCATTAGGACTGAAGCAAAGTGGAGCCAAAATGCGAACTAGCATGGTATAATTGTCAGTTTACACTTAGGACACTCACAAATTAAATTTCAGCCTATGAAAACTCCTAATTCAGGCAGTGACTCATAACCTACATAACAGGGTTGTTTAAGTTATCCCTCTGGAATAGAGGCGAAGGAATGTTAAGCTATATCGGGGGCTGGTTACACATCAAAAGGTTTGTGTTCTTTCTTCCGATGACACTTCCGCTTATTAAAGAATGTAGTAGATGAGTAGACACTGTAAATCTTTAATTAAAGGATAGGCGGGTCTGGTTCAACAAGAGCAGGCATTAGCACTGGTTGGAAAAAACAAGTACCATTGGCTTAAATGGCGACTGCTAGCCTGGTTCTTCTGAAATCAGGTGGCACTCTGCTCGTGACAACAGGATTACACTGAACGCATGCTCAGTTGAGACTATTGACATAGCTTGATGTGGACTGTAACATTTAAATGATGACTCTGAGAACTTCAAAAGACAGCTAAGAGAGAGCCAACTGGTTTTCCACATCCTCCTTGTCCTCCCCCACTCTGGGGAAACCCATAGCAAAGACTTCTGGAAGTGTGCTGTTTAGCCAGGTAAGTCTTGGGAAGAAGTCTGGAGTGGGTTGCACTGAGCTCACAGGTTGTACAGGCAGCTATATTTGCTGGGGCAGAAGGTCAGCTCGGCTCTGAATAAGACCTGATTTGTGGATGAGGAGCCTTGATATGGTCTATGCCACTTTTATAAACAAGTCATTTATGCTTTTCAGGTTTCTACATCTCACTAATTTTACAATCGTTTTAACGTTTCAAAACTTGACTTCCTTCTTTCTGCAGTTCCTTAAATTTATTTTTAATATTTTCTGCATATCCAAATTAACTCAATTTGCTCATTTATTCATCTGCTTTCAATATATACTCTTATAAGACTGCAGGTGGTTACCATAATCCTGCCCATGTTCTTATCTACTTACAATTTGTCTGTAAATATTCAATAAAACATTTCCATCCTTTAAAAAAAAGGTTATCTTGATTTCTTCTTCTGGGAAGTTTCACCATTTCTGCATATTCTGTAAGTTTATGTATCCATTCTTCCTTTGCTGGGACTTCTGCTTCTTTCCATTTGGGAGCATGCAACGTTCTTGCCGCTATAGTAGCATACATGAATAAGTTTCTATACCGTTTAGGTAGTTTTATCCCTATAATTCCCAATTTTTTAAACAAAAGAATGGAAATGGTTTATTGAATATTTAAACCAATAAAAACATCAAAGGACCTGCTGATGGCATTTTACCACTGTACTGTTGAGAGTGTATTAACTTATGGTCCGTGTGTGTGGTTTGGAAGCTGCACGGTCAGGGAAAAAAACAATGTTGTCCAGGGTTGTAAAGACTGCAGAGAGAATAATTGGGTGAACCCTTCCCACCTTGGATCAAATCTATGCTTCCAGGTGCCATAAGAAAGCTGCAGAGATAGTGCAGGATAGTGCGCACCCTGGAAATGATCTCTTTCAGCTTCTGCCTTCTGGAAGAAGGTACAGAGTTATAAAGACTAGGACTAGCCGCCTGAGAAACAGGTTTTATCCAAATGCGATTTTGGTTTTAAACGCAGTGTAAGGTAGTCTCTATGGGAGTATATTGTATTTAATTATGGGGTATCAGAGTTTTTAGGGGGCTAACCAGGCTGGGATAGCAGGCTTCTGAATGTCTGATGTAGATTTTCAATTTCGTTGTTCTGTATGGGACAATGACAATAAAGATTATCGTATTATCGCACTTATCGTACTTTCAACATGGGCAGGATTATTGTAATAACCTGCAGCTTCATAAGAGTATATATTTAAAGAGGATGAATAACTGAGCAAATTAAGTTAATTTGGATATGCAGAAGGTATTAAAAATAAATTTAAGGAACCACAGAAAGAGGGGGAAGGAAGTCAAGCTTTGAAAGGTCAAAAGGATTGTAAAATTAGTGAAATGTATAAACTTGAAAAGTATAAATAATTCTTTTCTTCTTTTTTTTAAAGAGACAAGGCTGGTCTCGGAGTCAGTGTTGAGGACTCCCAGACTGCTGGTTATTGGGGACTTCAACATCCATGGCATGACAAATGGCTTTGGGGTGGCTTACAACTTCATGGCTGCCGTAACGACCATGGGGCTGTATCAACAGGTCATTGACCCAACGCATGTGGCAGGCCACACTCTAGACCTAGTTTTCTCAACTGGGCAGGAAGAGGTTGATAGGAAAGTGTACTTTATAGGAGCCCTACGGAATCAGGGAGGGACGTGGGTGGCACTGTGGGTTAAACCACAGAGCCTAGGACTTGCCGATCGGAAGGTCGGCGGTTTGAATCCCCGTGATGGGGTGAGCTCCCGTTGCTCGGTCCCTGCTCCTGCCCACCTAGCAGTTCGAAAGCACGCCAAAGTTCAAGTAGATAAATAGGTACCACTACGGCGGGAAGGTAAACGGCGTTTCCGTGTGCTGCTCTGGTTCGCCAGAAGCAGCTTAGTCATGCTGGCCACATGACCCAGAAGCTGTATGCCGGCTCCCTCGGCCAATAAAGCAAGATGAGCGTGCAACCCCAGAGTCTCATTGGCCCTGCTACCCTGTCTTTTAAAGTAAGCTCTGTAAGTCCCCTGCAGGTGCCTTTTGGTGCTGCTTGAACATACCTGTACTGTGGTTTTCCAGTCCTCCTTGCCACATTTCTCAAAACTTTTCGCTGTGCTGGCACTCACGGCTGGCTGGTCTTACAACCCACCCACTCCCCCTGCTTGTGAGAAATTGGGCTGCTTTTATTGTGTTACTTCCAGCTCCTGTTACCCAGGAATTTGCATCCTGGAGCTCAGAAGCGGGGTGTGTGTGATTAAACTGGATATCGGCCAGAGAGTCATGTTACTGAAGGGTGGGTCTATAAATTGACTATGGTAAATAACAGTCTGGCACTATTACAGGTGCCACATACTACTTGTTCTGCATCTGCAAGATATCAATCATTTAGTGATATCAATCATTTAGTGTGGGAGCACCTACACTGTGGAACTCCCCGCCTGTTGACACGGGCAGATGTCTTCACTACACTTTTCAGCTCCTGATGAAAACATTTTTGTTTAGACAAGTCTACCCAGGCATGTAGGGTGCTGAAGTATGTTTTAGTCTGTTTGTTGCTGATTTTATCTCTTGAATGTTTCAAAGAACTGTCTTCACTAATGATTTCATTGTTTTATTTTTACTGTAAACCACACTGAGGGTTGTGGTTTTTTTGTTTTTGTTTTTTGTTTTTTGTTTTTACAATCTAGCAGTATATGACATTTTATGAAATATTGATCTTAAGTCAAAAGTAAGCCCAGCTGAGTTCAACACTTTATTTCCAAAAGTATGTACAGGATTGCACCTTACATTGATTACATAGCAATTTAACTCTTGTTGGGTAGTCTGGCATGTTGTAAGATTCAAAAAGCAATCATGTCCTTTGTATAGCAGATGAAAGAGAACACAGCTTTAGTAACGAGTGTTTACTGATGTAACAAGCTTAACGATCCATATATATTACCTGGAACCTCGTGATTTCTGTATGCTGGGTCCTGATTCTGGTATGGAAGTTTGTTGCATGTTTTCAGAGCTGGCTATCTGTTCATTTCTTTTGTCTTTTTCTGGAATCTAAGTGGATTATAAATATTAAAAATAATAGCAATGCATTTTAATGTACTTTTAATTGAAAGCATGCATTTTATGTGTACTCCCCCTCAGTGGCGTAGCGTGGGTTGTCAGCACCCGGGGCAAGGCAAGTAATTTGCGCCCCCTAACCCGTGGATTTTAGCACTCGAGTCTCTTCCACTAGATTAGTTAGTGCAAGTGCACCCCCCAGATGTTGCGCCCAGTGCGGCTGGCCCCCCCTGCACCCCCACGCTACGCCACTGCTCCCCCTAATACGTACACTTTTTGCTGTTGTTGCAGAACTGCAGGTTTCAAAGGATAGCTGTGGTTTCAATTAGGATTGTTTTCAGATGTGCGGATTAAGTAGAGTCGCATTCAAGTGTGAACTGAAGCAAAGCTATGTGCTTTCTAGCCACTCCAAACAATTCTTTCCTGTGAAAGGAAGAATAAATTTGGCCTGTATCACATGTAGCACTAAGTAATTGTCCCTTCAGCACAAAGATTTGTGTTTGTGCTATGGACTCTTTCTGCCTTCCTCCCGCCTTGTGCCCCCAAATCTGTTCTGGGGGCGCCATCAACCTCTGGAGCAGATTTGGGGAGGGTGGGGTGCACATTAGGAAGAGGAGAAGGGGAAGTCTCATTGTGCAAGTGGAAATACTTGCAATGATGGAACCATGCCGTTGTCAAGGCCATCTCACAGAATTCAGAGGATTGTGGATTCCGGAGTGGCTCCATGTTCTGATCCACAAGGTGCAGGAGTTCTGCAAGAGGAAAGTTGGCAAATGCAAGTAGAACCCTTTTAAGGATGAACAAACACCAGACATGGGGTAATCATGTTTATGACTTTTCCACAAACCCTTTTCAGTTCTGTAGATGCCTGCCTGGCCTTCTGAGATTCCTATCTTGAAGGGAGCAATTAGATACCAAAGTTTGGAGGGAATATTTACTTTCTCTGTTGAGGAAGTTGATAAAATGCATATGTGCTGGCAGAAAGACCCCGGTGCTGTGAGTACTTTGGCCAATCTACCTCACATATTTTAAAGTCCACAAGCTTGAATAGGTCGTGCCCAAGAACTCAAGGACCTTCACTCAAGGCATTCTTTCATGAAGGACATTCCATAAGGCTGGGAACAATCTATTTTCAACTGGACATGAAAAGTCTGTCAGCATTCAGGTGAACTAATTGGATGTTGAAATAGGACTTGCTTAAGAACAATGATGGTGGTAATTTCAGTAGAAGACAATGTGGAAATGCCTGTCATTTCAGTCTCCAGAGCTGTCATATCAGGCAACCATTGTACAGATTCTACCCAATGTGATAAGTGAGATAGGGGGACCAGAGGGAAATGATTATACAGACAGGTTATACAGCCTTTGTTATTTAGGACAGAGAAGTAAATTGCACCTGCTGAAATTTAGTGAGTTCTTAACTCTTAAAGCTCCAGGAGCCCTACCCTCCATGTCTTCTGACCAACCTCTGCTCTTGGGCTGCTGGTGCATGCCCTAATCCTACATTTATTCATTTCTAGCCCTCATGCTTACAGGATGGGAAACTATTAAATTTCAAAATACATGCCCCTGGAGCAACCATGACCATGTAACTATCCTCATTCAACTCTTTCACAAGCTCTTCCTTCCATTTTTCTGCCCAATTAGGGGGGGTTCTCCTGGTTTACAATGACATATTAGTGACTTATGTGATGTGGTAAGGTAAAGTTAAAGGGACCCCTGACCATTAGATCCAGTCGTGGACGACTCTCGAGTTGCGGCGCTCATCTCGCTTTACTGGCCGAGGGAGCCGGAGTACAGCTTCCGGGTCATGTGGCCAGCATGACTAAGCTGCTTCTGGAGAACCAGAGCAGCACACGGATATGCCGTTCACCTTCCCGCTAGAGCGGTACCTATTTATCTACTTGCACTTCGTGCTTTCGAACTGCTAGGTTGGCAGGAGCAGGGACCAAGCAACGGGAGCTCACCCCGTCGCGGGGATTCGAACAGCCCTAGGCTCTGTGGTTTAACCCACAGCGCCACCCGCTGATGTGGTAACTGGATACAAATAGGCTTTTTTCTCCCACATCATCATGTCATTCATGTCTTCAGTCTCTTCCATCAGTGGCATTGTGGTTGCCCCGTGTGCAAAATTGTTAGGGCCACAAAATTTCAACAACCAATACTGCCTCAATACAGCTGTGTGCTTGCATCACTGGGCTGTCGAAAATGGCTTCTCCATGCAAGTGACCTCTCCAAACAACAGAATGACTCTTCTTTTCTCTTCTCTGTGGCTGCAACCTCCTGGGTGATGCAGATGCCATTAGCCAGTTGAATGCATAAGCATATTCCACCTGTTCCACTCCCTCCTATTTCAGCATGGCCCCGGGCACTGGCAAACCACGCTATGCCACTGTCTTCCACATCAGGCTGTGTTTATCAATTAAGTGGGAAGCCAGCCAAGGCTGAGCATTGGCGCAGCCTGTGCACATCTAGAGGCTGTTGGGCTCCAACTCCCATCAGCCCCAACAAACATGGACAATGATCAGGGATGAAGGGAATTGGAACCTAACAACACCTGGGGCATCCCTGCTGTATACTACTCGGAGATAGAAGCTGCACAGATTCAGTTTTCAGCACATCACGTTCACTTACATGACCAAACAATGCATGCTATAGGATGGGAAGCCTCTGACTACCACTTCTGGCTTGATCAGCAAGAACTCTTGTGCAACCAAAAGTTCTGCCCTTGTGAAGTGATTACTCCAGAGCTTGGTGACAACAGCCAGAGCAGTAGGTAAAAAGGTAAAGGTACCCTGACCGTTAGGTCCAGTTGCAGACGACTCTGAGATTGCACGCTCATCTCGCTCTATAGACTGAGGGAGCCGACGTTTGTCCGTAGACAGCTTCCAGGTAATGTGGCCAGCATGACTAAGCCACTTCTGGCGAGCCAGAGCAGCGCATGGAAACACCATTTGCCTTCCCCCGGAGTGCTACCTATTTATCTACTTGCACCTTGACGTGCTTTCGAACTGTTAGGTTGGCAGGAGCAACCGGAGCTCACCCTGTCACGGGGATTCGAACCACCGACCTTCTGATCGGTAAGCCCCAGCCTGTAGGTGGGGTGGGTGGGTGTGTACGCAAATGCCAGTGGGTCTTTGACCCAAGTGAAATAAAGCTTAGTTTTGCCTCTAGCAACAGCACCCTTAGTTATGTCACATCAGAGTATTTAAAAATAACACTTTATGCTAAATCATAACAGGCCAGATTCAGGTAGGTAGTTGTGTTTGTCTGACGCACTTGACATAAATAATTTTTTTTTAAAAAAAATGTCCAGTAGCACCTTAGAGACCAACTAAGTTTATTCTGGGTATAAGTTTTCGTGTGCATGCACACTTCTTCAGATACTAAATAGGCATCTGGGCCACTGTTTTCCATCTGAGCTAAAATAATAATAATTGCGCACTTTGTGGCTTGTGGGGTTGCAATCTGATCTGTACTTACAGATTGCAGTCAGCCTGTGGCACGAAGTGCTACTGGAATCCTTTCACAAACAGGGTTGTTAGGACTAGGGATGGAGGAGAAATTCAACTGAATTCACATTTAGGGCTCATGTAGACTTCCTTTTGTGCTGTGCTTTCTTTTTCTGTTTGTTAAATTAGTTTTTATGGAGGTTTATTTGCGTGGACAGGTGGAGTCCCCAGATCCCGAGCGGCCCCTCCCCCGTCATGTGGAAGAACGACTCAAGACAACGTGCTATGGGATTAAATTGGCCACAACTTTATTAAATTTCAAATGTGGGTAGACCTTGGCTCAGGCATTGGGCGTTCTCCTTCCCCAGTCCCCAGCCGGGGACCTAGGGAGCATCAGGGTTATCCAGTGTGTGTGGTGGGGATGGGCCGGCTCTGGAGACCCTATGTTCAAGCAGAGATAGCCGCCCCGTTACGCCGCCGCCGCAGGGGAGAGCAATGACGACCTTTCAGCGTACGGTCAAAGCCTCCCTTCAGAAACCCCTTTAACGGGGAATCCTGGTATCGCCACCGCAAAGAGGAAGATGGACTAAAGGATTCCGCCCAAGGCCTGATACCGCCAAAGTTGTGACGTTTTGTTAAGGGAAAGGCGAAACCTGCCAATGCAGGGAAATTCCTTTCCAGCCCTTTAACAGCGACCTTAACGTAGCAGCGCCCGCATACCCGTGAAGAAAAGTTAACCTGCAAAACCTGTGAAGAAAAGTTAACCTGCAAAATAAGCCATTAACTGAGGGTGGGTAGGGTGGGAGAAGCTCTGGAGCCAAGTGAGGATTCCCAGGTAAGATCCCCCCTCTATTGTGTGGGCAGGTAATCCCTCCCCTACCTGGCCTGATCTCCTTGGCAACGCTTCCCCCAGGTGGGATTGAACAACTGACTGGGGTAGGCGGAGACCTCCAGGTATCCCACCTGAGGGAAGGCAAAGCCAAGCCTATGCTGATGGGGCCGCTCCAGATCCAGGGGCTGCACGTGTCCACGCAAAGGGCACCCCCCGTTTTATGCGGGGAGCGGTCATTGTGTTACAAAGCAAACAGATGAACAGGGAGTGGTACATCTGTGGTCTCCATTGTTAATTCATAGTCTTTTTCACAGTTCATTTACGTTTGGTGAGAGGCACTTTTGTCATAGACATCTTGTTGTTGGGAGAGAGAGATGGGGGTTCTTGTTCTTTCATTCTATTGCGTATTCTTAGTGTAGGGGGGGTTGTGTCAGCATCACATGGGTAGGTCTTTTGTTTGTATATTTAAGTGTAAGGACAACCTCTTTCCAGCTTGGCTTGAGAAGTCTTGCCATTTGTTTCCTTCCCTTGCCATGTTCGCCAAACTCAGTCCTCAGATTCTGAGCACAACCATGTTCTACCCTCATTCCTGTGCTATTCAGTGCCCCAGCCACCACTGTTGACGTCTATGTCTTCAAAACATGCACATGGTTACAGATGCTCATTGTGTTATTAATTTTTTCTTACTTTACCCACTGGACGCCAAAAGCATACTCATTCCCAAGCAAATGGGTTTAGTAAACAACTAGCAGACTTTTAGAAGACATCTGAAGGCGGCCCTGTTTAGGGAAGCTTTTAATGTTTAATAGACTATTGTATTTTAATATTCTCTTGGAAGCCGCCCAGAGTAGCTGTGGAAACCCCGCCAGAGGGGCGGGGTATAAATAACAAATTATTATTATTATTATTATTATTATTATTATTACTACAGCGAATGCTCAGGTTGCGAACGTGATCCATGCGGGATGCACATTCACAACCCGCAGAGTCCGCAACCCGCAGCAACGCGTCTGCGCTCTCGCAGGTTGCGATTTAGCGCTCCTGCGCATGCGCGACCGCTGAAACCCGGAAGTAACCCTTTACTTCCGGGTTTCGGTGGTCCACAACCCAAAAGAACGCAACCTGAAGCATCTGTAACCCGAGGTATGACTGTATTATTATTATTATTAAGCTATTATTAAGCTCTACAGTCGTACCTTGGTTCTCAAACAGAATGCATTCCGGGAGTCCGTTCGACTTCTGAAACCTTCGCAAACCAAGGCGTGGCTTCCGATTGGCTGCAGAAGTGTCCTGCAGCCAGGCGGAAGCTGTGGAAGCCACGCTGGACGTTCGGCTTCCGAGGCAAAGTTCGCAAACCGGAACACCTACTTCCGGGTTTGCAGCGTTCGTGAACTAAGCTGTTTGAAAACCAAGGTATTTTATTTCTGCAGGCCTATAGATGGTGCTATGATTTAAGTGAGCTTAAAATGTGAAACTGCACGTGCTCAGAGTATTTTTTTTAATTTTTTATCAGAGTTGGCAAGCAGCTTCTTTTGTTTTTAGTGTTTGCTGTAACATAACGGGAATGTAGAATGGACGGATGAGACCCCACCCGATAGCCCCCCCCCGGAAGACCATTAAGTCCAGAGTCTTATATTATCTAACTGCACCATTGTGTACATATATTTGAGTATGTGTCAGGAAACAGACTTTAAAGGTGTAGCTTTAAAATCTAAATTCAGCAAAGCAAACTTCCCCTTTAAAAACTTTATGTGTTTTTGTTCTTTTCTGCCTCAAGAAACCATGGCCAAGAAAGTAGCGATTGTTGGGGCAGGAGTGAGTGGACTGGCCTCCATCAAATGTTGCTTGGATGAAGGACTGGAGCCCACCTGCTTCGAGAGGAGCGATGACATTGGGGGCGTGTGGCGATTCACGGTAAATTGAGGAGGGGCAATATGGCTTGATCTCTGACTAGGGTTGCTCAACTGAAGAAACTCACATTTGGGTTAAGCAGGGCTAGTCAGTCGTCAGTAATAATCCTATTCAAAATAAACAAACAAATTGAGCAAAATCCTCTGCAAATTCTGATGACTATTCAGCATGTGATTCCAAAATAGTAGCCAAATATTTAATATTTGCATTTGGCGTCTGTTAATTTTGGCGTCTGTTAATAAATCTATAAGCACTTGGATTTTGCAACACATTCAAAACCTGAACCAAAGTTTTGTACAGTTTTAAATTTTTGTGAATATTCTGCCCATTGGTTGGGTCCTCTTTGACAGAAACAAATTATGAACACTTTCTCCTCTATCTGCCTCTCCCCCCCCCAAAAAAAGCGCGTCCCAGTTTTCCAATACAGGCCACATCCTGACCACTAACAGGTGTAAACAAGTTCTAGACCTGCTGAAGCATGGAAATAAACCATATTCCAGCTGCAGGCTGTCTTATTTATGAGCATCCTAACCACAAGCCATTCTAAATATAAATGTAAGCAAGTCTGCATTGTCTGCGGTTATCTAGCAGTTGCTGCATTTTGGCTTTTTGGTGAAAAAGCAACATTAGCATTTCTCACAGTGGTGCTTGATGGGATGGTTGGATCCTGAAGGGGTAACTGTGCCCCTCAAGGACCAGGTGCGCAGCCTGGGAGTCATTTTGGACTCACAGCTGTCTATGGAGGCGCATGTCAATTCTGTGTCCAGGGCAGCTGTTTACCAGCTCCATCTGGTATGCAGGATGAGACCCTCCCTGCCCGCGGACTGTCTCGTTAGAGTGGTGCATGCTCTGGTTATCTCCCGCTTGGACTACTGCAATGCACTCTACATGGGGCTACCTTTGAAGGTGGCCCAGAAACTGCAACTAATCCAGAATGTGGCAGCTACACTGGTGACTGGGAGCGGCCGCTGAGACCATATAACAGTGGTTCTGAAAGACCTACATTGGCTCCCAGTACGTTTCCGGGCACAATTCAAAGTGTTGGTTGGTGCTGACCTTTAAAGCTCTAAATGGCCTTGGCCCAGTATACCTGAAGGAGCATCTCCATCCCCTTTGTCCAGCACCGGGGGCCTTCTGGCGGTTCCCTCACTGCAAGAAGTGAAGTTACAGGGAACCAGACAAAGGGCCTTATCGGTGGTGGCACCCGCCCTGTGGAAAGCCCTCTCATCAGATGTCAAGGAAATAAAAAAGTTTTAGAAGACATCTGAAGGCAGCCCTGTTTAGGGAAGTTTTTAATGTTTGATGTTTTATTGTGCTTTTAATTCTGTTGGAAGCCACCCAGAGTGCCAGCCAGATGGGCAGGGTATAAATAAAGAATAATTACTCTCATTATCGGAGAAATCTGAATTAAATGGGTAGAAAGTGCAGGCTGCCACTTAGATGAGGATGACATTTGGTCCATAGTTTTGGATACATTGGCAATCTTGTAATACAGTATATACAATTTTTGGTATGTGAGGTGGATGAAAATAAAGGATCTATTTAACGGTGTTTCCAATGCTTCCTGTTGATTTCTGCATAATAAGGCAATTGATAAATAATGAGCAATGTTCTTGTGCTTTTCTGTGGCCCAGGAGGATGTCGAAGAAGGGAGAGCCAGCCTCTACAGATCAGTGGTCAGTAACACATGTAAAGAGATGTCGGCTTTTGCTGACTTTCCATACCCAGAAGATTTCCCTGTCTTTTTACCACACGCCAAGCTCCTGGAATATCTTAGGATGTATACAAAACATTTTGATCTTCAGAGGCACATTCAGTTCAAGGTAAGACCCACCCACCCCCCTGAACTGCTGAAATTAACATGTTAACATTTCAGAATATTTCTATGTAAGAGCCAGTGTGGTGTAGTGGTTAAGAGCGGTAGACTCGTAATCTGGTGAACCAGGTTCACTTCCCTGCTCCTCCACATGCAGCTGCTGGGTGACCTTGGGCCAGTCACACTTCTCTGAAGTCTCTCAGCCTCACTCACCTCACAGAGTGTTTGTTGTGGGGGAGGAAGGGAAAGGAGAATGTTAGCCGCTTTGAGACTCCTTCGGGTAGTGATAAAGCGGGATATCAAATCCAAACTCTTCTTCTTCTTCTTCTTGGATTTTTTTACAACTCAAAACCAAAGCATCTGAAACTCAGGCTGAGAAATTGCTAGGGTATGCAACCAACCTGGCTTGAATCATAGAATTGTAGAGTTGGAAGGGACCCAAAGACTCATCTTGTCTGACCCCTGAAAAGCAGGGATCACAACTAAAGGATCTCCAACAGATGGCCATCTAACCTCTGTTTAAAAACTTCCAATGAGGGAGAGTCCTTCCACTGTTTGACAGCTCTTACTGTCAGAAAGTTCTTCCAGATGTTTAGTTGAAGACTCCAGTCTTTCACCCTGCACTGTTTAATCCGAGAAGCATATTTGTTTCTAGTTCGAAAAGATGCCTATGACTCCTAAATCTTGTTCTTATTTTCAAGTCCACTAGTTCCTTCTTGCAATTGGTTCTTTCCTTGAAATATTTCAGAGTACCGTGATCAGCGTAAGGAAGTGCCCCGACTTCTCTGCCACCGGCCAGTGGGACGTTGTCACGGAGACTGACGGGAAACAGAAATCCGCCATCTTTGATGCTGTCATGGTTTGCATTGGTTATCTTGCCGATCCCTCAGTGCCACTCAAGTCATTCCCTGGTACTGTATAGCTGATCTGGAGTTTCTTTCTGTTTAATGCTTGCTTTAAAAAGCTCTTGCATGCATTCAGGAAGAAAAGCAACACATGCAGAGGCAAAGTTCATATTGTTTCAATGTATCCGAGGGTCCAAGAATGTGTTTGTCTTCCTAAAAGAGATATTTTGAAGTATAAATACAAGCAAAACTGTGCATGTCCCTCTCGGGACAACAGTTCAAAGTGATTGATTACATTTCAGGATTTTTGAAGCACCATGTCCAACAAAAATGATTCCTGGATGCAGAAAATCAGCATGTTTTTCCCCACGATAGCACGAGGGGACCCTTCCCCCACAAAAACCCGCTCTTTAAAGTTGAATCGGAGCAGACAGCAATCTCTGGAAACCCTGAATTGCTGTTTGTTCCAATTTAGCTTTAAAGAGCAGATTTTGGGGGGTGGGGACAGCTCAGAGAGCACTCGGACATGGAGCAGGGCAAAAGGCAAGTGTGGAAAAGCCCATCCAGGGTGTGGCACATCCCTTCTGCCCAAGGGTGGCTCTGCTGTAATAGAAATAATGTATGTTTAGCACCTTGTACACTAGACATGCGGGACGTTGGTGGAGCTGTGGGTTAAACCACTGAGCCTAGGGCTTGCCGATCAGAAGGTCGGCGGTTCAAATCCCCGTGACGGGGTGAGGTCCCGTTGCTCGGTCCCTGCTCCTGCCAACCTAGCAGTTCGAAAGCACGTCAAAGTGAAAGTAGATAAATAGATACCACTCTGGCGGAAAGGTAAACAGCGTTTCTGTGTGCTGCTCTGGTTCGCCAGAAGCGGCTTAGTCATGCTGGCCACATGGCGTGGAAGCTGTACGCCAGCTCCCTCGACCAATAAAGCGAGATGAGCGGTACAACCCCAGAGTCGGCCACGACTGGACCTAATGGTCAGGGGTCCCTTTACCTTTACACTAGACAAGCACTGCATAAATCCCAGGTGCACAGCCTGGGAGTCATTTTGGACTCACAGCTGTCCATGGAAGTGCAGGTCAATTCTGTGTCCAGGGCAGCTGTTTACCAGCTTCATCTAGTACGCAGGCTGAGACCCTACCTGCCCACGGACTGCCTCGCCAGAGTGGTGCATGCTCTAGTTATCTCTTGCTTGGACTACTGCAATGCACTCTATGTGGGGCTACCTTTGAAGGTGACCCAGAAACTACAACTAATCCAGAATGTGGCAGCTAGACTGGTGACTGGGAGCGGCCGCCGAGACCACATAACATGGGTCTTGAAAGACCTACATTGGCTCCCAGTACGTTTCCGAGCACAATTCAAAGTGTTGGTGCTGACCTTTAAAGCCCTAAAAGGACCGCGGCTCAGTATAACTGAAGGAGTGTCTCCACCCCCATCGTTCAGCCCAGACACTGAGGTCCAGCTCTGAGGGCCTTCTGGCGGTTCTCTCACTGCGAGAAGTGAGGTTACAGGGAACCAGGCAGAGGGCCTTCTTGGTAGTGGTGCCCGCCCTGTGGAATGCCCTCCCAGCAGATGTCTAGGAGATAAGGAACTACACAACTTTTAGTAGATATCTGAAGGTGGCCCTATATTGGGAAGTTCTTAATGTTTGATGTTTTATGATGTCTTTATATGTGCTGGAAGCCGCCCAGAGTGGCTGAGACAATCCAGTCGGACAGGCAGGGTATAAATAATTAAATTTAATTTAATCAAGCACATGTACTTGAGAGTAAACTTCAACCATGGGGTTGACTTCTGAACAAACATGCAGAGGACTAAATTATAGGTGCTGCTTCAGTTATTATTTGCTGGGGCATGTCCTCATTTCCACACAGGTCTAGACAAGTTCAAGGGGCAGTATTTCCACAGCCGCTACTACAAAAGCCCAGAGGTCTTCAAGGATAAGACAGTCCTTGTTATTGGCATGGGGAATTCTGGAACCGACATCGCCGTGGAAGCAACTCAGACAGCAAAAAAGGTAGCATCCCTCAGACCAGTTGCACATTTTAAACTGGGCACCTTCACCCACCTTTTAAATACAGAATTGCTGTTCTTATTCAGGTTAGACATTTCTGATGCTAACACTTTCCAGACACTGAAATACTCTTATTATAGACAATTAGGCTTTGCAACGGGGTTATGTACCGTATTTTTCGCTCTATAACACGCACCCGACCATAACACGCAAGTAGTTTTTAGAGGAGGAAAATCCGTAGGCATGCCACCCGTAGGCATTCCCTCCATAACACGCACAGACAGTTCCCCTTACTTTTTAGGAGGAAAAAAGTGAGTGTTATGGTGCAAAAAATACGTACCGTATTTTTCGTTCTATAGGACGCACCGGCCCATAGGACGCACCTCGTTTTTTTTGGGGGGGGGGAAATGAATAAAAAAAATTATTCCCCCCCCCCCGCGGCTGCCGCCCCAAGCCTCGCGTGCTCGGGCTTCAGGCTTCCGCCCCAAGCCTTGTGCGCTCGGCGGGACCTCCTGCCGGGCGCGCAAGGCTTGCAGACACTCGCCCGAAGCTCGGGGAGCCCTCCGGAGGGCTCCCCGTGCTTCGGGCGACAGGCTGCCGCCCCAAGCCTCGCGCGCTCGGCGGTACCTCCTGCCGGGCGCGCAAGGCTTGCGGACACTCACCGGGGCTGCAGGCTGCTGCCTGCAAGCCTTGTGAGCCCGCGGGAACTCCCACCGGGCTTGCAAGGCTTGCGGATAGCTTCCTGAAGCCTGGAGAGCGAGAGGGGTCGGTGCGCACCGATGCCTCTCGCTCTCCAGGCTTCAGCGAAAGCCTGCATTCGCTCCATAGGACGCACACACATTTCCCCTTCATTTTTGGAGGGGAAAAAGTGCGTCCTATGGAGCGAAAAATACGGTAAGTATTTATTGCTGTAAGGAAAGCACAGCTTGAAAGCTCATCTGGAGATGTGGTGGCCCCACCTAGTGGGAAAAGTTGGGTATGGCACGGTAAATATTTGTTTCCGTAATTAGTCCAGAGCATGAGTAGGCAAACTAAGGCCCGAAGATGACTTGGAAACAACAATTAATGCAGAATGCGGAAGCTAGACTGGTGACTGGGAGTGGCCGCCGAGACTATATAACACTGGTCCTTAAAGACCTACATTGGCTCCCAGTATATTTCCGAGCACAATTCAAAGCGTTGGTGCTGACCTTTAAAGCCCTAAATGGCCTCGGTCCTGTATACCTGAAGGAGCGTCTCCACCCCCATCGTTCAGCCTGGACACCAAGGTCCAGTGCAGAGGGCCTTCTGGCGGTTCCCTTACTGCGAGAAGTGAGGTTATAGGGAACCAGGCAGAGGGCCTTTTCGGTAGTGGCGCCCGCCCTGTGGAACGCCCTTCCATCAGATGTCAAGGAAATAAACAACTATCTGGCTTTTAGAAAACATCTAAATGTTCCCTGTATCGGGACATTTTTAATGTTTGATGTTTTATCGTGTTTTTAATATTGTGTTGGGAGCCACCCAGAGTGGCCAGGGAAACCCAGAAAGATGGGCGGGGCATAAAAATTTATTATTATTATTATTATTATTATTATTATTATTATTATTATTGCAGAAAGGAAGCATTGATGATTGGCATTTGCTGGACAGATGCCCATTTCAGGCTTGGGACATGAACATCAGTAATTTTCTCTTCCGCTTTAGTTGGAATTCTCTGACATCTCCCTTGCTCCTTGCTCTAAGTACCAAACTTCCTTTTTTTTAAAAAAACTGGGTCTACTCCATAAACTATACCAGGCTGTTTTCTTTCTAGGTGATGCTCAGCACAGAAAGAGGTGCTTGGGTGATAAGCCGTGTCTTTGACAATGGCTACCCCTGGGACATGGTTTTCCTAACCCGTTTTATGAACATTGTTCGAAACATCCTCCCCGGGCGCTTCACAGGATGGCTGATTGAGAACCGAGTGAGCCAGTGGTTTAACCACGCAAACTATGGCTTAATTCCAAAGGACAGGTACGTGGCGTCAACGCAGGTTTAAAAGTGGGAAAGAAACAGAAAGACAGTGGTACCTCCGGTTAAGTACTTAATTCGTTCCGGAGGTCTGTACTTAACCTGAAACTGTTCTTAACCTGAAGCACCGCTTTAGCTAATGGGACCTCCTGCTGCCACCGCGCCGCAGGAGCACAATTTCTGTTCTCATCCTGAAGCAAAGTTCTTAACCTGAAGCACTATTTCTGGATTAGCGGAGTCTGTAACCTGAAGCATATGTAACCTGAAGCATCTGTAGCCTGAGGTACCACTGTACAGTATATCCCCCCCCCAAAAAAAATTAACCAAAAGCATTTTCTAAGAAATCTACAGGACCGCCTCCCCTGGTATGCCCCGCAGAGGACCTTAAGGTCCATGAATAACCATAGTTTAGAGATCCCGAGCCCTAAGGAAGTCAGACTATCCTCCACCAGGGCCAGGGCCTTTTCAGTGATGGCTCCGACCTGGTGGAATGCTCTGTCCCATGAGACTAGGGCCCTTCAGGATTTAACCTCCTTCTGTCAGGCCTGTAAGGCAGAGCTATTCCACCTGGCCTTTAATTTGAATTCAGCCTGATCTTTTATTTCCCTTCCCTTCCTTCCCCCTCCCCTTTTATGAAGATCAACCGCTCTGAGACCCCACAGCTAATTCTCCCCTGGCCTCCTTGCTGGCCCAAGTAGGATCAAATCAGCCAGCTAGCACGGGGAATTAACTAATTGATTTTTGAATTTTATTGTTATTCATGTTTTTGTACTGTATTTTATGCTGCTTTTATAATTAAGTGTTTTAAAGTGTTTTAAATTTGTTGTTAGCCACCCTGAGCCCGGTTTTTGAACCGGGAAGGGTGGGGTATAAATAAAAAAATAGTATAAATTTATTATAAGAAGCCCAAATAAAGAGAGGTGGGAAGAAAGGGTTTTGCCAGCATTCATAAAAGTACAGGCAGAGGTGTGGTCCATGAAATGGGCTGTGGCAGGAAGTCTGAGTCCCTCTCCCCACACATCCTTCTCGCTCTGTAAGATTCATTCAAATGAATGGGAACAGGACTGCATGGATACCCTTCCTGCCCCGTGGGTCTGATCTGCCCCCCTTAAAGGGAACAAAAACCCACCTCCAGGGGGCTGCTAGTTTCCTTTCGGAGCAAGGTTACAAGCTGCGTATCTTGACATCATTATTGGTACACTTCATAGCTGTAGCTGACTAGAATAACCGCTCCCCACATTAAATGGGGGGCTCCCTTTGTGTGGTCGCTTGCAGCCCCCTGGACCCTATGTGGCACCATTAACACAGGCTTGGCTTCGCCTTCCCCAGGTGGGATACCTGGAGGTCTCCGCCTACCCCAGTCAGTTGTCCAATCCCACCTGGGGGAAGCGTTGCCAAGGAGATTAGGCCAGGTAGGGGAGGGATTACCTGCCCACACAATAGAGGGGGGATCTTACCTGGGAATCCTCACTTGGCTCCAGAGCTTCTCCCACCCTACCCACCCTCAGTTAAGACTTCTTTTGCAGGTTAACCTTTTCTCCACATTACGCAGGTGCTGCTATGTCAAGGTTGCTGTTGAAGGGCCGGAAAGGAACTCTCCTGCATTGGCAGGTTTGCCTTTCCCGTAGCAAAACGTCACAACTTTGGTGGTATCAGGCCTTGGGTGGAATCCTTTAGTCTATCTTCCCTAAATGGGGGTGGGAGTGCAGTGGTGACCCACGCCCCCTCCTCTTTGCGGCAGCGATACCAGGGTTCCCCGTTAAAGGGGTTGTTTTGAGGGGAGGCTTTGGCCGTATGCCGAGAGCTTGTCATTGCTCTCCCCTGCGATGGTGGCGTAACGGGGGCAGGCTCTCTCTGCTCTCCAGAGCCAGCCCAATCCCCACAAATTCTGGATAACCCTGATGTTCCCCAGATCCCCAGCGGGGGACTGGGAGGGATAAACGCCCAATGCCTGAACCAAGGTCTACCCACATCTGAAACATAATAAAGTTGTGGCCAATTTTAATCCCATAGCACATTGCCTTGAGTCATTATTCCACACAGGGTTTGGGGACTCCGCCTGTCCACGCAAAACAAAAATTCTCCATCTCAAGCAAAAAAAAAAGGAGATTTTCGCCGCCACGCATAGACATGCTTCCCTGCACCCTTGGGAATTGATACCTTTCCTGTGATAGATAACAGAACTTTCCCTGTCGTTATATTGACATAACCAGGGGCGGACTTGGGTAATCTTGGGTAATATGGCACCCTGAGCAAGGACAACATTTGTTGCCCCCAAATGGATCTTCTCAGGTATGTACCCCCTCGGCTCGGCACCTGTGTGGGAGAAGCACGCATGCCGCCCAAAACCCAGCGCTGACATAACCTTTTGAGTTTTTTATTTTGTGATTTTTGTGTTGCGAACTGCCTTGAGTTCTACGGGGATAGGCCAGTGTACAAATTTAATAAATAATAATAATAACCTTAGAGACAAAAATGTATGCATGGTACGGATGAAGTGGACAAGAGATTATTTCGTTTCCCCCTGTCACAGTGAAACTGATGGGCTGTAGTTTCAGCAACTACCAAATACAGTTTTTATGACTTCTTTTTTTTTAGGCACAATGCATCTGGGGTTCATCGCCACAAGCAGGGGTGGAGGAAGGGGGGCGGTGGGGGTGGTCCGCCCCGGGTGTCATCACTGAGGGGGGTGACATTCGGCACGCCCGCGACTCCCAAGCCTACCCCCAGCCATTGGGGGAAGGGGCGGAACTGTCGGAGATTCCGTACGACCGAGTTGAATCCGACTGTGATTAATGACCTAAGCCTTTAATGAGGCTTCAGGCACGTTCCCTCATTATGCAGAGTATCCAAACTGCAGAAGGAGATGGAAATATGAGCTACATCGCTACGTTTATTTCTAACTACGCAGGACAGAAAAAGAATATGCATCTGCTCTCTGTGAGAGACAGTGCACAGCAAGCACAAAGAAACAGGAAACCAGTAACATCAACATCCATCTCCCATCTCCCGTGAGACTTCCAACAGTCTGGAATGTAAACAGAGTCTTGTGACTCCAAAAACTGCACAGTGGCATAAACAGAAACCTAACCGGAGCTGTGCCGCCTTGCCAGCGGCCTTCCCTCCCCTTCTCCCTTCGTTTTTACAGCTCAGGGGAGGCTTGGACGTTGCGGGCGGGTGGAGCGCCATTGGCCCCCGCTTCTGGGCTGCTTCCTGGGGGGTAGCCTTCCCTGAGCTGTCAAAAGGAATGGAGGAAGGCTGCTGGCAAAGCTGAACGGCTCCCCGCCCCCCGCCCAGGAAGCAGCCCACCATGGGTGGCTCACTCCACCCCATGGGCTTCTCCCCCCCTGGGCTGCTTGCCCCGCCCCATGGCCCCACCCTCGGGTGCACAGCATGTGCACCGCTCCAGGTGCCAGAGCAGCTAGCTCCACCTCTGGCCACAAGTTGTGGTGATGGCTACTAGCTTAGCTGCCACATTCGTGGAGGATGAGCTATTGGCCATGAGAGGTACATGGAACCTCCAGGTTCAAGCGCAGTGTACCTTTGAACAGGTGCAGGAGACAACAGGTGATGGGTGGTCGTCCTTATATGATGCTTATGGGCTTCTCAGGAGCATTTGGCTGCTGAAGGCGTTGTAATAAAATGAAGGGCAGAGAAGGAAAACAAGTAATGGGGGGAGGGGCTACCACTCTTTGCCTCACATTTTGTAAAACCAGCATGGCAACAACCAGTGCTTTTTTTTACTCAAAGGCATGCAGAATCAAACCACTGGCAACAACACACTGAACCTCTCTCTTTTGTCTACAGCTTCCTTATCTGGCAATCTTTCCCATTCTTCCTCCTCCCTGTAGGACGGTGATGAGAGAGCCCCTTTTGAATGACGAGATCCCATCCTGCATCATCACTGGGAAGCTCTCTGTTAGGCCCGAGGTGAAGGAGTTCAGAGAAAACGCCGTCGTGTTTGTGAACGCTCCTGGGGCAGAAGAAGTGGACGTCGTCGTCTTCGCCACGGGATACAAAGCTTCTTTCCCTTTCATCGACGAGTCAATTGTCAAGGTGGAAAACCAGCAGGCTTCCTTGTACAAATACATCTTCCCCCCTCGGCTGGAAAAACCGACCCTCGCCTTCATCGGCTTCCTCAGGCCACTTGGGGCGGTGATGCCTGTTGTGGAAACTCAAGCACGCTGGGTCACACGCATCTTTAATGGTAGGAAGGGGGAGATACAAGCACCCTAGGAGGCCAGGGGGTGCCTGTAAGTGTGTGGAAATCCTGGGGAAGCTCAGCCTGGCAGCTGGACCAGACACTTGCTCTCGATGCCATGGGTAGGGGGGACCTGTGGCCCTCCAGATGTTGTTGGACTCACCCTCCCATTAGCCCTAAGTAGCATAGCCAGTGGCCAGAGGGGATGAGAATTTTAGGCCAAGAAATCTGGAGGGCCCCAGAAGGTCATCTCTGTGCTGTGCCAGTAAGGGATTATCCACCTTAGCTTTTGCCCAGCACTTTCTAGGCACTGGTTTGGGCTTTAAAGCCCCATGTCCAAGCACAGGCATCCTCAACCTTTGGCCCTCCAGATGTTTTGGCCTACAACTCCCATGATCCCTAGCTAACAGGACCAGTAGTCAGGGATGTGGGAAATTGTAGTCCAAAACATCTGGAGGGCAAAAGGTTGGGGATGCCTGTCCAAGCACCACTTCTTCTTCTTCTTCTTCTTCTTCTTCTTCTTCTTCTTCTTCTTCTTCTTCTTCTTCTTCTTCTGCCTAGCCAATTTCCCCAGGAAAACCTGCTTTTAAACATTTGATCAGAACAAACAAACATCTATTCAGGTTTTCTGCAGATTGCCATTTGCTCCCATTTAGTGGTAAAGAGCGGGTTTTCACGGGGAAAGCTCTAAGGCAAGAAAAAGAAGAGCACTCGGACACAGACCGCCCCTGGAAAGCCCAGAAGAAAGATAAGTGTGGATAAGCCCTACCTTGCTGGCAGAAAGATGACCTACCACACCAGAGGGCTAGAGAGAAGTACTGCAGCTCAGCAGAGCTCAGGGACACCCAAGGGTGTTAGTGGTGGTGATGGTTTATTGACTGTACTGTCAATAAAGTAAAATTACTTCATTACTGTACTGACTTTAGACCCAGATCTCCTGAGCTTCCGCAAGGGCGCTGCATCATGTGTCCTTCTCTCTCCCTCTCTTTAGTTTTTATTAAAGCACATATTATTCCTCAAAATTCACAGAATGCCTCACTCCACTGCAATGACAGTTCCATAATGTAAGGTAAAGGTAAAGGGACCCCTAACCATTAGGTCCAGTCGTGACCGACTCTGGGGTTGCGGCGCTCATCTCGCTCTATAGGCCAAGGGAGCCGGCGTTTGTCTGCAGACAGCTTCTGGGTCATGTGGCCAGCATGACTAAGCCGCTTCTGGCAAACAAGAGCAGCGCACGGAAACGCCGTTTACCTTCCCGCCGGAGCGGTACCTATTTATCCACTTGCACTTTGAGGTGCTTTCGAACTGCTAGGTTGGCAGGAGCAGGGACCGAGCAATGGGAGCTCACCCCGTCGCAGGGATTTGAACCACCGACCTTCTGATCGGCAAGTCCTAGGCTCTGTGGTTGAACCCACAACGCCACCTGCGTCCCTAAAACCACCTTACGTTGGACCAAAGCATTGGTCCATTTAGATCAGCATTATCAACACCAACCATCGCCAACTGGGTGCCCTCCAGTTGCTGGCTGGGGGTTGATGGGAGGTCTAGTCCAAAACCTCTGGTGGGCACCCAGTTGGCGAAGGTTGGTGTTGATAATGCTGAACTAAATGGACCAATGGAGATGCTTGGGGTTGAATCTGGAACCTTCTTTGAAGCATTTAGAGGGAAATAGACTAGTTTTCCTAGCCCAGTTTCGAGGCTAACCAGGATTCTCATCCCATCGGTGGACAATACCACGATTGTCTCTATTTGAAGGGGTCTCTCGCACATGCAATGTGTTGTGTTTGAAACCCTGCCTCGTCTCACACCAGGCAGAAATGGATGCTACTAACAATTGGACAGCCTCTACTTCTGCTTGGAAGGCACATGCTCAGTTTTCACCCCCCTGCAAAAAGAAAGTCCCTTCTGATGAACCTCAAAAAAAAATGTGACTCACTGAAAAATCCTTCCTGTCTTCTAGGCTTGTGTAAGTTGCCTCCAGTGACCGAAATGATGGAGGAGGTCAACGAAAAGAAGAAAAACAAGCGCAACTGGTAAGCTCCTACATATGACCTGACAACGTTGAGCCCGGACACTGAGGTCCAGTGCCAAGGGCCTTCTGGCGGTCCCCTCGCTGCGAGAAGCCAAGTTACAGGGAACCAGGCAGAGGGCCTTCTCGGTAGTGGCACCTGCCCTATGGAACGCCCTCCCACCAGATGTCAAAGAGAAGAACAACTACCAGACTTTTAGAAGACATCTAAAGACAGCCCTGTTTAGGGAAGCTTTTAATGTTTAATAGGTTATTGTATTTTAATATTCTCTTGGAAGCCGCCCAGAGTGGCTGGAGAAACCCAGCCAGATGGGTGGGGTATAAATTATTATTATTATTATTATTATTATTATTATTAATCTTCATTGGTCGGATGGAGGTGCATGAGGGATGCCAGCTGATCAGAATAGTTACAGACGTAACTATGTGAATGTCTGCCAATGTGCCACAGCTAAAGGCATGTTTGACAAAGCCTGTAACAGACCCAGCTACAGCTGCTATGAGCTGGAGACTGGCGCTGTGGTCTAAACCACTGAGCCTCTTGGGCTTGCCAATCAGAATGTTGGTGGTTTGAATCCCTGCGACGGGGTGAGCTCCCGTTGCTCTGTCCCAGCTCCTGCCAACCTAGCAGTTCGAAAGCACACCAGTGCAAGTAGAAAAATAGGTACTGCTGCAGCAGGAAGGTAAACAGCGTTTCCGTGCACTCTGGTTTCTGTCACGGTGTTCTGTTGCACCAGAAGCGGTTTAGTCCTGCTGGCCACATGAGCCAGAAAGCTGATTGTGGACAAACGCCAGCTCCCTCGGCCTGAAAGCGAGATGAGCACCGCAACCCCATAGTCGCCTTTGACTGGACTTAATCGTCCAGGGGTCCTTTGCCTTTTACCTTACAGCTGCTGTGCAGTTGTGTGGGAGAAAGGCAAAACCAATGAACACACAACAAGCGCAGGGGCTTGTCCACACTTGTGTTATGTTCAGCTTCAAACCATTTCACTCCTCCGCATTTCCCCTTGTATATTGTTTCGTTTAGGTTTGGCTTGTCCTTTGACGAGGTTTTGAAAACAGATTGCCTTGTATACATGGACCAACTTGCTTCCTACATTGGCATAAAACCGAGTGTCCCTGCGCTCCTTCTCCAAGATCCAGAACTGGCCCTGAAGATCTTCTTCGGTCCCTGCTCTGCCTACCAATTCCGCCTGAGTGGACCCGGGAAGTGGGACGGGGCCAGAAACGCCATCATGACCCAGTGGGAGCGCACAGTGAAGCCCACAAGAATCCGAGTGGTGGAAGACTCTGGAAGTTTCCTCACATACCTGATGAAAGTCCTTGCCATCTTTGCTATTTTTGTCGGGATTTTCTTCAGTTTCAATTAGTTCCTCCAGTTCTACAGCAATTATTACCTGTATCTTTCCAGATGCATATGTTCTGCCGACGTGATACTTCACCTTGCAGAAGTAAGAAAAGAAAGAAGGGCCTTTTCTAAAGTACATACTCAAATCTAAATGTGGACAATTTGACATTTTTATACCTGACGGTTAAAAAAATCAAAATCAAAATGGAAGCACAAATATTTGACAACTGAACATGAAAATGTGCTCTTGTTGGCGCACTATTTGCACGCTACTGTGTCCAATGCACAAAGAAATCTGCTCTACATGCTTGGCTATTATAAATGCACAGAATTATTATTTTGATATTCATTTACTCTGTACGACATAGTGCTCTTTATCAAAGTTATGCTGCTACTTACATTGAGGGCATAAGAAGACCCCTACTAGAGGAGATCAAAAGTCCATTTAGTCCAGAATTTTGTTTTCAACAGTGTCTCAGACACCTCTGGAAAACCCACACTCAGGTCACAAAGGATTGCTGCCTTTCCAGCAAATGGTATTTATGCTGTCTCTGTGGTGAAGGTTTTCTTTAGGTATTCTGTTTAATAGTCCCTGGGTGCTTCCAGAGAACCTGTTTATTGAACATTCATTCTGATCTATTCGTAGGGAGATTAGGCATCGTTAGCTATTTAATGAGCATTCATTCCGATTTATTATTATTATTTTGAAGGAAGCTTAGATGTTGTTAGCTCAAAGCAAGTGTCACAGCACACTTTCCAGGGCATTCCTGATCACTTTCCTTAATGCAAAAGGTTTGATCTTTTGAGGAAGCAGGTATGTCGTGCAAGACTTCCAAATCAACTTTCACCATGCGACCTGAATTTGCCAGTATGTGATCAAATCCCACCTGAAAATAGTGACAGTCCGGAAGCGCCCATTCACAGGCCTCTCCTCCATGAATTTATCTAATCATTTTTTAAAGTCACCTGAAAGAACTTCTTAAGAGAGTCAGGTGCATCCATCTTCTCCCACCAAGCTGAGGCTTGTCTGAGATTTGCACCCGAGTCCTCTTTCACCCAAACAAAAAATCATAGTCCTGGTGGATTCATAGCACTAGGGCTTGTCAATTATACAGCTATACCTTTGCGACTTTGCTCTGCAAAAAAATAAAATAATGTATCAACCACTTTGAATATCATTATAACACAGACTATCGCAGATATTTCAGCTTCAGTTGAAAATGACAGGTACAGAATGAAAAAATAATGGGGCTTATTATATTGCTACATGGAAAAACCAGATGTTAAAACAGATGATTTTATTATATATTCAAAAGAATCATGCTTGTTTAAATTATATTGATATTTCTATCAATAAATGGCAATGAATAGAATTCAAAAGCTTGCTTTCCTTCTTCCCTGCTTCGACTGGACACCAGTAATTTTGTGGTTTATGTCTCCTTTAGGAGTAGGAACCACAGGAACATGCCATTTAGAGACAACTAATTGGTTGCATATGTTAAGAAATTTCAAAGAAGGACTTGCTGATATGTTTAAATTTCACAGCAAAGTATTTTATTGGATTTCATGGGGGATATCATACTTCATCCTTGACTCTTACATAAGCTGTTTTTTCTTTCAGCAGACTCATGTTTTTTGATAGGCCCGTCAAATATATATGAATTAAAATCACCATCGGCCACTGGTATAGCAGTGCCAGTTCTTTTTTACCAAACTATATTCTGTTATCCTGGAGAGAGAAAATAATATATTAAATCTATCTATCAAAAATGCTAAACATGATTAGCATTCCTGGATCCGGGAATTTAGGAGAGTCAGGCACCCCACCCCAAATACATAATACTATCGTTTTCCATGTATTTTTTGGAGCTTGATTTTACCCAATACAGGCTTTCTGATTGCACAGCAACTGCACATTTTAAAAATGTGAACTTTATTTGCTTTGCGAATCCAGCTCCCTTTAGTGGCAGCTAAGGGAAGGGAAAAATGATCAAATGTTAAAGTCAGGCTGCACCGAGGAGATCTGTTGGGCAGGTACAGGTTAGAGAAAAAGGAGGCATATTTCTTTTGGGGGCTGAGGGGCAGGAAGTAAATGCATTTTGGGGGAATCTCCTGGGGAAAGCAAATGAGTGGGGGCGGGTTCATTGCTTTGGGGGTTTCATGTTTGGAACTCAAACCCAATCTCAGCAGTACAGTTTGAGGTCTTGGATAAATTACTTTCCTATTAGCTTTGTTTGTTTGCCTTCTGTAAAACAGATGTTTCAGCAGAAACATGAAAGGTTCAGATCTACTCAGTTTGCTGCTTTGTAAACTGCCCTTTGTGAACTTATCTTCACACAGACCAACAATATATTTTCCAGTAGGGGTCATCTAAGAACTTCTGGGAAGACCACTTGCAGGAAATGAGGGGCAACAATGTGCAGAGGTCAACTGCTAGGGTTGCCATCTTTGGTCAGGCAAAATAAGGCATAGTTCGGGCAAAATATGGGGCAAGTCAGAAGGCAGGAATTACTGTATTTTTTGCTCTATAAGACTCACTTTTTCCCTCCTAAAAAGTAAGGGGAAATGTGTGTGCGTCTTATGGAGTGAATGCAGGCTGCGCAGCTATCCCAGAAGCCAGAACAGCAAGAGGGATCGCTGCTTTCGCTGCGCAGCGATCCCTCTTGTTGTTCTGGCTTCTGAAATTCAGAGTATTTTTTTTCTTGTTTTCCTCCTCCAAAAACTAGGTGCGTCTTATGGTCTGGTGCGTCTTATAGAGCGAAAAATATGGCACTTTACCATTACTTTACCTCAGGCATAGGCCCTCCAGATGTTGTGGGACTACAACTCCCATCATCCCTGACCACTGGTCCTGTTAGATAGGGATGATGGGAGTTGTAGTCCCAAAACAGCTGGAGGGCCGAGTTTGCCTATGCCTGCTTTACCTGGTGCAGAAACGACTTCAAAGCTATCCATTACAATGGATTGTTTCCAGCACTGGTCAAGCTCATAGAAATTTATGGATCTAAGTTAGCAATGCACATTAATTTCAGTGACACACATCCTTCCCACCTGCTGAATTTCTGCTTGTCATAAGAATGGCAAATGTAGAAAACCAGCCCCCCCTAAAGAAAGAGGGGTGAAGATAGCAACAAATTCTGTTTCTCTTCCTCACAAAGCTTTGCCTCCAACACCCCTTTCCATATAGTTGCTAATGCCACACACATTCCTTTAAGGGGTGCAGAATTTTTCCGTGGAAAATCCCTTATCATAAGGGGCAGGTGGCAGCCCTACACACGCCTGACGCCCTCGTTGCTTACTCAGACTTGGCACACGGTTGGTGCCGGATGGACCCTCGTGTTTGCCCTCAAATCCTTGTTGAAGGCGAGCTCCCCTCAACGAGGTCATTGGGGGGCAGAAGTGAGAAGAAGAAGAAGAGTTTGGATTTGATATCCCGCTTTATCACTACCCGAAGGAGTCTCAAAGCGGCTAACATTCTCCTTTCCCTTCCTCCCCCACAACACTCTGTGAGGTGAATGGGGCTGAGAGACTTCAGAGAAGTGTGACTAGCCCAAGGTCACCCAGCAGCTGCATGTGGAGGAGTGGAGACGCGAACCCTGTTCCCCAGATTACGAGATTACTGTTCTTAACCACACCACCACACTGAGAGTCCTCACCTGCCCGTGCCCCCAGACCAATGAGGGGCTCCAAAAGCGTTGTCATCCCCGTCTGCTGTGGGGCCTTGCTCACACCTTATTACTGAAATGGCCTCTGATGTGCAAGTCTCCCTTCACTTAACTTAATAAGAGTCAACATAAAGTTATGTACTCTAGAGAACATTAAATCATGTTCATCCAGTAAGAGCATTACAGTGGTACCTCTGGTTATATACGCTTCAGGTTACATATGCTTCAGGTTACAGACTCCGCTAACCCAGAAATATTACTTCGGGTTAAGAACTTTGCTTCAGGATGAGAACAGAAATTGTGCTCCGGCGGCGCGGTGGCAGAGGGAGGCCCCATTAGCTAAAGTGGTGCTTCAGGTTAAGAACAGTTTCAGGTTAAGAACGGACCTCCAGAACGAATTAAGTACTTAACCCGAGGTACCACTGTACTGGATTATGTAATGCCAGGAAGTTTGAGGGAAAGTTATATTGTATGTCATATTAAAGATATGTGTACCTATGTGCTTTGTCACGTATTTTGTTGACTGATGCCACACCTTTTTCAGTTACTTAGCTGAGTCAGACTCTAACCCAGGGGTCAGTAAACTTTTTCAGCAGGGTGTCGGTCCACTGTCCCTCAGACCTTGTGGGGAGCTGGACTATATTTTGCGGGGGAAATGATGCAAGAGCACCACGAGCCCCGGTGGCTGCTTACCTGTGTCCTGCAAGTGGCAGGGGCTGGTGGCGGCGGGACGATGAGCGGTGCACAAAAGGGCATTGGAGAGGGGCTGCTTAAAATGGCGGCCGCTCGAGCGCTGCTGCTGCTGGCACCAACAAAGCCCAGCCCCCTTCCTCCTCTAGGCAGGGTTGGGAGAAGACAGAAGGAGGGAGGGAGGAGGCGCCGCTGGTGCCGTCGTGTGAGAGGGAAAGAACGCACGTGCTGGCGATCCACGTGGTGATTCCCGGACTGTTCACGGGCCGGATCCAGAAGGCAATTGGGCCTGATCCAGCCCACGGGCCTTAGTCTGCTGACCCATGCTCTAACCCAAGCCAGTCCTGGGACAGAAATCTCTCCAAGTGCCCGTGAGTCACCAGCAATCACGCCAAGAGATGTTCCCCAGAATCCTTTGCAACACCACAGAGGATGCTGGGAAATACCTGCCATGTTGTGTAGTGGAGTTACTTGGGACAGTCAAACGTGGGCTGGAGCTGAGTTAAGTCTGACGTTTCCCCAGATGAAGTTATGAACAACTTAGCTTACAAGGCTGTTGCAAGGACAAGTGAGATTTAAAAGGGACGTCGCATATATTTTGTGCTATATGAACAAACAGCAGTTGCCAAGTGATTTTGCACAGGTGAAGAAATAAATGGTTTGATGCCTACAAGGATTAGTTTATGGATTGTTTCACACATTACACAGAGGAAAACCTAGGCTTTCAACCAAGAGAGCTGCACTCAGTGGCGATTCCCTGACAAGCATACCTGTACAAGACACATTTGTTGCAGTTACAGGTAGGCAGCCATGTTGGTCTGTCGTAGTCGAAACAAAACAAAACAAATCCTTCCACCTTAGAGACCAACTAAGTTAGTTATTGGTATGAGCTTTCGTGTGCATGCATACCAATAACTAACTTAGTTGGTCTCTAAGGTGCTACTGGAAGGAATTTATTTATTTTTCAAAAATTTATTTTATATTTGTTATATTCATACTTTACGCTTCAAGGTGTACACATGGGACCTCTTAAGCGTACAGCTGCACACACACACACCGCATCCACAAATGCAATATGTCCCATGGCCCTATGAAGTTTTCATTTGGTGAATACGCTCATGCCTCCTCAAGGAGCCTGACTCTGTGAAGTCCTGAGCACAGTACGTGCATGAGTAGGGCTTCTCTCCGGTATGGATGCGCTGGTGACGATGCAGCGAAGTCAGGCGTGTGAATGCCCCACCACACTCTTCACAATGGAAGGGGCGCTCCCCGGTATGAATTTTCTGGTGCCTTTTCAAGCGGAGCAGCTGGACAAAGGCTTTCCCGCACTCTTGGCACTTGTATGGTTTCTCCTGCCGATGAATCACCTTGTGCTTGAACAGCAAGTTGGACGTTCGGAAACCCTTGCCACAAGTGGGGCATACGTACGGTTTAGGCTGTTCTCTCTCTGGTTCTCCTGGATCTACCTGGGAAGAGGCCAAACCCTCGCTGCTTTGGCTCTGAGCCTTCAAAGACACTACGATTAAAGGCCCACCCCTCAGCGTCTTTGAATGTTCTATCTTATGCACGTTCTGCAGGTGTCTCCAGAGGTCGACTTTGTGAAGGAACCCTTTGTCGCATTCTGGGCACTTGTTCGGCCTGTCGCTCGAATGGATGAGCTTGTGCGTTCTCAGGTTGGCCGTACGGAAGAACCCTTTGCCGCAGACGGGGCACCGGTACGGACGCTCAGCCCCGTGGTACCGCTGGCGTTCCTGCAACCTGCCAAGATGGTGGAAGGCCTCTCCACATTCCTTGCGGCGGTAAGGTAGGACATTGCCAGATGTCGGCACTGGCTCCTCCTCATCTAAAGAACTGATGATGACAATGTCCTCACAAACCTTGCCTCTGGTGTGCGCAGAAGAACGAGGCTCTGGGTCCTCACCTTCACACTGCAGGTCAAAGTTGGTGCTAGAGGTGATGAAGCCCTTGGCTGTGGTTGAATCGCTCCACTGACCGTATATGCCATTTCTTTCGTCTTCTTCGCAGCACAGGTCTACAGGGATATCCTGATGGCTTGAAGGTCCGTCAAGGCTGCCCTCAGGGCTGGGAGGCAGAGAGTAGTCTTCATCTACGTCTAGCCGGAGGTCACCTTTCTGACCCACCCACTCAGGAATGCAGTCATTCGAGCGATCTTCCCCTGCGCCGCAAGTGTCACTGTTGGACTCCCAGCTCCCTTCCACATCCATCCTTCAGCATCTTAGGGACAGCTCACATACGATGAAGTGCAGAGGTCTCCTCTGTCTGAGCTCTGGTCGCAGCCAAGCCTGCAAAAGAGGAGATAATAATAAATAATAATACATTTTTATTTATACCCCGCCCTTCCCGGTTCAGGAAACTGGGCTCAGGGCGGCTAACAACAAATTTAAAACACTTAATTGACGCTACAAAAAACAGCATAAAATACGGAATAAAGCATAAATAACAACAAAATCAAAAATCAATTTGGGGGGAAATTCATCCAATAAACATTAGATGATCACCAGGGCTAGATGGCTAAATTAGTCCCATTTGGGCCAGCGAGGAGACCAGGGAAGAACCAGCTGTGGGATCCCAGAGAGGGCAATCTTCACAAAAAGGGGAGGGGGAGGGAAAGAAGGGGAACAAAAGATCAGGCCAGGTTCAAATTGAAAGCCAGGCAGAATAGCTCTATCTTACAGGCCCTGCGGAAGGAAGTTAAATCCTGCAGGGCCCTGGTCTCATGGGACAGAGCATTCCACCAGGTCGGAGCCATCACTGAGAAGGCCCTGGCCCTGGTGGAGGATACTCTAACTTCCTTAGGGCCCAGGACCTCTAAACTATGATTATTCATAGACCTTATGGTCCTCTGCAGGGCAGACCAGGAGAGGTGGTCCCATATGTACGAGGGCCCTAAGATGGGCTTTGTTTCCAAGCAATCCAAAATCCTGCACACTATAGGGGTAGCCAACATGGTGCCAGATGTTTCTGGGAGTTGTAGTATAGCAACATCTGATGGGTACCCCACTGGCTACCTGCTGCCATGGCAACAGCTACTTTTCACTATCCATTGTGGGAACTAAGCCTGCACACTATATCCAAATGGTGAGGGCACAGGCTGCAGCAAAGTACCGCTAGTTGTTTTTTTTAAAAAAAGGATTGGGTAGCAGTCAGAACACTGGGTTAGAGGGAACAGTAGTCTCATCCGGTGTAAGGCAACTTCCCACAAGTAATCAGGCCGCAGGGCTTCATGATGTACCTATGTTGCCCTCTTACAGCTCAGAATCTGTATTCAGTGGGGCTTACTCCCAGTTAACTGCGGAGAGGGGTGTTGTTGTTGTTTAGTTGTTTAGTCATGTCCGACTCTTCGTGACCCCATGGACCAGAGCACGCCAGGCACTCCTGTCTTCCACTGCCTCCTGCAGTTTGGTCAAACTCATGCTGGTAGCTTCGAGAACACTGTCCAACCATCTCGTCCTCTGTTGTCCCCTTCTCCTTGTGCCCTCCATCTTTCCCAACATCAGCGTCTTTTCCAGGGCGTCTTCTCTTCTCATGAGGTGGCCAAAGTATTGGAGCCTCAGCTTCAGGATCTGTCCTTCCAGTGAGCACTCAGGGCTGATTTCCTTCAGAATGGCTAGGTTTGAGCTTCTTGCAGTCCATGGGACTCTCAAGAGTCTCCTCCAGCACCAGAATTCAGAAGCATCAATTCTTCGGCAATCAGCCTTCTTTATGGTCCAGCTCTCACTTCCATACATCACTACTGGGAAAACCATAGCTTTAACTATACGGACCTTTGGCGAAGGGGCTTGAATAACTCAGAGAAGCTATGAGCTATGCCGAGCAGGGCACCCAAGATGAACAGGTCATAGTGGAGAGTTTTGACCAAACGTGATCCACCTGGAGGAGGAACCAGCAAGCCACTCCAGTATCCCTACCAAGAAAACTCCATGGACAAAGACAACAGGGAGAGGGGTACACACTCTTAATTATTCCATACTGGGTGGGGAGGGAGAGAAAGAAAGGCCACAGTAGGAACGATTAAATCACCATTTCTATAAAGGTGTTTTAGATGCAATTTGCACCCAGATAGGACTCCTTATTCCCTCACCACAGTTATCAGGTGAGACCAGCGAAGGGAGTTGCAAAAAAGAACTCCTGAAATGGGAAGTAAGCAGCATTCCTGTTATGTACTGAGTTGAATAGGATCCAAACTGCAGCAGTCTGATTGGTCCTAGAACAATAGGCTCCAA